AAAGTCGAGAAGCGAGGGCACTTTCGATTCGTCAGACGTCGCGGTAAAAAGCTGTCCGACTCATTAATCGTCTGTTCGAGGTAACGTAATCGAAGTGGTTACATAAATCCATTACGATAGTAGAGTTTTCCAAGTGAAGTAGTAGTAGAATTGAATTTTCTTCCCCGATTCTTTTTCTCTCCGCTGTTTCATTCGATTCGTCGAGACGATTTTTTTTTTTTTCTTTTCGTAATATTCTAATACAAAATTTGTTCCCTCGACTGTTTCATTCGATTTATCGAGACGATTTTTTTTTTTTTTTCGTAACATTCTAATACAAAATTTGTTCGATTGTTTCATTCATCGAGACGATTTTTTTTTTTTTTGCATAACATTCTAATTTAAAATTTGTTCTCTCGAACATTTCGATTTATCGAAACAATTTTTTTTTTTTTTTTGCTTTTTTCTCTCGAACATTTCATTCGATTTATTGAGACGATTTTTTTTTTTTTTTTTCGTAACATTCTAATTTAAAATTTGTTTCCTCGACTGTTTCATTCTATTCATCGAGACGATTTTTTTTTTTTTCGTAACATTCTAATGCAAAATTTGTTCCCTCGATTGTTTTATTCTATTCATCGAGACGATTTTTTTTTCTTTTTTTTTTCGTAACATTCTAATGCAAAATTTATTTTCTCGAACATTTCATTCTATTCATCGAGACGATTTTTTTTTTTCGTAAGATTCTAATTCAAATTCTAATTTTAATGCAAAATTTGTTCCTTCGACTGTTTCATTCTATTCATCGAGTTTTTTTTTTTTTTTTAGTAATATTCTAATGCAAAATTTGTTCCTTCGTTCCTTGTTTTATTCTATTTATTGAGACAATTTTTTTTTTTTCGTAACATTCTAATGCAAAATTTGTTCTTTCGATTGTTTTATTCTATTCGAGACGATTTTTTTTTCTTTTTTTTTCGTAACATTTTAATGCAAAATTTCCTTCGACTGTTTCATTCTATTCATCGAGATGATTTTTTTTTTTCGTAAGATTCTAATTCAAATTCTAATTCTAATGCAAAATTTGTTCCTTCGACTGTTTCACTCTATTCATCGAGACGATTTTTTTTTTCGTAACATTCTAATGCAAAATTTGTTCCTTCGTTCCTTGTTTTATTCTATTTATTGAGACGATTTTTTTTTCTTTTTTTTTTCGTAACATTCTAATGCAAAATTTGTTCATCCTTAAATTTGGCTCGTTCAAAGTGAGTAAGTTCCCGATGATATGATAATAATTATGTAGACGAACGAAAGTTTTATTCGCTATGTGTATAATTGCACGCGTGGCAACGTGTAATCAATTTCCACAGCTTGCAGAAAACTTCGATCTTATCGATATGCAATTTGTCGAGAGTCGATATAATGCTAGGAGTCATAGCTAGGAGAGTCTTCTCGTTTTCGCCAGAGATCGTCAATGATGCGGAATTTTAAACGAGACCCATTAGATTCGAGACGCGTAGAGAAAATAAATTCGGCCATTTTTACGCAGAAAAGGATACACGCGTTATTGTATCCTTTATACATCCTTTGCGCAATCGTTGCTCGATGGAAAGAGAATCTTTTCAGAGGATCTTTCTATTTTTAATTTAAACGAATCGTGACGAATGATCGGTGAAATTCCGTGATCCATTGCAAAATGCATTCGAAACGCTTAGAGAAAATAAATTCAGCCATTTTTATGCCAAAGAGGACACACAATCATCGTCATTGCTCGATGAAAAGAGAATCTTTCTGAAATTTAGACAAATGATGAGGAAATTCCACGATCCATTGAAAAATGGATTCAAAACGCGTAGAGAAAATAAATTTAATCATTTTTCAAGGAGGATACACAATCATTGCTCGATGAAAAGAGAATCTTTTCGAAATTTAAACAAATACATTGCAAAATTCGAAACGCTTAGAGAAAATAAATTCAGCCATTTTTACGCCAAAGAGGACCCACAATCATCGTCATTGCTCGATGAAAAGAGAATCTTTCTGAAATTTAGACAAATGATGAGGAAATTCCACGATCCATTGAAAAAACGAATTCGAAACATTTAGAGAAAATAAAATTCAGCCATTTTTACGTCAAAGAGGACGCACAATCATCCTTATTGCTCGATGAGGAAATTGAAAAAAAATGAATTCAAAACACGTAAAACAGATACATTTTATTCTCGTTTGCACAATCATCGTTATTACTCGATATAAAGAGGATATCCTCGAAATTTAGACAAATGATTAAGAAATTGCACGATCCATCGAAAATGGATTCGAAAGAAAATAAATTCATTTTTACGCCAAGGAGGATACATTTTATTCTCCTTTGCACAATCATCGTTATTACTCGATAAAAAAAGGATCTTTTCTAAATTTAAACGAATGACGAGGAAATTCCACGATCCGTTGATGGATTCAAAACACGTAGACACATTTACAGATACATTTTATTCTCCTTTGCACAATCATCGTTATTACTCGATAAAAAGAGGATCTTTTCAAAATTTAGACGAGTGATTAAAAAATTTCACGATCCATCGAAAAATGGATTCGAAACGCGTAAAGAAAATATTAATATAAAATTAATTTTTACGTCAAGAAGGATACATCTTATATTCTTTTGCATCCTGATTACTCGATAAAAAAATAATAAAATAAAATATAAATAATAAATAAAATAAAATAAAAATAAAAAAGAGGAATTCTTTTCGAAATTTTGACAAATGATTAAGAAATTCCTCGATCCAAATCGCAAAATGGATTCCCATTCCGAAAGGAATACAATTTATTCTCCTTTGTGCAATCATCGTGATTAATAGACGAAAAGAGGGTTTTTCCCAAATGATGGAGAAATTTCATCGCGTAAACGATGGATCGAAAACATTGACAGAAAAGTAAGTTCTCTTATATCGACAAAGACACGCTTTCTTTATTTCTTCTTCGCACGCTGATTACTCGACTTGAAAAGGTGATCCTCTCTTTCCGAAAATTCAGAGGAACGATATGGCGGTGAAATTCCGAAAGCGAAACTGGATAACTGGTAAAAGGTAAAAGGCAGAAAGTGTTTGGCCGCGGCTGTCGCATATGGGAGGGGGAGGGGGAGGGGGGAGGGGGGGGACTTTCGATTCGCGTCGATGCCGAGAAGGAAATCGTGTGTTCGTTTATAATCGTCATCTCGTTTCTTTCCTGCTCAGCATCTTTCTCCTCACCGTGGTCTTTCTCCGTGGTCGCCACACGAGAATCTAGGTCGCACGGCTGCGTTCACCTTCCACCGAAGCAATGTCTTCCAAGGAAGGTCGTCGCTCGTCTGGAAACACTCTCTTCTTCTTCGCCCATTATTTTCCCTTTCTTCCCGATTTATTATTATTGCACACGAATTTCCATTTCTAACCGATTATTTTGTCACGGAATTCGATAATTTTTCTCATAACCTCCTCCCTCGATTCGATATTTAATTAATCGAATTCCATTTCCATTTCGTTGTGAAAAAAATTATATAGAAGTAATTTCTCTCTCTCTCTCGTTTATCGACTCGTTAATTCGATACTTTTTAACCTGTGAATCGCGATTAATTTTCTTAATCGTTCGGACGAAACGACTGATCGTCGAATGCTTTGGCGCAATATAAGAAAGGAAAAAAGGCAAGTAAGAACGTTTATAATTTCAGTGTATGGTATATTTACTTTTATATTGCTATAAATTTTTTTATTATTATAGCAATTGATGTATAATAAAACTGATCCGCATAATTTTGATAATTTTCCACGATATAATAATACTGTATAACATTTTATCATGATAAATATCTTTTCGATGGAAGAAAAATATCCTCGTGGCAATCGATGTATTAAATATCTTCGAGTAAGAAATATGGAAGATACATAAGAAAAAAGAGGATACGAGACTTAAAGCATTCATAGCAATCACCAAGAGAAACAAAAAAAAATATCGCTATTAAGGTAGATCGATCAATCTTTTCGACGCAAAAACGAATTTCCATTCGATGGATAGACAAAAGGTAATGATCGATTCAGGAAAGCATTCAAAAGATTCAAAAGATCATTTGATTTTACACAAATTTTCAATCGTTCGTTTAATATCGAATGTGAAAAGTGTTGTTCTCAAATTTATTTTCAAATGTGAAAATGATATTATAAATATACATTTTATGCAACAATTTTTATTTTACCCGCTTTGTAATTAATAGTTAATTTAACGTTCGATCAATCTCTCCGTTCAACCTGTTTCCAAGAAATTCATTTATCATTACGTGGAACGTTCGTGAATGATAAAAAAGAAAAAAATGGATTTTACGTCGATATTTCTTCCAAACATTTATATACCACTCTATATACACTTTTCTTTCTTTCTTTCTTTCTTTTTACCTAAATAAATACAAACTAAAAAATCCATCGACAGATATAATATTCCACCCAGTAATCGTTACCCTATCATCTTCGAGCAACCGTAACCGAGGAAGGATAGATAGATTTTTGCCGGAGGGAGCAGGGAGCAAAACACATCTCTAATTAGCCCGCTTATTCCATCGCCGATAATTAATCACGAGCGCGATTAATTGAGCGTCCAGATCAATCAAAGCGACCGCCCTCCCCCTACCCACCGACTAATTACCACCACTGAATCCACCTTCGTAAACCGGTCATTGTTCCTTCGAATCATTGTCGTCGACGATTGTGCTCCTCGAGTATTGTGCTCTTTAGAAAGCGCGTGGAAAGCGTCTTTTTTCTTTTTTTTTTTTCTTTTTTTTTTTTTTATGTATATATATATATATGTACGTATCTGATGGCGATTCGATCTTCCCGGGTAAAAAGAAACAGTATATTTGATGGAGAGGCAGGCGTACAAGCCACCCACAGGATGGATAAGTTGATTGACTCTCCTTCCTTCCCACCCCCTCCGGCTAATTAGTTAGTTATCGCTGTTGGTATGCCTACAATTAGAAAGCGGTATATACTCACACGTAGGCGGTTGCTGGGGTATTTGGGCCGCGCGTGTGGTGCTGTGCCTCGCTATTGTGATCTGGAAGAGAAAAAAAGATGCTCGTTAGTTGGATCGTCCAGAGAATCGATTAAGGAAGGGGGGAGGGGAGAAGAACAGGTGGCGTGGGACAAAGCTTTGACTGGGAATTTCTATCTCTTTTTCTTCTTCTTTTTTAATATTTGGATATTAATTGTTTAATGAAATGATAATAGCAAAAAGTGGATTAAAAATATTGGAAATCTCCATCTCTTCTTCTTCTTATTTTTTAATATTTGGATATTAATCGTTTAGTGAAATGATAATGGATTAAAAATGTTGAAAATTTCCGTCTCTTTTTCTTCTTTTTTAATATTTGGATATTAATCGTTTAATGAAATGATGGATTAAAAATATGGATTAAAAATATTGGAAATTTCCATCTCTTCTTCTTCTTCTTCTTTTTTAATATTTGGATATTAATTGTTAGTGAAATGATAATGGATTAGAAATATTGGAAATTTCCATCTCTTCTTCTTCTTCTTTTTTAATATTTGGATATTAATCATTTAGTGAAATGATAATGGATTAAAAATATTGGAAATTCCATTTCTTCTTCTTCTTTTTTTTTAATTTGGATATTAATCATTTAATAAAATGTTAATGGATTAAAAATACTGGAAATTTCCATCTCTTCTTCTTTTTTAATATTTTGATATTAATCTTTTAGTGAAATGATAATGAATGGGAATTAAAAATACTGGAAATTTCTATTTCTTCTTCTTTTTTAATATTTGGATATTAATCATTTAGTAAAATGATAATGAATGGAAATTAAAAATGTTGGAAATCTCCATCTCTTCTTTTTATTTTTTTTTTAATTTGGATATTAATCATTTAGTGAAATGATAATGAATGAGAATTAAAAATGTTGAAAATCTCTATCTTTTCTTCTTCTTCTTTTTTAATATTTGGATATTAATCGTTTAATGAAATGATGGATTAAAAATATTGGAAATTTCCATTTCTTCTTCTTTTTCTTTTTTCTTTTTCTTTTTTTAACGTGTATTATTATTCCTTGATAATGATCGATCTCGAATGTGAAAAAGTTAAGGATTAAAAAATGTTAAAAATGATTGGTGAAGGGGGTATTATGATCTAGAAGATGATCGAGATACTCGAACAGCTCGTCATCGATGCGAAAAAGTCGTTGCGAAAATGTCAGGCACGATTCGTTCGACTCTCTCTCTTTTTCTCTCTCTCTTATTTCGCTCGAGGCACGTATGAATCGTGCGATTTTACAGCCGCGTTTTCTCATCGATTAAACTCGATTATCAACCACGAGGATCCGGCTGTGGAAAACGATGTGCCGATAAATTGCACTTTCGAGAACGATCTCGAGAAGATCTTCTATGTTAATTTCTCTCTCTCTCTCTCTCTCTCTCTCATCAATTAATCATCGTATCCTATGAAATTCAAATTTCTATTAACTCGAAGGGATTGGAACAATAAGATAAGGTCAACGCGAGGAAAGATCGAATAAATTTAATATGGAAAGAAGATGGGCCTCGATAACGAGGATCGTTGAAATTAAGTTCGAAGGCGTAGTCGAAGGCGTAGTTGAGGACAAGCAACGTGCTCTCGATGATTAATTTCACCCGTGAAATCCGAGCCCACCTGTTCTGTGACAAGGTTGTATTAGAAGCAAGGCTTAAAACGCGGCTACTTGCAAAGGCCGATTGAATAATGGGGAAAGGTTCGATGAGCGTTTCTAAGCCTAGATCGTTCCTAATTACATTATCCCGTGCTAAAACCGTGCCAAACATTGGTCAGCAAACGTTAATTACTTTTCGTTCGTAACAAGTCGTGAAAATATCCTACCATTCCGTACCGAATCGAATGGAACGTTGGAGATTGAATAATAAGACGATTCTTCCTCCATAGCGCACAATCCTTATCCAAATTTCTCGTGTTCGATCGTTCCCTTAATTTAATAATCTCTAATTATATTATTGATTGGTTAATTATCGTCTGTAATAAATGAAAATATCATTTCGTATACACGAGTTAGAATTATTACGAACAGATCCATATTCCAGCATAACGCGCGCGTTATTACGTTAAGAATCAAGCGCGCAATTGGGTTTCAAGAATTGTAAAGATTCTCGTGAGAATCTTTCGAATTATTCTTCCAAATTTTGTATCGTAATCGTCATGTTGTAGGGAGAATTCTGTAAAAGAAAAAGGTGTAAAATTGGTTTGAGAACGCGTCACACGTTCTCCAAGCGATTGGACGATGACGGTGAACGAAGCAAGGGCAACCGAGAAACACCTCTTACTCCCTCGACACACTTTTATTTTCCAATCCGCGCCGATTTAGGTATCGACGTTACGTGTACACTGGCACGACCACCATCGGGATTAGGTGAGCGTGTAATTGTTGCAACCGTTGCGTCCGTTTCTTTTTCTATACCCGATGGACCCGATGGTCTCGAAGACAGGATCCACGCAACCCTGAACTGGTTTCGTTTCCAATAGCGTCGTTGTAAATCAATGGATGGAATTTTTCTTTCTCTCTCTCTCTCTCTCTCTCTCTCTCTCTCTCTCTCTCTCTCTCTCTCTCGCTGTCTTACTTATTAGGATTCCATATCGGTGAAATAAATAAATCCAAGTCGGTTCTCGGATGGAAAGTGAGAGTTGGCGTGTACGATTTCTCACACATCGAAAGCCAGCATACCACGAAAACGCGCGTATTAGAGAAATTGTCTAATAAACACGAACACGTTGTTAATATAGATATGTACATGTATATATATATATATATATAGGTGTGAGGTGATGAAAGTGGTTTAACGACTATTTTCGCATATGCTGGGATATGTGAAGCAAAGTATCGAATCGTTCAAATTTTAATATTAATATATAGCATTGTATCAAAGCAAAGTATCGAATTTGAGTATCTATCCATTAATATATTGTATCAAAATATGGAATCGTTCAAATTCGAATGTTAATATAGCATTGTATCAAAGCAAAGTATCGAATCACTCAAATTTGATGATAGCATTGTATCAAAATATTGACTCGTTCAAATTTGAGTATCCATCCATTAATATACAGCATTTTATCAAAGTATCGAATCGTTCAAATTCGAATATTAATATAGCATTGTATCAAAGCAAAGTATCGAATCGCTCAAATTTGAGTATCCATCCATTAATATATAGAATTTTATCAAAGTATCGAATTGTTCAAATTTGAATATCCATTAATATACAGCATTTTATCAAAATATCGAATCGTTCAAATTCGAATATTAATATAGCATTCAAACTCATATCAAAGCAAAGTATCGAATCACTCAAATTTGAGTATCCATCCATTAATATATAGAATTTTATCAAAGTATCGAATCGTTCAAATTTGAATATCCATTAATATAGCATCAAAGCAAAGTATCGAATCGTTCAAATTCGAGTAATCCATTAATATAGAATTATATCAAAGTAAAATATTGAATCGCTCAAATTCGAGTAATCCATCCATTAATATAGAATTGTATCGAAACAAAATATTATATCAAAGCAAAAAAATTGAATCGCTCAAATTCGAATAATCCATCTATTAATATAGAATTGTATCAAAGCAAAATATCGAATGGTTCAAATTCGAGTGTCCATTAATGTACAACATTGTTAATACGAAAAGGAAAAAAGAAGAAGAGGAAAGAACTATTCGTCCGTGCGATTAAAAATTTTATCGTAGATATTACAGAATTGACGATTTTCTTGTTCTAGGGGCTTGAACACGATCTTTAACACTGGTGCAATTATGTTCGTGTCAAATCGTCTCGCGGCAGGGTGTGCCGTGGAGGAACAGAAGCAATAGAGCTCGTTATATTGGAGAAGGTTACTCCTCCTCATGGACTTTATCGGATAGTGAAACTGCCGTATACGAGTGGAATCGCGCAGAATCAAACCACCGATTTGCCCTGTGATGGACAAAATTTAATCAAGTTGAAGTTACGAATAAAGTTACTTTTATTTACGATAATTTGTCGTTCAAAATATAATTGTAATGATCGAGGTTATATGAACAAAGCTAATAATAAATGTCATTCGAATGTTTTTAATAAGTAATTATTTAAAATATAACTTTATTCGAAATTTTCAACCAGTTGCTTTTTCAAATAACGCTCAACTCTGCCGTGGGACGTAGATTTGTCGTTCAAAATATAATAATTGTAATGGTTGAGGTTATATGAACAACTCTATAATAGCTAGTAATAAATGTCATTCGTTTTTAATAAGTAATTACTTAACAACTTTATTCGAAATTTTCAACCAGTTGCTTTTTCAATAAGTTAACGCTCAACTCTGCCGTGAGACGTAGATTTGTCGTTCAAAATATAATAATTATAATGGTCGAGGTATGAACAACTCTATAATAGCTAGTAATAAATGTCATTCGAACGTTTTTAATAAGTAATTAATTACTAAAAGTACAACTTTATTCAAAATTTTTAACTAACCACTTTTTCAATTCTGGATTAATGCCCAAACTCTGATCGAACGTTTCCACTCATTCATTATCCATCCGTGATGTTCCAAGTTCCAATTATACATAATCTCAAGGATGTGGTGCAAAGTGCAGTTTCGCATCGTAATCTGCATCGAGGATGAGATTGATCGATGGATCAGTGCAAAACGTTTCACGGATGTTATATTTTATCATTCGAGGATGAAACTTTCGAAAGAAAAAACGATCCTCGAAGCGATACGAATGTAATTACACAACTGTAATTTGCCGAGGTATACAAAGTACGCATCTTGTGGTAAAAAAAAAAAAAAAAAAAAAAAAAGATGAAAATGCGTGCTGTTGCCTTTTTTTCCTTTTTTCTTTTTTTTTTTTTGTTTGTTTATCCCAAGGATTGAAAGATCTGTGGGCAGATACCTGTATCGTACTTTGTGGTTAAAAGAGATTTCTTCGAGGTTGATGATAGGCATACAAAACCTAAATCTAGTTTCACGGATACTGTTTTATTCGTTCAAAGATGAAACTTTTTTTTTTTTTTCTTCGAGAAAACGAACCTCGAAGCAACACGAGGTAATTACGATCCGTTAAGGTGTACACAAAGTATCTTGTGATAAAAAGTGATGCGAGAATATTTGCATAATCGTATTTTGTAACAGTATTCTCAGATCGAAATTCCATTTTGTGATAAAAAGAGATTGCTCGAAGATGGGCGTACAAAATCCAGATCTAAGTTTTTATTCATTCAAAGATGAAACTTTACAAGATAATTACACTTATGATTTGCCAAAGTATATATATATATATATATATATATATATATATATATTCTGCGATAAAAAATAATGGAAATATTCCAGAACGACGTTTCCAGAGAATATTTGCATATCGGTATTTTTATTCTCGAAATGAAAGTCTTATACCACTTTGTGGTTAAAAGAGATTTCCTCTTCCGTTCCGAGTAGCCGATAAATATACAGCAAAGTATATACGATAGAGGAAATAATTTTTAATAAATACGCATAATCGATCGCATCTTTTTCTTCATCGATTAACGACAACATGCGATTATATCTGTAAACGCGGCCATTAACCTCGAGACTGTTGAGACTAATATTTTTTTTTTTTTTTTTTTGGTTCGTGAACGCGCCATCGAGGGAAGAGGAGTCCATCGTACGTTGTAATCTAGCCCGAGGGCAACCGAGTTATCAAGTGGATCAATGGGTAATCGGATCGACGTAGATCGCGGATCTAGCGTAGGTAGAGATCTCCTTGAGAACGCCTCCCATCACGCTGGATCCTGGTGGCGCATAACGCAAGTCGCATTATTCACTCTACCCTATAAGTATCTCTCCATGACGTCATTGTTGTAACGTAGCTTTTAGATAGAATGTAAAAATATCTCGATGGCATAACGAATCGTTTCTTCTTTATTTACTTTCAAGTGGGGAAAATTAAATACTTGAAATTACGAATAAAGTTATTTGCATTAGTTAACTTCGATAATTTATCGATCGAAACGATAATAATAATTGGAAATAATTGTAATTGTCTGAGATTATATGAAAAGCGGATTCGACTATAATAGCTATTATTCAAACGTTTTAATAAATAGTTACTTAAAAAGTAATTTTATTCGAAATTTTTAACCACTTACTTTTTCAACCAATTAATGCCCATTGTTTATTTTTCGGAATCTTTTATCTACGAAGATAATTTTTTAAAATTATCGGATTTCGGAAAAAATCTCTCAAATCTTTGGAATTTACTTATTTACTCGAAAAAGTAAAAGTAACTCTGCTTAATTACGGTTATCTTCGTGAAACATTCACGATCGAAGAAGATGCACAAACTGGAAGATTTAAAGATATTAAATGAGCATTGTTGAACGTGGGTGTATAGAAATTCCAAAAGGATTGCTGACTCGTCCAGAATTCGAAATTCGGATTTATTCAAATTAGATATGAACGCCCTTGTGAATTACGCAAGGCGATGAGTTTCGATGGATCAGTTAAAAAATCATTTTACGCAATGGCTCGTTCTAAACTTGGCCGCGTCACTCACAACTTTCTCTCTCGAGCTAAACAAACGCGAGATTTTCTATTGACCGCTCTCCGTGATAATGTTCTCTCCTGTCCGTAAGTGGAAAAATCGCAATTACTCTATCCTTTTGGATTAATCTTGTTTTTCACAGTCAACGAGTTGCAAGAGTAAGAGATCTTGAAACACGCTCGTCCCCGACACACGATCTGATTAATTATTTTCACCACGAACAATTTCATCACATACGCGTAATCGTACAGTTTATTATTTGTGAACTGATTAGATAGATTCTATAAATTCGTTAACGTAATTTTTTTTAATAATACACTTTGCATTAATCCAAATAAAAATCGTTCGTATACAGAGCAAAGTTTATTAAAATGGATAAACGAATGTAAATGAAAAAGTGTTTGGAACGTATCGTCACGGAAAGTATACTGTTCACTGCTGAGAAGTCTCGCGACACAGTAGCAAAAAAATGTCCTTCGCTAGGATCATATATCCCCACTTCAGACGCTTTGTTGACAATCCTGACACCTGACACGCCACACAATAATAGAAGAGCTATAACTTGAATATTCAAAATCGTAAAAATTATATTTCATTTACGAAGTTACGTTAGGATAATCATCCAAGATTGGAAACTGAAAATGTTTTCGAAACTATTAATTATTTTTATATAATATTAATATATCTATATAATATGTCCAGCTCATTCGTGTGCGTACAATTATTATATCTTAACTACTCGAATATAAAATTACATTTATAAATTATTATTACAAATTATAATTACATATTATGAGAAATAAAATTTTTTTTACATTATATAGATACGTTAGAATTCTCTGGATTCTATGCCAGATATTGGACATTAATCTAAAAAAATAATTAATTAAAAATTTCGAATAAAATTACTTTAAGTAATTATTTATTAAAATACTTGAATAACATTTATTCGTAGATATTATAATAGAATCAGCTTTTCACGTAATCTCGTTTTTCCTTATATTTATTTGCAATCATTATTATGAACAATAAATCGAAATAACTTATGTAACTAATTTTATTCGTAACTTCAACTATTAAATTTGGCATCGAGATGTAGATACAGATTGTTGTTTTGGATGAGTGATATGTGACAAATATGACATAGAAAGAAAAATAAAAATATTGTACCCGATTTCTTCCACCGGTGAGCACAGTATTTATATCATCTTCTAAACAGCGACGAAAGTTCACGCTCGATTCTCTTTTGCGCCGGTACGTGTGAACTGCTCGTAAGGGAGCGTTTAGCGGTTCACTTCCGGTATTGGCTCTCCTATCGACTTCACGGTGAAACGTTTGTGAAAACGAGCTCGGGAGAGCTCTTAAGAGATCCTGCGCCGATATTTAAAAGAACACCGAGTAAAAGTAGGCGTGGCAACGATAGATTGTGTCTCTTTCTCCGCCGTGCACAACTTCTCGTGCAAATGTTTGCCAATACTTTGAAATTTCTGTCCTCTCTTTGCTCTCCTCTTTGATTTTTATGCGGAAACACGTATTTCCCGTATTTTTCGTTTTCTCTTTTTTCTCGTTTTTTTCTTTTTTCTTTTTTTTTTTCTTCTTTTTTTTTTCCTTACTAAGCCTTAAAACTACACGTTCTCTCCCCTCTTTCGAGTCCTGTCTTTTTAAATATGTTTCAAGATTTATGTTCCTCGCGAGAAGATACGAGCACTCGCGGTGATCACGGAAATTTTTTTTTAAAAACTCTGTTCTTCTCGAGTGCGCCGCAAACGTTTGCATCCTCCTCGAGAGTGTCCAATTTTTGTCGTCGAGAATTTGCTTTCAATCCCTTTTTTTTTTTTTCTTTTTTAAAAAAAACGTTTGCGCGTGCAAACGTTCAAATGAAAATTCAATATTTTTTCGAAGGCCGTTATTTACTTTTGCTCGCGAAACGTACTTTCTTCTCGCAAACTTGCAATTTTTATTCGGATCGAGACTTTACTTTATAGTTATGTTGTTTATATATGCGTGTACACACATTAGCTCTCGAGATTGGCGAGTTGTTTCGAAATGGGAGGGGAGAGAAAAAAAAAAAAAGAAAATGTCTCGTTTGCAAACTGTTTTTAAAAGTTATTTAAAAACCGGAAGAACTTGAAAAACGCCCACTTGTAAGAATTGCCCGCGGTCGGTATAATAATCGGTATAATCGTGAGATTTCAGAGTGGTTGTCGATTATTAAGCGTTGCACAGACCCATGATTCCAACCTCCTGAATGGGTTAACGACATCAAACCCGCCGGTCTTTGTCAAGAGAGACATCGCTTCGTTTTTTACGAGGCGTTGTTTACTATGATTACCATAAAAAAGAACGAGCATCCACTCGAATTACCTCGTGCAGACTTCATTTCGAGCTCGCGGAGCAATATGAAAGTTTGCAACGCTTGTTAAACACGAGCTTGAAACGAGAATGAAAAGAAAAGAAAAGGAAAAAAAGAAAAATTATATCAAAGCAATCGATGCCAAATACCAATATTCACGGTTTTTATATTTCGTGAAAAGAGAATTTAATTTCATCGCAGCCCAACTTTCACGAATTGCAAATAATCGAAAAATAATTCAAATATCCATTCGAACTGTTAATATTATTCAAAAAGAATTCTACGAATTTTTGTTGCGTTTGAAATTAACGTCGAGGTGAAAAATTGCAGAGCGTAAAAAAAAAAAATATATATATATTGCAACCATCTCGACACGATTTTCCTAGCAACTAACAACTTACCAACAAAGGATTACATAATTCCCCGCATTCCTGCTCAACGTACTTCCCTCCCCTCCCCAGTCGAGTTTATTTTCCGTACAATTCGTTGGAAGAAAGAGTTAAGTTAAAGCGATATTACAGATAATCAAAATGAAAATCGGAAATGTGTTGGATCGAAGGATCGAGTTTGAAAATCAGCTGATTTCACGAGTTAGAGGCGAAAGATTGATCAAAGGTTGTAGGGGAATTTCGTAGCGTGGCATTGGTCGCACTTATATACTCGTGTATTTCGTGTTGCACGTTCAAGGAATAAATTTGATTCGAGTGATGAGAAAGACAGAGATAGATAGATAGATAGACAGATAGACAAAGAGAGAAAGAGAGGGGGGGAATAAAATTACGATTTTATTAAGCATGAGAAAGCACGTGCATAGTGTCACTTATATATAACAAAGGATGGATTCTTTACTTACCGATAAAAATGCCAATGCGACTCCCCGCCAGTCCATGGCTAAAATAAAAGAGAAAGTCTTTATTAATAACTGGGTCGAACTCCCATGAGTACGATCGACCGTGCAAAAAAAAAAAAACACTTGCTACGAGAAAAAAATCGCACGAATTATCCACGTCTATCGTTTTTCGATCGATACATTCACTCGATATTAATATATATATATATATATATGTATTCCTCGCTTCGTGTGTGTCTCTCTCCTTCATCTATCTTTACTCTCCCATCCTATCGATTATATCTGTCTTTATCGCGCACCACCAAAATCCGAAAAATCTCTTCTCCGCTCACGCGCAATAATAATAGAAATTGGCAAAATTGGACGAGATCGATTTCGTGATCTCGGATAACGCGACTAAAAGGATGGAAAATTGGTGAGAAAACGGCGGGAAATTTGCCTCGATCTCTCGGCATCGCGAATCAAATTCGAGGCGAGACGAGGAGGGAGAGAAAAGGGGAAAAATTGGGTTCGATTTTTTCGAAGGGAGAGAGAAAGAGAGAGAGAGAGAGAAAGGAAAACGTTTTCGAGGTGGTTAGTAGAGCTGTGCCGAGAAAGCGACGCCGTGTTTCGCGAAGGTGGCCGAACATAACGCAACGTTCACTTTTTCGAGCAGGAGGAGAGGCCGGTGCACGGAATAGGAACGACCTCGAGCAACACCGAACTGGACCACCGTGCTCGATCGAACCGAGCCCTCCACGCCATTTTCGATTTTCCACCACTTCGTTTCCCTTCCGATTTTCGATTGCACTCGAGCTCGCGACCAGACGAATCGCGGGATTTTATTACGGGCACGCTGGTCGATCGACATCCCGCGAGGTTCTGCCACCTTTTCTTTCCACCTTTTCTAACCGCGGCCAGGAGAGCCAGGCTCGTGCCTCGTGAATCGATGCACTTGGGAGCCCACCAGGGCCGTACGCCACTCTTACACCACCTTTCACTTTCTCTTCTCTTCTGTCGCTTATAAAAAATTTATCCCTCCCTCCCCCTTCCCTCCGTTGGATGGGAAAATTTTCGTTATGGAAGAAAAAGAAAAAAAAAAAAATATTTTTCATAAAATGATCAATATCCCTTTTCTCATACGAATCGTACGTTTTATGTGCATAAAAAAACTTCTTTCGAACTCTTCGCGCTTCATTCTTCCACGCCAATCGCTAGGCTCATTGGACATAGGAGGAGGAAGAGTACGCTGAAACGTTGCCCACGTAATGGGCAGGGTTTCATACCAGGCGTTGAAGTCACCGGTGACTTCTGTCGCGTAAGACGGCTATATCCGTCTTTTCAGTCATCGATACGTATGCCGTTCGCGTTGCCGTTACGAAAGCTCGAGATTTACGACTAAAACAATAGCCTCGTTAACGAGAATCTGTTAAACAACGATCCTGAGGATAATTTCTTTCTAAAAAAAAAAAAAAAAAAAAAAAAAACTAACATTACTATTATTAATTGTTACTTCCCTTTCGTCGAGAAGGAACAATTTACACCTCACTATAATATCTTATTTTCGATGAAGTTAAATTTACGAATTCGATTTTCGCTCAAGGATCTATCTTAATCATCGAATGAACTAAAATCGAGAGGCGAACGTGGACGATCCTTGGCGATTGCATATTTGGTCACCACACCACACGCCTGCCTACGAGGATGAACAGCGTCACGAGCCTTGTACCCGTTTTCGCGTAGTTCCGTTGCATAATGCCGTTTCATTAAACCGACTATGAAGTCCACGTTATATCCATTCAGCCGTTGGCAATATTCGCCCCCCCCTCCATTTTCCGTGTGCGTGTCTCCGCAAGTGCGCTCGAGAAAGGAAACGATTGCTTCCACGCTGTTCGCCCAGCTGTCACCCACTCTCGCGTTACACCCCTCTGCCTATTCATTTTTTTTTTTTTCAAATATACCCTTGTACAACAAGAATTATACAGTTGGACTATATCGGCGTCCAGATCTATTCAGATGTGAAGGAATTTTTCAAAGATATAGATTTTTTTGATTTTTAGATATATAGATGTTGTAGGCGATAAAAATTTTGATACGATTTCGTGAAAAATTCAAAATTTAGGGAATTTATCGGGTGAACGAAGATTGTGAGAGGTTATTAAAATTTTGTTTATTTAAATTTTGAGAATTGGGAGTGATTAAGAATTTAGAATCAACTATGATGCGTATGATACGTAATGAAAAATAATATCACTTTGAGGATAAATAGATTTCAGTGGGGATAAAGGAAATGATAAATAAGCAGTGACAAAATCATTGTGAAATGTGCGCGTGTTCGCTTTCGACGACCTTGAGAATGGAGAACCAAATTTAGAACGAAAATTTATGGTCGGACGATGCGGTGACGTAAGTAATGAATTTTTTATCTCGTTCTTATTTTTTATCAAATCCGTTTTGACAATAGCCTCGTCAAGAACTCGTTCCAGGCGCCTTCTGCGCCCTTGAATGTCCGCCAACGTGGTCTTTGTAGTCTTTGCTTGCAACGAGATATTGCGCCATCTTGGTGTTAACGCGATTAAAAATGTAAAACCGAAACGATCGTTTAATAGGCTTTAATCTTCGTAATCTACGAGTTATTACTTCTGATACAATGAATTGATCGGGCGAATGAAGGCAATAAATCGAGTAAATGTATCATTTTCGTTAATCGTTTCATATATCATATTATATTTTTATTTTATAAAAAACTACAAAATATATCTTACAAATATCCAAAATTATGAAAAAGAACAAAGAATGTAAGAGTAAAACAATTGTTTGCCAAAATATCTCACCTGTCTGATCACCCGTCTTCCACCAAAAAATTGTTCAATTATCGAGACGATGCCGAGATATCCGATCTTTTTTTATAATATCGACAAGGACAAAAATAAATCTTTTTCACTGTTCTTATGAAAGAACGAGTCAAACGTAAACGAGAAAGGGAAACGATAAATGAAAAGTCAAAAATATCACTTTTCAAGAAGCACCGGAATTCGTTTTGAAATCACCAGTTCGATCTACCTCGTGGATCCGGCTCGTTCATCATCAACACTTCCGGTAGCACGCGATACTCGTCAGATAGCGTCGAAAACGCGTTCTTGCCGGCCATAAAGTCCATCTCGCGTAAGTCGACATCCCCAAAATGTGGATGATACTTCGATAATAATTCTTCTCGATCATTTACGAGATTCTAAAATCTCTAAGATTCATCTCGTGCTCGTCGTAGAGATAAAACAATCATCATCGTACTCTTGTGAGATTAATTTGATTGACGCAACCGATTCCTGTCATTTAGATATTTTTTATCGCGAGATAGAGTTATTATATTCTCTCCTCAAATTTACTTCTGGTTGAACGGATATCTTTCTGAAGAATTCTGATTATTTTATTATCATCAATTCCACGGTATTAATTTTTGCAATAAATCGTAATCGATCTCTTTCGAATAGAACATTTCCACGTTCCTCTAGCCAAAAGGATTATTTTCACGTGTTTTATTATCGCCACTGCACCACACACCTGCCGGCGGTTCGTTACTCTAGAAAGAGGCAGTCGAGCATGGAGAGAGCCGAGAAATAATGAAATCCGTTGCGATCGACGCGAGGCTCGAGACTGCACTGGCTTCGTCCCCTGTACACGGTCCCTGTTACCTCTGTATTCCCCTCGCAGGACGAACTAACTGAAGAGCTGACCAGAGAGGTAAAAGAGAGGGAGAATTGTAGAGAGAAGCAATGATACGCGTTATGAAGTGAAGAAACAGAGATAGATAGTTTTCGTTATGGAAGAAAAGAAGAACGGTAAAATTAATAAATTTGAAGATAATAGGAGGAAATAACGCAGGATTGCGTTTAAAATTCTCTTTTGTGAGAAAAGAACGAAGCAACGATGAATTAAAGAAAAATGCGAGAGAATATATAAAGATGAAACGGAGAAAAAGAACTTGTAGCGAATATTTGCGAAATATTTGAACGATCAACCGATAGAGTGCGACACTAGAGCGTTTGTCTTTGTTTCTTGATCGTTGAATGACGAATTTAACCATTTTACAAATGAAATTTTAGTATAAAAATAACTTGTGTGATGCTTATTTCTTATTATTCAATTAAAATTTCGTTTTTAATGTAAAAATATTTTTAATTTTATTTTTATGATATTTTCTTTTCTTCATATTTAGATTTTAAAATTTTTAAATCGAAAATATATATATATATATATCCTAAAAAATTTACGATAGACTTTCAAACTTTTTTTCTTTTATTTTTAAGAATTTCTTTAAATTTAGAAAATTACAATACAAAATTAATATTTCTTGGAATTGATAAAATATTTATTAAAGAAAAAAAATGTTTGCATGTATCGAAATGATAGTCTGCGCTTACGTCATCGCCTGGCTTAGATACTATACTGCACTCCTTTCCATCCAAGGGATGTAGAATTTTAAAACTTTTTCAAGTTCAAGATACAATATAATATTCTTCTATATGTTATAAAAATTTTTAATATTATGACATAATGTATGTAATAGATCCTGATTATATTCATATAAATTTTAATATTTTTATAATATATAACTTTTCAAAAAAATGTCAAATTTATGATAAAAAGTTTAAAAATGAATTAAGATTAATTTTTAATATCAAAATTTTTGATATTATTTTATAATAAGTACTATGTTAGTATGTTAATTATACAAAATTATATTCATATCGATAATCCAAATGAGTAATCGTATATTTCGCTTGATTGCAAATAATTAAATTTTAAATTTTAATAATTAAATTGAAATTTATTAAATAAATTAATACTTAATATTTTTACTATTTTTAATTATGTAATAGTGTGATTACTATTGTATAAATCTAAAAATATATAAGTGTAAATACTTACTTTATCGATTGTAAGTATGTATGTGTCCAGATCAAATTCCACGTGCTTGACGCTAGAGTATATCATATAGAAATGGCGCTTGTACATCGAGTTAATATAAATTTTGGATTCATATTAAATACATTTTATTGTAAATGTATAGTAAACATAAAAAGATGTAAAACAGACTATAATCTTAAAAATCAGGCAGATATCAAGTATGGTATGGTTTTAAAATACCAGTTTTAAAAAATTATATTTCTGGTCCATAACCTCATTTATATAAATGATTACACTTTCATAATAAATTTTTTTTATTTATTTCGTCTTTAAATTTATTTTTTTATTTCATAATTAATTTATTAATATAATTTTTTAAATTTTTATTTTAATGACATAATCATTTCATTAAATTTATTATAGGTTAGAATTTTACTTATATTTTATTTATTTACTTTTATTAATTTATTAATCATCTAATTGAAATTTTAACATTGAATATATAGTACGATTAACAGATATATGTCATACAATAAAAGATTATAAATAATTTAAAATATCAAATAGAATAACTAATCTTTTTTAGTTAAATAATTTAAGTATAATAACAAGTATTATTATAAAACAACATTATTATAAAAAATATTGTTTAAAAATGTTAATATATTAAATATGTTAAAAAATCAAAAGTAAATTAAAAATAAAAAATTTTGTAGGTAAAAATATGACATTTGAACAAATGCTTAAATTTAGACAAACTCAAGCAAAAAAATCTATTTTAGTAAGGGTAGCAGAAAATTATATTAATGATTTGGAAAAATTTTGTACAAAATATGTGAATATTGAAAAAATGTTCTTTTATAATACAATAAATGATAGAGTAAGTATCTTCTGTGATTTTTATTTTATATTTGTTAATTTGAAAATTGACAATGTTAAATATATATTTGAATAATTATGTATATTATATTTTTTTTAGTGTTTTCTATTAATAGAATTAAGAGCAGAGAAAGATGTGGAAATTTTTAGAAATTTAGCTTCATGTAAAATAAATTCAGACTATGCTCACTCTGTTACACCATTATTTTTGTATAAAACTAAAAATTTAACAAATACGTCAAAAAATTCAACAATATTTAAACCTCCTAATTTCAATCAAATTAAAAAAATATTAGAATATAAAAACTCTGTAATATATAAAACTAATTATAAATTGAATATAATAATACATATTAAAAGTTATATATAATATGTATAATATTTAATTAATTAATGTTTTTAGATATCGGAACAAATGATTTCTCTTTACAATATGTTAAAAATTACAGATTTAGATACAAGGCTGAGATTTTTTACTGCTGAACAAATTTCTTATTATTTATCTAGATTATTTACCAATATAAATGTCATACCATTTGGATCTTCTGTTAATGGTTTTGGTCAAATAGGATGTGATCTTGATTTATTATGTAAAACATATGTCTCAAACATTATAAATAATGTAAGTATAAAAATATAATTTTATAATGATTTAATTTTGTTTTAATTTTATAGAAATTGAAATTTTCTTTCAGTCTTCAAAAAATTTTTTGTACATGACACAACCTGTCCATCTTACAGAAAGGAATGAACAGAAAGAATTCTTGGATGCAATAGGCACAGTAATAAAAATTTGTATTCCTGGTATTAATGATATAAAAAAAATTCTTGAAGCACGAGTTCCAATAATTAAATTTTTTAATCAAAATACAAATATGCATTGTGATCTCAGTAGCACAAACGTGTATGTAGTAAATATTTCTTATCTTTATAAAATGTATGATTGCTTTTGAAACTGTATAAAATGTATACAGAGTTGCGCTACATATGTCTGAATTGTTATATGGATATGGAGAAATGGATTCGCGTGTTAAACCACTTATTTGCACTATTCGTAAATGGGCAAGAAATATGGATATAACAAAGGAAATTTCAGGGCATTGGATCACGAATTTTTCCCTTACTTTGTTAATTATATTTTATTTACAAATAAAAAATATATTACCTTCTTTAAATGTAATAAAATATTACATAAGTAAGTATAAATATTAAAAGAATTTTATATATTTATTATATTAAATTTTATATTTACAGAAAAGTCAAAAAAAAATTGGCATTCTGAGTGGAAAAATTCTATAAATTATAATAATGACTCTTTAAATAATCTCTTATATGGATTTTTCGAATATTACAGTATTTTTGATTTTAAAATGCAAGCAATTTGCATAAAAGAAGGAAAACTCAAACCGAAACAAGATTTGTCACCGCTTTATATTTATAATCCATTTGACATAACATTAAATGTTAGTAAAAATATCACGATATTTGAATTAACGCGTTTGATAGACCACTTTCGAAAAGCATTGCAAATATTAGTAGAATCAAATGAAAGGAATGCTCTTATAGAATTAATTAATTTGACATCATTGAAGTCGACAGAGATAAACCATATATACAATTATGAAATTATAAAATCAACTAAAATTGATGATATTAATAAAGATAGTAATAAATTTAAGCAAAAAAATTTTTTAAACGAATCTATAAACAAAATTAATATTAATGTTTTAAAAACAATGGAAAAGAATATAATAAAGTAATAATAAATATATAAATTTTAATTAATTTATTCGCAATCAATTTTTTCTACAGTTTATCCAATTTGTAAGTATAATTTTTTATATAATTTAATGATATAAGAATCATAAAAAGATAAAAATATGGAATATAAATTTATAGCAATGAACTATATTTTATATATATTTTATTAAACAAAAATAATAATATAATTCAAATTAGTACAATCAAATCTGTATCAAGTAGCATTAAAATGTATAACGCGTAATTCTTATTTTCATTCAATGTATATTTCAATGTAATGTTTATAGTGTATATAATGTACAATAATATAAAAAATTTTAATATATTATATTTTTACTGCATTTTTTCAATGAATCAATTATAAAAAGATAATTTTTATGAGAATAATCATTGATGTATATATTGTATATGTATCTTTCATCAAATCATTAAATAATAAAAATTGATATAATAAAGGAAAAGAATATATTAAAATTAAATTAAATATTAGTAAATTCATTGCATTAAATAACAGTCAAAATATTTACCAACAATTGAACAACTTTATAGTTTGTAACTTGTATATTTCTCTATTATCAGCAATTTGACATTTTTTATGTATAATTAATCGTGTACATGTACTATAATTGTAATTCATGATCTATATAAAGATCATGATATCTTTTTAATCCTTTAAACGATTTATTTAATTCCTATGAAAAACTTTCGTTTTTCATAGTATAAGCTGTATATTTTTCGTAATACAATTACCTCAAACATTTTATATATATATATATATGTGTGTAATTGTAAAAACATTTAATGCACCTATGCAATTAGAGCATATTGTGGAATAGACGGTGAATTCTTGTGCATTTGGCAAATTACAAATACACTTGTAATTAGGCTATTTTTCTTATCAAGATAAAGTACTGGTTACTTTAATCTCTTATATATAATCGATGATCTGTTCATCGTTAAACTATAGAGATTTGGTATATATTGTATAAAGTACTTTGAATTTATTATATATAAATTCTAATTTTTATGAATCAATTTTGAACAATTTATAAAATTTATTATTTTTAATCCAATTCCAAATCCAAATTAAAGAAAACGCGCGATTTGAGCAGCATGGAAAATTATTTCTCCATTTTTTAATTTTTTTCCTTCTTGTTTATCTTTTTATTCTTTTTCATAATAATAATAATATTAATAGTAATAGTAATACCAATAATAGTATTAATTAAATCCTAACTTCGTGTATACCACATATAATTTATCGATGTCTCTCTAATCCTAATTCGAGTCTCTGAATGTTTTATGCACCATGTAAAGATTGCATCAACAACAAGAGTACCATTTATCAATTTTAATTTTTTTTTTTTTATATATATGTATACATAATGTATTGTTTTTATTTTACTATTGGCAGCATATTATGACCTTCGGCGCTTCAAAGTGCAATCAAAATACTGTTCAATAAAAAATTGAGGACTGCTCTACGTTGAAGGCTGGTTGACCCTGAAACAACTCTGACTAGACATACATGGGAGTAAAAATTACCCGAGCAATTATACGAGATGATTATATAAAAAATATTAAAAACAGTTCTTGGTCCAAACCCAAAAATAAAATTCGAAAAAGTTACAATATTTCATAAAAGTAAAAATATGCACTTGTCGAAGGTGCTTTCAATGGCAGTTTATAGCGATAAATGATTTCTAATTCGTAAAATTATTTTCATTTAGTATTATATACATTACACGAAATGCCCTTTCTATTTTTTTTTTTTTTTTATTATTATAACATCTCTAATAAAACGTTCAAAATATTTGGAAAAAAAAATTTTTGTAGTACCATTTTGCATAACAATATTTTTTCCTACCAATAATAATGTGCCATCGTAAACATACAGTCTTTCGATAGTACTTTCTCCGATGTATGCTAGGCATTATTTTGGAGGGTATTAACTCTCCCGGATAGCCAAATGCAAATCAAACTACCAAAACAGTCTAATAAATACTTTTATTTCGATTTAATTTTCTTTCTACTTAAAATCTACTTCCGCACTTTGACCATCCGGGCTGGATACCTCTTGAAAAAAACTCCTTGTAACCTTCATCGCGGATCTTCCTCGAACAAGATTGATCAACAATCAGTTGTAATTAATTTGTCTTGCTCTTCCGGTGATGGCGATGATGGTGCATATGACGATGATGTAGATGCGATCTCGTTTCCTGCACGGCTGCCACCAGCGTCCTCACCGTTTCCTCGTGTCCCTCGAAACTATCTGTTTTCTTCAATTGGCTAAGAGACGAAGCTCCACCCTCAGTAGTCGTTACGCTGCGTTTGCTTTTTGGCCGCGGAAATGTTTCCCAGGAACGCTGCTTCTGCACCAGAGACGATGACTTCGGTGTAGATCCGATCAAAAGAACCATTGTTTTCCTGGGATCCTGCGCGGATTGACCTACCGTCCCATCAATGATGCTCGACCGCCTGCTTCCTGAGCCAGTGGTACTTAGGCTGTCGCAACTTGCACGACGACGTCTCCTTATTTCTGTCTTTTCATCCGCATAGAATACATCCTCCGAATCACTGGCTGGATACACTTTGGTTCCTTTGCCTGCAGAAATTGATTGTTCGTCAGGAACTGCATGTACTTGAGCCTGAACGCGTTTTTTTGCCTCTCCAGTGCTGGATGCCTCCGAAATTCGTTGATATTCTCCTTCTTCGCCTGTTAGAAATATATGGATGATTTAAATGAATGAATCAGAATGAATTAAATCAAATATATCTATCTCATCATACATTTTTCTGTGAAATGAATTATGTTGATATTTTAGAGAAATTAATGTTATAAAAAATTCATTTTGATTTGATTTAAAATATTTTTAGAACAGAAAACTAAGATTTTGATTAAGATCCAATGCAAAATATTTGTTTCATTAAATAAAAGAATTTGAAAAAGTATATATTATTTTAAAAAAAAAAGTATTATACAAAAGATAATTAAAGGATGGATTTAATTGGACCTTATATTTATGGATTATTTTAATTATATATTATGTAATTAATTATTTTGATAGAGTTCCAAATGAAAAAAATACTTGAACTGTATAACATTAAAAAATTACTACATATTCCATAATATTATTTTAAGTATGATAATGTAATATCAATTCCAATTCTTCGCACGTTGGCTTATTCTGATTTACTCTAAGAGTTTCTGTTCATTAACTTAATTGATTAGCTGATCTGATTTTAAATGATAACTTAACTAAAAATAACATTTAAGTGCATTTATCATTCCTAAATTAAACGCGATAGTACAATAATTCTTGCGTACATTTATCAGAATTTTATTTACATCAATCTATAAATACTATCTACATAATTTTTTAATCATTAAAGCATTAAATTTTTTCTAACGCTATTTAGTCGTACATATAATCCTTACAGATTTGTTCTTACCAGCCGTATGCGACTGTGGTTGCTGGGAATCCGTACATCTTTCCGTTTGATCAAGTCCTTCGGCAGAATTGTCTCCGCTGCCACCCTTCAATGATCGATACAAAGAACGTACTTTGCTGGCAGACCAGTGACCAGGCGGTGTCTTTGGTTTTGTACTATCGGGAGATTTTCTTGGTCGTCGACTCTGACTACGATCGCGACTTTCCTCTCTCCCTGGTGACTTTTTACGATCTTCTTTACTTCTAGCTTTTTCAATCAACTGACTAAGCACTCCTCTTTTGGGATCTGTAGACTTGGCTGTTCCATAAACAACGATATTTCCACTCGAATCCAAAACAGCTTCGACACCACCGGAAGGAGTACGACAACGTGTCGGTACCTCTTTGGTTTCTAAATTAAAAATTTATATATATTCTTAAAATTGAGACACATTGTAACTAAAAATATATACCTTTCATGTAAAGTGCATTATCAGCACTGGTAGCAGTAGTGCGCGAATGTCGATGATCCTTAGTTGGAGCTTGAGTTTGTGGTTGCGGGGGTTCCTGCATTTGTAATCGTGCCAAGTGATCCAATAACGCCTGTAAATGCTGATTACTGGCTACATCAGAAGCTGTCATGCTTACTTCACCAGCACTCACTCCAGTTGCAAAGGATTTTATAAATGGTTCTAATTGTTGAGCAAGATTTTGCAATTGTTTTACCTGACTTCTCAATGATAGAATATCATTCATCTAAATAAAGAAAAAATATATTAATCAAGATGTTATAGAAGATATTTTTACTTTTATCAATAATAAAATCTGAAGAATACCTGTGAATGGAATATTTCTTTTTCTATGTGAATTCTACATATCTGTTCATCCCAAAGCGCATCAAACACATTTCTAAGACGTTCTAGTTCCATTTGATAATGCTCTAATTGTTGCTCTAATACTCGACAATCTCTTGCCACTTGTTCGTAACGTGTGCCTAACGGAGGTGTGTTGGCTCTTCTCAAAAGTGCTACGTCGCGATGCAATTCCCCTAAACGTTCCTTCACTGTGAGCAACTGTTGATTCAATTCCTTTAACTGAGTATCAAATGTTCGGCAGTGATTGGAAAACGGTCCACCGTCGGTCCCACTCTTGGTCGGAATCCTCTGAGCAGATTTGCTGCTCTGCTTGGAAAAGAAATGCTTTACGTAAACGCCCGGTCATTTCTTCCTAGCACATCAGACGTGTATATAAATATATACGGGTCTGAATAAAGAGTCTGATACTGACTACCACATCATCGGCTAAGAAACTAACAAGAAACGAAACGTTTTCACGTCTGCCAAGAACAGTCAATTTGCTACAAGAATGACTGTATTCTAATCTGGCTACTAACTACCACCATACGATTAAGTACAAGCCACATCATATATCGAGTAAAATCCTGTAAACAAAAATACTTACACAGAAGTGTGCGCGAGAAATGCAATGAAAAAGAAACTTGTAATATGAACGTAAAGATGGAATTTTGTAATCGAGGTGACCGAGCTAAATGAGTCTAGATACCTGAATCACTGGCGGATCCTGCTGAGTCATCGTGTGAGTTTGATCATATAATGATTCTTTCGGAGTCTGTGCTTGACCCACATATGGTTGTAGTGCACGAGCAAATTCATTCTTATAATTAGTCTTCAAATGCGCGGTCAGCAAAGGTGGCCTCGATGGATATCCTAATTGTGCGACTCGACTAAGCCGGTCTAACATTGGATGGGCTAGCTCGAGAAATTGATATTTCGTGGCACCGCTTGTGAAGGCGGTGCACAGCATTAAATGCATCTGCAGTACAGGTAGTGCGCTACCTAGTGATAACAATTGACTGCGAACCATCCTCTCCTTCGTTTCAAACTGTCGTTGTAACTCCGTTAAAGCACTTCCATGTGTTTTTGTTATAGCTTCTTGCATTCCCTGACAGAAAGAATTCAATGTTCTCTTTTCGGAATCCAAACTATGTCGTAGTTCATCCAATTGTGATTTTAAAGCCAATACTCCATCCCGCACACCAGCTTGTAGTTCGCAGATAGAATTAACAGCTCGTTCCATCTTCTTTGATGCCTGTTGCCAGGCAGTTTCGATATCAACGCAATGAAGTCTCGCATCTGCAGGAGTATCGCGAAAACAAGTAGCGCACAGCATGCATTTGGCACTTTGACTGTACATTATATATTGTTCTCCATGGGTAGGGCAACGACGTTGGGTATCCTTGGCGCATTTGCTCATATGCAGCACTTCATGGGTAGAGAACATCTTTGCTCGGTGGGTATGCTCCCTACAGTGTGTACACAATGCTTGTCCTGTATATATATAAGAATAATTTTAAGTTCTTAGAGCAGATGATACTACTTTTTAATACACAAGATAGTAAAATAAATTATTTAATATTACTTGTAACGTACCACATGTTGTACAGAAAAACATAGTAGATTTGTCACGCTTATCACAATTGGCACAAGGTGGATTTTCAGAATTTGCCAATTCAACTAACTGACGTATCAGCTGATCGGGCGGTGGTAGTTGTGCTCCATCTTTTAGTTGTGTCTGTTGCCTATATAAAATAATATATTTAAAATTTACAAAAATAAAGGATTGTTAAAGATAAATTTAATAGTAATGAAAAAGATATATATTTTAAGTCTTGCAAAATAAGAATATTATTATAGATTATAAAAATGGATTCTAATGAAAATAATATATAAAAGAAAAAAAATGTCAGAAAACTATTATAGCAAAATGGAAAACTAAAGAATTTTATTCTGCATAATAAATTAGAATCGCACATACTTTACAATAAAGAGATATTGTCAAATCAAGTATGTATTTACAAGATAATAATAATCTATAAATAATATAAATAATAAAAATAGATTCACATCTAGATTTTAATACATATTTCAATAATATTAAATATATTAATTAAATAGTTTTAAATAGAGATTGAACTATACATTCTATTGTACAAATATAAAAAAAAATTAGAATATTTCATAATTTTATCCCTAAAATTGAAATGAAATTGTATAAAGCAAAAAATTATTATAAAAAATTAATTAAATATAACAAATTTTCTCATTATACTTGGATTTAAATCTACATATATAATTGAACTAGGAAATATAATGACATGCACATTGTAGCCGAACCTAAGCCAGACCTGGGATCATCACCCACCCTAAGGACGCCATGCAATAACAGTCGTTGTTATCTACCCGCAGATAGGACAGGAGACTTTTCCCTCAAGATGAGGGCCACGAATGCAGCGGGCACAAAAGGTGTGAAAGCAGGATAGCAGGCAAGGCTCGTTATAATAGTCATGACAGACGCCGCAGATGAGAGGATTCCTTGGACCGCCACCAGTTACTCCTGTTGTACCATCATTCTCACCGACGTCGATACCGTCAACTGTTGTCCCCGCCGAGTTCGCCATCGTCGGCCAAACCAACGGCGGCCACCTAAAAATGAGAATCCAGAATGTGCTCGACAATCGCGTCAGTAGTTTTCTTCATTCTTTTCTCTTTTTTATATTCATAAATTCATCACAATTTAATAAAAGCAGATAAAAAACAACGTACGACTAATTAAAACGATCGGAAAGAATGTTTACCCTAAGACCGTTGGCCCGCCCGCCGCAGAAAACCCTGATGGATAGTTTATCGGCTCGTCATTCTGACGTAGTATGATGGGCGCAAACCCTCAGTTGCGCCTGACGATCGACTCTGACGTCACTGAAATGCCACCAATCTCACCCCTCCACTAAGGATGCTAGTAACGGAGAAAAGAGGACAGGCTGCTGCTGCTGCTGCTGCACACGCTGCTGCGTGGTAAGGCTGCACCGATCTGCACACAGGGTAGCTATGACGTAAGTGTGCAGAGGCAGTGATGTATGTATATAAATTCATTTACAATACATTTTTCACTTTTTCCTTATAATTTTTCAAGAAATTTAATAATTTCTATAAAAATATATTTGAAAATCTACTTATATCTGAAATTTTAAAAAAATTTAAAAATGATTAAAATATTAAAATTTCTGTAAATACTTATTTTTTCTTATTTATTCAATATAAATATAGAAATAAATATATTATAAAAATTAAAAATGTAAAGCAAAATTATTTTTTTTATAAATACAAAATAATGATAATTGTATTATTCTGAATAACAATTTAATGAATATAACTTTCACTATCACCTATGTAATTTAACATTTATAAACACCTGTTACAAGACACGATGAAACAATATAATAATATATTATTTAGTAATATAAGATATAAAAATTACAAGTAGAACTTCAAATGTTTTTTTCAAATGCTCTATAAATTCTCAGAGAATCTTTTAATCTATCACTAACAGATAAGGGTGCATATAGTATGTATATACTCGATCTATATGCGTGAGAGTATCACTTCAACCCCTGGTTCAACTACTACATCACATTTTCTGCACTCTTGCAGAGATTTACATATATAGTGAAACATAGAGAATCGTTCATCTATTATTATATTGTAACTAGCTTCAGGTATAGTTTGGTATATGATGACCGATAATTAGATATTTAAAGAAAATATTCCGTAATATCGGCTAATTATTATTAAAAATCTAATAATTTTTTCTTATGGAATATTACAGTAGAATATTCAAAAGAAACTTTGAATAAAAATTGTGATTCATTTAGTAATAATCATTTTAAGATAGAAATGTTGGTCATTATGCGTCGATATCCCTAGATCAGGGATGCATAAAATATATCATGATTTCAAGATATATGAAATGTATAAAGATAAAAGTAATAAAAACTAATATTAAAATAACCTAAGAACTTAAAATGCGAATACTTTTAAAAATTAAATTTTCTCGCTTTTTATTTCTCTTTTATAAAATAATAATGATATTATATATATTATATATTATATAAAAATATTATACTATATATACTATATATATTTATGATATAATTTCATTATTGAATATTCATTTATTTTATGTGACTAATTTATAAAATTAACCTATAAATTAATATAAAAAATAATAAGTAAAATATATTGAATAAAAGTTTATAGTTAATATTTTTTTCCCTTAAGATAAATATGAAAAAAAATTATTTTTTTACAAGATAAACAAAATAATATAATATAATAACAAGATTTCATTTCTTTTTGTTTATTTGATGTTTTTAATTATTATTTTCAACTTGAACATTTAATCTGAAAATCAGATCAATATATGTTAACTATATAATAAATTTGAAACTATTCCACAATTTTCTTTGATCACGCACATATTTTTTGATTTAGTCAGATAAAAATATCAATAACGAATAATAGTAACAACTAACATCAAAATTATCTGATGAGGGTAGAATAAGCCGCCAAAAATCGCGGAATATTAACAGAAGCATAGAATATACAAAGAGGTTATCTGATAAATAAAGACAAAGAAAAAGAATAATGGAAAAAGGATAGTGATAGAATAAAAATTGCAGAATCAACGCCATCTTCACAGTACCTCAAATGAAACACACATAGAAAAGACAACAAATAGTGAAAGAAAGATAGAGATAAGATAGAAATTGAATATCAATGCCATCTCTTAGATATTAAAGATACTTCTTTAATAAAGTATGATACGAGTAAAGTATGATATTATGAATTAATATGAATAAATTTACGCCATCTCTCGAATATTTTTAAAAAAATATTTTCTTTAATATTCTAGAGATGGTACTTAATAGCAATTCTTACTCTATCTTTATTTTCTACTTTTCGCTTTCCTTATCTACATTTGTTTCATTTGTGGCATTCTAGAGATGGCGTTGACTCAATTTTTATCTATTCTGTCTTTTCTTTTATTTTTTTTTTCCTTGTTTGTGACATCACAGAATCCTCTTTAACTTCATTCTATAATCCTATTAACATTCGATTTTCAATTAAAAATTGTATACTCCTTAGATAACGTTTTCAATTTGATACAACATACATAAAAGTATTTCATATATAAAATATGAAAATATATAAATAAAAAAAATAGATAAAAAATATATATGTTATCCAAATAATATTGTTGATCAACTTCGTGATTTTATACGAATATCACGAATATCAAGAAAATATGATACATAAAAAGCTAGCATATTACATTTTTCTAGATTTTTACACATTTTATACTAATTTTTTATATATTTCTTAAAAATTGTCATATTTTTAGAGATAAATCTTTTTATCATTTTATTTAATTTTAATTATATACTTATTTAATAATTATTTTATATAAAAAAATAAATATAATTAAAATTTTAAAAAATAAATTTATATATATATATTTATTTATTACAATAAATATATTTATCTCTTTATTTATATCTTTATATCTTTAAGAACTAGAAGAAAAAATAAAAATGTATAATTTTAATATAATAATATATAATTATAATTTTAATATATTATTATATTATAATTAATTTTAATATATAATATATAATTATAATTTTATATAATATAATATAACATTATATAAAATATACATATCTTTATATAAATAAATAAATATATATATATTTTTTTTTCTCGATGCTACAAACATCTGTCATTAATATTATAGCAATAATTTAAATTTTATTTAAATTTCTACAATATTTATTTAAATTTTCGAGAAATTAAATTATAAGAAATTATGAACTAACTAATGAAGAACATATTATCCATAACTGATAGTATATCCCATAGAAATCATAAGTGTTTCTTTAATAGCAGGATGCAATTGTCTTTCAATATATCTGGTCAAAGCCTGACTGGCACCTCTTAAAAAAACATCTTCCATTTCTCTAGCTATATTTTCTTTAGATTGCCAATTTTTACTATCGTTTTCTAGATCAATCGAAAAAATATTATCTAACGATTCATCAATATATAAATGTCTAGTTTCTTTCGATTCCTCATTTTCCATTTTCGGGTAACTTTTTTCTCTCTTGACATTTGTCTTTGATTTGCTGTCATCCAAATTTCTCAAAAGAATTTTAGTTATATCGGTTAGATTGCTCTGCTCTGTTCGATCTTTGGTGCAATTACCAATTTCGTTGGTTTTTGACCGTTTATTAATCAATGCGGTTACAAAATCTTGAGGAGTGATCATCTCCGTTGATCTCGGTATCCTTATGGAACGAATACTAGCTTTGTGACCACTTTTAAAAGAATCTGAAAAACGATGTACATCCGAAGAACTCGCAACAACATTAGATTTTACAAGAGCCCGCTTTTTCCGCAATGGAGATTTGGTGAGCCAGACATTTTTCTTCCATATTCCTAATTTTGTAACAGGAGCGTTTACGAAACGAGATTGACGAGTTTCGTTCGGAATGACAACGTCTACCTCTTTCGAAACACCGACCAATTGACGTGGCTCTGCTGCCTCATAATCATCATTCAATGCTAAAGGTAGAATTGTATACTAGAAAATATTAAATGTTTCATTCCCAATATATTGAAAATTTAATTAATTAATTAAAAATGATACAAATAGATTACTTCATCTCGAGGTGGATAAAACGGAGGCCATTTGTCCTGTCTCTTAATTTGTTTGTCTAAACGTGTAGGATGGCAACCATAAGCATAAATAGAAGCAAATCTCGGCTCTAAAAAACTAGATTCCGTACGAATGCGCATTTGCCCTCTGCCACGAGCGATTGGACTCGTTAAAAAATCAACACCTGCCCGTCTCAATCTTAGAGTCATTTTGCAAGACTCAGCTGATATAGGAGATTGATGATCCCGTGGTATTAACGAAACCATTCCAGAAACAGATAAATCATTGAACATGACTCGAGTTTGAAGAGAATTGTTGTTGGGTTCGTAAATGCATTTTTCAACCCTAGCCCAATTTCCCGTATTTCTAGCTCCTTGTGATAACTAAAAATTGAAAAACAATGTCTAAATTAATACAAACAAATTAAATTAAATTTATAAAAAAAAAAAAATGATATATAAATATAAAATTCCACTTGAAAACCTTTGAAAATTTTCTCTTAAATGCAAGTGTAAATATTTCATTTATATATTAATCGTTAATTGAAAGAAAGAATCAAGATTTATCTTGATATTTACAATATATAGATTATAATCCAATTCATGCAATAAATATTACTTTCACAACAATCCGGGAGACAGACATTTCAAGTGGTACTGAACGAAGTTCTTGCTGATACAATGTTCCTGATTTCTCTTCTTCAAATCCTTTTCGTCTACTCGAGTCTTTGTGAAGTGCATCTAGGGCACGTTCTAATCTTCCACCACAGGCTTCCCAATTGCCAATATTCGAATGAATGAAATTAATCGAAGAAAATGTCAATAATATAATCACTGATATCTCACAAAATAACACCATCTCTATAACCGATAAGAAAATAATACATATTATTAAAAATAATTATAATAAAATTATATAATAATTTCTAAAGTCATTTTAATATTACATAAATTTTTTATCATGGAATTTTCAATTTGATTAGATTTCATCATTATAAAAGAATAATATGAATAAGATATTATTTATAGATCATAAATAGAAGAAAATAGAAGAAAAATCAAAGTGAAAATTATATATAATAAGAATCTAATATGAATAGGGAAAATAGTGGTCAGTTTTATTATTCTTTATGATTTTATGATAAAGCCAATTATAATGACACTTTCAAAACTTGTAAGAAACAAAAAATTATATTTTTGTGTCGCGATATCATTAAAATCTCAATAGGTATATCCTGTAGAAACTCAGTGAATTTGAGTCGCTGAAACAGAGCATGAATGCGTCTTCCTTCCGTCCAGCGTTTCAGCGACAATCGAGTGAAATCAGGAAGCATAATTTGCACTGTCTCTATTGTATTATTCGATTATTATTAATTCTTTCAAGGAATTATCGAATTAATTGCATGTATATTCTAGAATATTAAATATAATATATTCTTAATATTTCTTAATATCCACTTTGAAATAAAAAAAATTGAAATTAAAATCATTAAAATAAATCTTATAAAATTTTATATAATAATATCAATTAACTAATTAATTCTTCGTATAGAATATTGATTTTATTCTAATGTTGTACGATATTAACACAAAAAATAATAATTAAATTAATAAATAATTTTCTATCTTATTTGAAGTAAATTTCTCAATTTCCTAATTGACCGAAACATTACAATGTAAGATATATTCTTTCATTTAAGTACACGCAACTTTTTTACGGTGTCCTAAATACGAAATCTTATTGTTTGGATGGAATGCATAAATCTTGATCGGCAAAGTAAATAAAGCCAGCATCGGTATTTTTGTATGCTAATGCGCAATTCAATGTTGATTTCATTTGCTGATGTTTCCGTGCTCCGTTAACTGGCACTCCAATACTGATTTTGCAATTATTTTCCTTTTGTAGTATTTGTATTTTTTTAAAATCATCTCTTATATATATATATATCTTTGACAAAATATTAAAAATTCCATTTATTAATATTATAATTATCTATATGAATAATCAATGATTTAACAAAAAAATAAAATATTCAATTAAATTTTAAAATTATTGAGGAAATATTTAATTAATAATAACTTTAAGATATTTTAACTGAATAAAAATTAGTTACTTTTTTAAAAAAATTATATATCAGATATCAGATAAAGCATTAAATACGAAAGTAAAGAATTTTTTTTTAATATAATGTAAAAAAAAAGAAAGTAATTTTTAATGAAAGGTAGTAACTGAAACAGTGCATTATAGAAATAGTGAGAAATATAAATAAAAATATTTGTATGTACTCACTAAAAATTCGAAGATATTATGTTTTAATGATGAAAAATTTTGTAATAAATAAATAAAATTACTAGTTATTCGTTCAGAGAAATGGAAATATTCAGCTTGCACCTTTAGCGTAAGGCAGATCAAATAACAATGAAAGTGGCTAGATACGCGCGGTAACTCCTACTCTTACATCTTTCTTTCTTTTTTCTTCCGGCAATACTTATGTGGAATATGTTTGAAGGCAATGAGTTTGATATAAGATTTATCCTGAGATTTATTTATTCTAAATTAATTGATTTCATTATTTTCAATGAATTAATGATTATAATATGACTTTTTTAACATGTTTTAATATTTATAATATGATATAGTAAGCATAAGAAATTATTTTATTTATATAATGTAGTGTATTTTTAATCGTAAAAAAAAATTTATATAAATTCGCCTTCTTCGAATTTTAAAGAGAACTTAAGATTTTTTAAGATTTAAGAATTTATTAAAAAATAATATAGATTAAAAAAATATTAATCTTGATAACGTAAAATATATCAAATTTATATGTATGTAAAATTAATATAATAATTAAAATAAATTATTAATAATATGCATATGTAAAAATAATAACAGATTGCATGTTATATTTCATGTTGTGGAATATAATAGAATAGAATATAATAGATGAATTGCAGGATATGCGATTGATGCGACCTCAAACAGTTGATCATGATATTCTTATACATATTATTTCTTGATCGAGAATGAAAATAAAAATGATGCATCAATTTGCTTGGTATGTGTATAATATTATGAATTATATTGCAATTATGATTATTCGTTAAATATTGTACGTTATAGATTAAAAACGTTCAAGTTATTTGTGAATTTAATCGTTTTCAAATTTCTGATAAAAACACATAAACAGTTTTCTAGGTTATGTACATAAAATGTTTTTTTCTAGAAAGAACTTCTGTTTATTTATCATAGTTTTAGGTGAGACATTAATATCTTTCGTTGCAATTTGATAATAAGACAATTTCAATTTCTCTTATTTGTGTAGTTCATGTAATAGGTGTTTTTGGACGAATGGGCGAATGTGAAGTGATAGAAGTAATCTCATTTAAGAACTCTGATCAAAAACCTGAATCTAATTCGGAAGATATAAAATATAAAGAAGAAAATAAAATTATTGAAGCAAATGTGACAGCAACTAATTCGTCTTCTAATGTGACTAAAGTCAATTGTTTAACAGATAAAATCTATGGGCCAGTAGAAGTAAAATAATAAAATATTTGAAAATATTAAATATAAAATATAAAAGAAAAATTATATTACATAAATATAAACATAAATTTCAGATTGTTAATGCAACCAGATTAATGAAATTATTAATCTTAGAACCTGGACCATCAAATAAAAGTAGAAATGATAAAGAAGGCAGACTTTTACCAGGAACTTGCGTAATAGTATTATTTTATGCCAGATGGAGTATATTCAGTAGTCAAGCTGCGCCACATTTTAATGCATTGCCACGTTCATTTCCACATATTAAAGCAGTAGCATTAGATGCTATTAAATATCAAAAGTAAGATTATGAAATAAATATAAACATTTATATAATTAAAAAAATTTAAAAGCTTTTTAAATTTTCCATAATTTCAGTTTTAATGCTCAATATGGAATTGTTGGAGTTCCAACATTAATGCTTGTTCATAATGGGAAACCTGTAGCAAAATTTAATTATACTGTTTACACATTGGAAACTTTTGCAAAATTTATAACACAAATTACTAATTTACAACCAAATGGATCATTATATGTTACATCCTTGGATTTTTCTGGTCCTGTTTCTAGTACACCTTCTAATGGAACAGATTATTGTTTAGTTCTTTCATGGATTTTCATTACTGCATGTGCTTTGTATTTTACATCTCAAAGTAGATGGTGGCAACAATTTGTAGAATTAATTCAAAATACATGGCGTGAAAGTAATGCTCAACATGAACATGTTGATTAAAACATAAAAAAAGAGACTATTTTTATTCCATGTAACAAAAACATGGCATGAAATTCAAACATGGTATTATTATTGATTTACGTGATAATATATATTGTAATTATTAATTAAGACAATGTATATATACTTTGCTAAATAAGTAAAATATATGTTATACAGAAGAATATATTGTCTAATTATTATTTTTTACCTTCTTTTAGTATTTATAAAATTACTTATTATAAATTTTGCATTTTATATAATATTACAAAATATTGTAATAATATTATTGTATAATTATTGTAATTATTGTAAATATATTGTAAAATATTATAATTTTATCTTTTAGTAATATTATTGAATTATAAATTACAGGAAGTTTTGCAAATGCGAAGTTTGTTCTAATGAAACCTGAACATACCGCGCGCCTTTTGTCAATTGAGCATCTAATTCATTTTCGATTACTATCAATTGTTTTGATGTATGTACTATAATACAAATGATTTGAAACTCTCGAGAGATGAAATCTAACAAGATTATAATAATTTGTATTGCAATGAAACAATTATGATGTTGTAAATAATAAAGCTTGAATTTGACTTCGATAGTTAATATACCGAAACTCGCATGTAATGGCCGACTTCGCGATTCACTTATCACATCCCTAACTTCATGATTGTTGTGTGCGGCATTTGTTTGCGCTGAAGTTCGTCTCTAATGAATTTTGTTATCGCTGTTATTATAAGAAAGAAATGCCGTTTATTTTTATGTAATATAATTGATTGCAATTAAATAGATATTTTGTGGAAAGCCAAGTCTTCCGAAGAAACAACATGACATTGTTCTATATCTGGATATATTTGAAGAGTTTTACTGATTTTTGTGATTCATCATCAGGTTAGGTTCTTAACAAGGAGCCGGCTTTGTTTTTTAATTAAAAATAAAATAGACGAACGTAAAAAAATCGAGTTAAGTTAATAAAAAAAGTAGAGGGTCAGATTAAGGTCAACAAAGACCCTCTATGAGATCAGCACCAAAACGAAAAAGATAATGGGCTCGTTGAATCTTGTCTGCCCAATGTGCTGTGGTGAAACGTTTAACAATCCACAGTCATTAAAGTACCATTTATTAAGCATGACGGACAACCTATACTGTCCTGGTTGTTCGCAGCGGTCTGACTCAGTAATGGCACTCATTCAACATTTGGATCGGTGTGGACAAAGCGTTGAATCAGAGGTATCATCTGAATCAAAACGTGATACTGAGGAAGATGCTCAACAGGAATCTCAATCAGTAGATACAGAAGTGTTAATGGTTAATACCCAATGAAAATTTTTGTACTTATATTCTCTTTGGTTTTTGTTTGATAATTCTAATTTTAGGATACAAATGTTGAAGGAATAGATCAAAGCTTTCTAGCAACTGTAAATGACACTGGAATTATGATAGTTGGTGGGCCTCAAACTATACAAGTTGATGAAAATGGTGTGTAAACATGTAATTTAATCTATCTTAATTCTGTTTGTTTGACTATTATTTCTAATGAAAATATCAGGAGATATTAAAGTCGTAGAAAAGATGGAAACTGAAGAGACACACATGGAGCAAAATTCTTTGGAATTTAAGATGTCAGAAAAAGTTCCTAATATTGCAAGCAAAGCAGAAGAAAAATCTTTATCTCAGGATCAGTTAGTGGCAATTTCAACCACTTCAGAGGCAGATGATAAAAATAGAAATAAAAATGTAATTACTATTTTACCTGATGGTTCAGAACTTCTTGATGGAGATACTGGTGCTTTGATAAATATGGATCATATAAATGATGTAGGTGAATTAGATGAAGATGGACTTTTACATGTTAAACAAGAACTTTGTGAGGTATGAATAATAAAGATATTATTTATACATGAATAAATAAATTATATAATTAAAAAATGTAATTTTTACAGATTGAACCAGAAGCAGTTTACAGTTGCACTAGTTGTGATATGAGTTTTAATTCTGTTGTGGAGCATATAAAACAATTTCATGACGGACAAGAAGTACTACTTGAAATAGCTGATCAATTAGATGATATTCCTACAGTACCTGCAACTAACACCTTAACTTCAGAATCAGGAAATGTAATCAATAACAGACAAAGGCAAAGTATGAATACTCTTCGTACAGAAGAATGTGTGGACAGTGAAGGAAGATTATATACAAGAAAAGTAGTACAAATAGAAAGATTCTGGGATAGAACTCCAGCACAAACATCACTTCAATCTACTAAAGCACCAATGATTGAAAAATTTTTTTCTAATGTAGAAGGAGTGAAAGTATGAAAAGTGTTTATTTGTCTATTTATTATAATCAATCTTAATATTTTTTTCATATACATTGATTATAGGTACGAGAAAAAAGATTGGCTGCAACACCAATGAGAATGTATAGATGTAATCAGTGCCTTCAACAGTTCTCTAAATTAGGAAACTTTCGAGTTCATGCATGTCTTCATGGCAATAATCGTTGTGATAGTTGTGATCAAACTTTTGCAACACCGAAAGCATTACAATTACATGCAAAAGTACATGAAGGTGAACCTGATCCAAATCAAAAAACTTTCATATGTGAAACTTGTGGTACAGAATTTTGTTCACATAAAAGTTTGCGCTTGCATTCTCGAATGCATGCACCAGTCAGAGCAAGGCATGTTGATGCACCTGAAGGAACACCTAGTGCAACGTTCACGTGTCCTGAGTGCGGTAATGTTTTGAAAATTAAATTTAAACATAATTAATATAATTAAATTTTTTTTTAAAATACACTTATATTTATTTATATATTATTATATAATTATTATAATTATTTAGGTAAAACATTAGCAGAATCATACAAGGAAGCACACATGGCATTACATTCTGGTGATTCTGTTACTTGTACAGTATGCAACAGGAAATTTGATTCTGCTGATAGTTTAGCAATGCATGCCGCAGTACATACAGAACTAAGTCAACCACATTCACCAACACCACCTACTACAGAGACTGCTACAACTGCTGAACCTGCAGAAAATCAAAAGCCTTATCAGTGTCAACACTGTGGTCGCAGATTTACAAGACCTCATGAGAAAGTAAAACATGAACGCATCCATACTGGAGAAAAACCACATGCATGTGAGGTAAGTATATTAAAAATAATATCATTTCTATTATAAAAATAATCTACTATCTCTCAGGTTTGCGGTAAAACTTTTCGTGTATCTTATTGTCTGACTTTACATATGAGGACTCACACTGGAGTCAGGCCATATGGATGCCAACATTGTGGTAAAAGATTTAAGGCTTCATCCGTATATAATCATCATTTGCTTACACACGGAGAAGAACGTGCTTACACATGCCCATATTGTCCAAAAACTTTTAAAACACGTGTTCAATTAGCAGGGCACAAAAATAGTCACACTAAACCATTTCGATGCACTGAATGTTCCCGTCCTTTTGCTTCTTTGTATGCCGCGCGTGCTCATATACAAACTCATAAAAAAGATAATAATTTAAAATTCAGTTGTTATATTTGTGGTGCATCCTATGGTAGAGCATTTGCATTAAAAGATCATTTAAAACAACATGGTCAAGACGTATTAGCTCCACCAGAACCAGCAAGAGAAGAAGAAATTCATGAAGGAGAAGATTTTTTGCTTGCTGAAGAAGAAGTTGAAGATGATGAATTAGTTATTCCGTCACCATTACCCGTCGCGCAATCATCAGAAGCTGATGATACAGAATGAGACTATAAAAGCTAGTCATATGTTTGTTATAAATTGTAGTTTAATATTGTTTAATGTAATGGAAAATGATGATGATGAATGAATCCCTATTTTCCATAGTGTTCAAAGACTATCAGCAGGATTTATATTCATGCATTAAATGTTATAAAATTTTAGTTTTTATGAACTGACATTCTAATGTGAATTGCTGCTGTGACTAGACATGAATAGTATTTGTTTGTAAATAATACAAATATACAAATATTTGTATTATTTGTAATTATTTGTAAATAATACAAATAATACATACTACAAATTTGTATATCCTCAATGGTATTGTGCGGATAGAATATGTGAAATATGAATAGCAATTGTATCAGAGATAGTTTTATTATGCCTGTTTAATATATTAAAGTAAAAAAATCTATATTATTTAATTTATGATCTATTTTAACAATTGAGTTACATTATTAGTTACAACTATGTTGTGAATTTCAATACTTCATACCTTTCTTAATTTCTACTTTTTTAGTTATTTAATAGTAATATAAGATAATAGTAATATAATAAAATGAATTACAAAATATTACTTTATTTTAACTATAAAAAAATAAAAATCTAACAAAAATCTTTCTCAAAGATTAATATTAGAATTAATTCTAAGAGTTCCAATGGTGTTAAAAATTTATAATATAAAAAATATAGATGTATTCGTAAAAAAGTATATAAACGATTAATAATTTCAATTATTTTTAATCTCTTAAAAAAATAACATTTAGTACTACTGAAATTAAATATTTGCATAATTAAATCGTACTACTAGTATAGCTTTTATATATTTTTCGTACATTAAAAAAAAATTATGAAAAATCGTTTAGATAATTTTATGACTGACTAGAAAATAATCTACTAAGTACAAATTATATAAAGTATCTAATAAAAAATATATAAATAATAAATATATGATATATAAATCACAGCTACGTAAAATATTGTGCAAAAATATTTTTATTTAAATGTGCCAAATGTACATTCTTGTACATAAGCAAAACCTAATTAATTTATATAGATAAAAAAAGCTACCGCACATCATTATACAAATTATACAAATTTATATGAAATTCATGTGTATTCATATACATTTTCACCAAATAAAATATACTTATAAATTAAAATATAAATCATCATTATTTAATAATGATGACAAATCATCATTATTTTTCATAAAAAAAATATTTTTTTAAAAATATTTCCAGAATTGACCAATTATTTTTAACCGAAATCTCATGTTTCAAACTTTACTAAAGTGCTGAATAAACAAACTTGTTCTTGATGTTATAATGTACCATCTGTTGCATTTAGATTAAGTCTCTTGCAATTATGATTAAGCCTTTAGTACTCTATTAGAATTCATGTCGTTCTTGTGCCTTATTAAAATAAATGACATGGGTTTTTTAAATTTGTGGAATAAAAGTTTTATGTTAGATATACAATGGAATTATCATATAGAGAATAATTATGATTTTGCATCTGCTAATTTGGAAGTATGATTTTATTTAAAATATCGATTAATTATTACATTCACTATTGATATAATTGACAAATATATAAATTCTTAGTGGGAAAATGTCGACACTAGTAAGTATATGTTTCCCAGAGAAGTTTGGGAAATACGTCCTATGTGGGAAATAATTGCAAAAATCATCAGCATTTTACCAATTATCATTATTGGATCTTTTGCTAATGGTGGATTAATCTACGTGATACTCAAAGAAAAATCTTTACATACTACAACTAATCTCTTAATTGTGAATATGTGTATCGCGGATTTAGGTACATGTTTAATATGTCCATGGATATTTCTTTGCGTCGATCTATTTCAAAATTATATTTTGGGAGAGATTGGTTGTCGATTGGATGGATCATTGGTGCATGCTTTAACATTAGTTGCAGTTTTTAATTTGAGTGCAATTAGTTATGATCGTGTTTCTGCTATTGTCTTTAATTGCTCAGGAAAATTAACAAAAAGGTGATAAAATAAAGTATTAAAAATATAAAAATCATTATATAACAAATAATATATATATTACATTTTTTTTATCATGGATTTTATTTGGATCATGGATATAATCATGGATTTTTATGGATTGATATCATGGACATTATATGGATTATACATCAGAATGATGTATATTTTACTTTTTTCTACTTGGATTTTTGGAATATCTGTTGCCATTCCTTTGATTTATTTTCGTCATTATTATGAAAGACAATGGAAAAATTATTTAGAAACTTATTGCACTGAAGATACTGTGCTTATTTATCCTTATTGGCATATTTTTGCTGGTTTAAGTGTTTGGGCACCATTGACTATCATGGCAATATGTTATACAGCTATTCTTATCAAAGTATTAAAATGATAAAGTATTTAATTTTTCTTATAAATATTATAAAAATATAAATATAATCTATAAAATATCGAATTTTAGTTAGATCGTTATGAATCACAAGCTCTAAAAAATAAATATCCAATTGTGGTAAAATATAAAGGAAAAGTAGCACAAATATTGACTCTTATAGTTGTAGCATTCATTATATGCCGTGTACCATTTACCGCATTAATAATTCGTAGAGCACAATTATTGAAAGAAACGCCTAAAACAGGACAAGCAGAAGCTATATATCCATTATGGTAAATATTTCTAAAAAATTATGGATAATAAAAATATTTTTCCAATATATATGTAATATATAACAAATAAACAATTGTTACAGGTATATTAGCAGATATTTAGTATTAGTTAATGCAGCAATAAATCCTTTATTATATAGCTGTAGTAGTAGTTCATTAAAGAAGGAATTAATGCTATATTCTGTTACATCTTGGCTAATGCAAAAAAAAAAACAAAAAGTATTAAAAACTTATATTATCTCAGGATTAAAAGCACAAAATTCTCATAATCTAAAACCACAGTTTCCTTGTATACGAATCTTTTATAAAGACAGAAATACAATACCACATATTTCATCGACTATTATATGATCAAATGTTAGAATTCTATTTGCTTTAATTAATTTTATAAATATATTTTATATATTTTATTGAGAAATATAACGAGAAATATAAGAATAGGATAAATAATATAAAATTTTAAATTTCTTGTATAGATGCACTTCTTATCTATTTTTATATATTATATACTTACATCAAAAATATAAAATAGTAATGCAAACAATTAAATAAGAAACGGCAGTTTTAAATATAAAGCATTTCTCAATATAAAACAGATTTGATCAATTTTTGTAAAAATAAAAATGCATGGATACCTAGATATCTGAAGCATTATTATTTAATCGCTACATTTTTAAGACTATCAGTTGTAAGTTTGCCACCATTGACAGTAAGTAAAAGATTTCCATTCCAAGATGCTTCTCCATTACCATTTACTACGAGATCAACCTATAAAAAATTTAATTTAATAGTAACTTGTGAATATATAACTTCTTTCATTTTATTATATAAAAAACAAAAGTATACTTGTAATTTTTCCCATATTTTTTTCTTGGGATTAAGTACATCATCTGGTGATCCATCTTCATATCCATCCACAATTACTTTTTCACCTGGCTTGCTGTCTAATGGAGGTCTCAATGGTTCTACTCGTCTCATTGGTTCATCCCTATTGTTAATAATTTAAAGATTATTTAATGTAATATATATAAATTTATAAATCAAATCAAAACATACACTGAAGCACATAAAACCATTCCATGGGATTGAACACCTCTTAAATTTGCTGGTTTCAAGTTTGCAAGGACAACTACCATTCTATCTTTCATTTGTTCTAATGGTACATAATTTACAAGTCCACTGACTATTGTACGAGGTCCAGTAGCTTCTCCAAGATCAATTTTTTCTACATAAAGTGAATCAGCATCAGAATGTTTTGATACTTCAATTATTTTGCCAATTCTAATATCTAATCGAGCCGGTGTTAATTCCTCAATAATTTCTAAATATTTAACATAAGTGTTTCAAATTATCATTTAAATTTATAATTTATTCAATATTTGTTTTATATGAAAAAAATATTACTTGGCTTTTGTGGAGGATATGCTTTATTCGCTAAATTTTTTAATTTTGAATCTTTTTCAAATTCTTTTCTAATTGGATCTAAAAGTTTATTGATATAAATCTCAACTGCATTTTTTAAATCTCCAGGATGTATTTCTTCCTTAGCGAATGCATTTTCTAAATCTTCATATGTATCAAATGATATATCTCCACCTAAAAAAAGATGTTGAATTATATATATTTGTATTTATTAAAAATATTAAAAATAAAAAATGAAACATACCAAATTCAGCTGTTCTATATACATTAAAAGATTCTCCTTCTTTTAATAATGGATATATTACATATTTGGCAAATGAAAGTACTCCATTATCACTAATATTACCAGGTTCACAAAATGCTTTTTTTAACTTTTTTTTAACAACAGAAGCATTATCTAATAAATCAATCTTTGAATCTTCTTCAGAAGAAGACATTTTTGATCCTGCTAATCCAGGAACTGAAATAAAATTTTATATTTATGATTTATAAATTTTAAAAACTAATTTTTATATTTGATTTTAATATAATGCTTTTTGTTGCACACATACTCATTGGATTCATTAAATGAATACGTTTTTCATAACCAAGTAATGGTAAATATTTTTCTGAAAAGGTGAAAATTTTTCTTTGATCTATTCCACCAAACTGAGCATCAACTTTAAGATATTGTTCATCCAAAGCTTGCAAACCTGGATATAATAATCCAGAAAGCAAAGGATTTACAACTTGTTTAACTACTTCAGCACCTGCTTTTTTTGCATCATGTTCAGTAACAATAGAACTTAAACGATATACATCTAATGTATATTCCCTAGAATAAAAAGTAATTGATATAGCATATATTCTATCAATTTTTTGTTTATATTTAATTATATATGATTATTTACTTGGATAATTGATAATCAGTTCCTTTAACAAACTTTAATTTTTCCAAAGGTACATCAATAGATCTAAGCATAGCTTTAATGATTTTTTCATAATATTGGGTACGTAATTCTAAAAGTTCCCATGGTGCTTTCATATTATCCAAATAAGCATGAAGATCAGCAAATAATATAGTAACTTCTGCACCAGATTTTAAGAAATCTGCTATCTTGGACATTGGTGTAAAATAACCAATATGAGGTCTACCAGTTGTAGCAGTACCCCAATAAAGCTTCAAATCTCGTTGTTTGAGAATACTTTTAAGTTTTTCATCACCAAGCCACTCAGCTAAGTTTCTTGTGACGAGTTCATATTTTTCTTCCCATTTCAGTTCAACCATGTTTATAGCACTAAATAAAAGATAAAATTAAAATTTTAGTTTTATAAATAAATTAAAAATAAAATTAATAATTATACTTATTAATTAAATAAAATGACACATGTGTTTAGCCACGTGTACTTACGACACACGTCAAATTTCTAAACTTAACCTTATAATTAATTTTAATTATAATAACATTGATTCTAATTAAATTCGTGCAAATATTTTAAATAATATATAATTCAGTAAAATATAATAAATTAATACCAATATTATAACATAATTATAACAATTGTAACTATTTACTTAATATCTGTTTAAAATAAATCAATTGAAAATCAAAATTAAAAAATTAAAAAATAATTAAATTACTTATGTATGATATAAATTATTATCTTAATATTAAATCAATTACATTGCATAACTTCTTAAATACAATAAATTTTTTTCGGATATAATAAATCCAAAAAAAGTTGATAAGTTGAATGCATGTATTACTGAAGGTATAGTGAGAGTGAGAATATGAATAAGATATTCAAGCATATGAAAACATATATACTTTCAATTCATTATGAATATTCATAATTACAATTCATAATTATAATTCATTATAAATTTAGAGTAATGTTTTTTTTTTGAAATTATTGTTATATAAAATTAAATATTTAAATAATTTTAATTTACTATATTTTTTTTTTAATTTGCTTTATTATTATTCTCAATTTCATAATTCAATATTTATTATTCTCAATTTCAATAATCATTTCATTCTCGTTTAATATTTCATTATCTTCATTTTGTCTATAAATTATTGAATCTATTTTCTCAAGTTTATTAATTTTTTGATATCTTTCTTTAGCAACATCTTCCAATCTTTTATAAAGAAGTGATGTTGTAGGAAACATACGTTTGAAATCACGGCGATCTAAACGAACTACTTCACATACTTCTAGCGCGATTACAGTTTCTAATCTTTTTCGATCTGGAAATATTATAGCTGCTTCACCAAAGTAACCTCCATCTTTTTCATGACATATCTTAAAAGGAAATTATTAATTTTTATTACTTTTATAACATATATTAATATAAAATAAATTCGCATACTTCTTTTCCAGAGAATGTAATAAGAGCAACAGTTCCACTAACTATAAAGAACATACAATCACCTTCAGTTCTACTTTTATATATGATATCTTCGTTGAGATAAATGACTGGTTTTAAAATTCCTATAAAAATTTAACATTGAAAACAAAAAATCTTTCAAAATAAAAACATATTTTTATTTTACCCATTAAATTTCCAATGACACTGCGTGGCAAATGATGCAAAATGGTTGCTGTATCTAACAATCCACGGCTACTGTGCATCATAATTTCTTGATTTAAAAGATCTAAATTTAAAAGTATATATTTATAGGAAATTATTTATTAAAGTTGATACAAAGTTTCTATCCAAATTAAGTATTAACTTGATAAAGTACGATATATTGCATTTTCTTTAAAGTAACTGCCTTGAAAACGATACTCGTAATACTCAATAAGTCTTTTTTTAAGATTTTCTGGAAATTTTTTTTGATGAATATATTCTTTCACTTGATATATAACTTGTTGATATTTTAATTCTGCTTCTGCAGCTGATTCAATCAATTGTAAGATTATAACTGTCATAATATAAAAAATAATTAAAAAATTATTCTTAACAAATAATTATATCAAAAAAGAAATAATTACCTAAAAAATAAATTATAAATCCTTTTCCAAACAATAGTAAAATACAACGTGTTATTGTATCCATTTTACCCAGGGAATAAAATTCTAAACAAGTCGATGCCATAATATTACTCATGCCAATATGAAGATACATTAAATAAATATCAGAGTCAGATTTCTCATACAATTTGGAAGTAATTAAATACATATCTGAATCCTATAACATTTATAACTTTATATCATTAATTTCAGAGATAAAATAAACATAAGATAAGGAAATTTGAATATACCTACTTTTAAAGTTTCATCATTTATATATGCTATGATAAATGGGAAAAGGATTGTTATACAACTACTCCAATGAAATAATAATAATATCAAAATTAATAACCATATAATTTTTTCGTGAGCATGTGAAAGTACAAAATACTAGAGAAGATATGTTTATATCTTAATAAGTTTGTTATTTTTTTTTACATTTTTAAATTTTTATATCTATTTCTTACTGCGTGAAGTATTTGTCCGATGTAGTGACGTAATGTACAAATACGTACAATTTTTAAAAGTGGTAAAAATTCGGGAATCAGTAATAAAGAATTTGAATTAGGTCCAGGAGGTAAAATACGATCTTGATAAAACCAAACATATGGAACCGATGATATAAGATCAAAAAAAAAATATCCTTTCATATAATTTCTAAAAATAACAATTTGTTTTAAAAATAACAATTTGTTTTAAAAATATATTTCATCAATTAAAACATAATTTAAATTAAACTTAAATAAATTAATGAATTACTGAATTATCAAAATTGGATCAAGAAAAATTTCGTGACCATCCTTTGATTCAAAACCAGTTATCATATTAAATCCAATATCGCATAAGCAAATAATATATGCAGGATATACTAAATTCCAAATTTTTGGATCAGAACTTTTAGCTACTCTATGAAATGCCAAAATATATGGTATTGCAACAAACATGTACAGGAATGTAAATGTCATTAAGAAATCCCAATAATATCTATATAAATATAAATTTATTTTAAAATTATCTTTTTAATTATATTAATTATATTATTATATTCTTAATTATATATTTTGAAAAAATTAAAATTACCTTAAGTTACTACAAGGATGTATTACCCACCATGTTGTAGAACGCCCGTGTCTTCTCTTTTCAAAAGCAATCGCGGCTAAACTACGTAGGTAATTCCGAGTTAAAGGATGAGTTATAGAAACAAGAAAAATTTTCTGAAAATTTCGTTTCCAACGAATATAAAATCTTGCATTTGGAGGTAATTTTGGTAAATTACTGTCAGATTTTTTTGGTAATTCGCAAACATGAACATCTAATAATCTCTTTCGCATTCGTTGCATCTTTATTTTATAATTACTTTATAAAATGATACAATGATATTATATGGTTTTAGAACTTTAATATATATTTCAAGAGAAGTTAAATCAGACAAATGATGCTAGTTTTTTTGTTTTCTTTTTTCTTTTTTTTTTTATATTTAAATAAAAAAATTATATATTAAAAAAAAACCAAAATGTCAGATAAGAAAGAAATTTTTTGTAAATTATTTGATATTCGAAAATGGATTCCTGAATTTTCAATTGGTAAATTTATTCTTTTTTCCTTTTCCATAATAAATATATAAATATTTTTACTGTAATAAATTGCCATAGAAAAGTACAACTTTCTAAGCGACGTAAAAAATGTATATATTAATTATATTTTACATGTTCTACACTGCAACTTAGACATGATATTTACATGGAAACTTAAGTAAAATATTCTTAAGAATTACTGTAATATTATGCGTGAAATCTATATCATAAAATCTTTAAATTACCATAGAACATATCAAAATCATTTTATACAATAACCTTTATACATACAAAATACATGATATTATATATTGTATCACAATTTGACAAATTTTTTACTGTACATATTAAAGTATAAATTGTAATTTCTTTATATTTTATTGTAAAATAATTTCATTTTCAAATCTTAGAGTATACATTAGTATGTACAATAAATTATTAATTTCCGGTCGATCAGTTTTAAACAAAATAATTATATATTAATGATAAATATTAAAATTTTCTCAATAAGAAACTGAATTTCTCCAACAACGAATAAAAATATTCTATAAATAAAACAAATAAATGTTCACGAACGATATGTAATATAGAAAAATATACAATATATATAATATATATATATATATATATATTATATATATAAATTATTCGTCGCTGGTGAAATGAATTATATATGGAATGTAATTATTTTGATGTCTAGGAGTTATATTAATAGATTAAACATAGATTTTTGTTGAAAAAAATATTATGCCATCTTTTCAATATATTGTATCCTTCCTTTTTTTGTACTTCAGACTATATAAAACGAGCAGCTTTATGTTTTCGAGAAAGCTTAATAGTTTGTTTAAAAAATGAATCTATGAAGGATATGAAGCCAATAGGCAGTTACTCTATTTTGGTAGAATCCATTGGACCTAAAGCTCAAGAATTTTTAATACATGTACAATCTTCGATGTCTATTGATGGTCATTTCGGTGGGTCAAAAGTTATCAGTTCGGTGACATCGAAATTTCATTGCCTAGAAGAAAAGAGGACAGAGTTTGTTAATTTTTAGTAAATTTATGTTTTTTACATTCTTTTAAATAAAAATAATATTACATTAATATTATAGATTCATTTACGAAAATGGTCTATATGAAAAAACAATATTTATAGGAATAGAAGATAATTGTTATCATGTAAAATTAACACACACTTGTCCATGTGATAAATCTTCGGAAATTAAAGACTTATCCTTTTACACTAACAGTAGATTAATAAGTGAAGGAGCAAATATATTACTTATGCGATATTTGGCACTTATAAATTATGAAGGAATATTATCTTTTCAAAGCATTTCTATAGATGGAGATTCCACAGAATCTAATTACGTAAGAAAATATGAATATATTGATGAATTTAAATAACGAAATACATTTTTTATTAGATATGTACTCCTATTGAATGTATGGAATTAGATAATCGTGTATTAAATGTTTATACGATTGAACGAAAACTATGTAGAGAAGATGGAACTGTTCATACTATAAGAACATATTTAACAGCAAAAGGTAGAATACTCCGACATAATTGGTTAGATGTGCCATATATTTTGAAAATTAATCCATTAGCAGATTTAAATATTCCAAGTAAAACAATAAGAATAGAAACACCATTAAAAGATTCTTGGAATGAAGATATTGAAATGTTTTCTAAATATTTAGATATAAAAGTAAGTAATATTTAATATATTTTAATGTAAAATAACTTATAAAAATAAAATACATATTTTATACATATATTATTAATAGTTTTCCAAAATCGCTGAAGAAACGGAATACTTAGCTGATCACCCGGAAATAAAACAATTAATTGCAGATTATATTCAAATACTGTTAGTTGGTAATCAATTTCTTGATTGGGAAAACATTGTACCAATATTTCTTAAACAGGTCAAATTGCATTTTACTTTTTACAATAATATATTAATATCTTTATAATTTACTGGTCTCCACAGTAAAACCAGAAAATGTGATAGATTTTACAATACAACATTTTAAAGCATTTGCAAAAAATCCAATGACTTGGGAGACCAGTACATTGAAAGAAGATTATGATAATAATGTAACATCACAGCTCACAGAAAAGAAGTTGGATACTTTATGCAATATCTGTGGATTTTATGTAGATTATACTGCATTGAAAAAGATTTGTTCGCAAGAAATTACATGTTTTACAGAAGAAAATCATGAAAAAGTAAATATTTTAATATACATTATATAATATAATATACCGTATAATAATTACAAATGATCAATTTCAGAATTCCAAAGTTATAAGCTCTATTGATTCAAAAAATTCAAATGATTTTACATCTGATATTGAAGAAAAATTGGATATATCTACTTCAATAAATCATGTGTCTAATTTTTCTTCACAATTAAAAAAAACTTGTGATCAATATGAAGCTATTATTAAATTTTATAACAAATATAAAGTAAATTTTATACATATTTATAATAAAATTATATACATATATTATATTATATTTATAAAACATTCATACAATTATTTAATTTTCAGTCTTATACCAAATGTTCTGAATGTTCTAAAATTTCTAAAATATGTACAAAATGTTCTATCATAGATCAAATATTACACAAATTAAAAGACTAAATAACTATAAATTGTATTTGAGACATATAAACATTATTTTCAATTAATGCTAAAATTTACCTGTATCATTGTCTGTTAGGAGATGTATCTTTTTGGGAGTTACATATAACGCAATTTTCCTAAAAAATAAAAAACACATAAAAATTGAAAAATATTTAAATTATTTAAAATTAAGATACATACCACTACTTCGAAATTTGGTAAACAATCTTCATGAAACGAATGTTTACAATAAAATACTACTAAATTTCTTGGTTCTGTAATAAAAATAATATATTACAATCAAAATGTTATTAATATTGTATTGTAAATAGCTTTAGATACCTCTTATAATTATTTTTCTATGACAAGCTCCACACATTTGATCATCTAAAAAAAAAAAGAAATTATATAATTATTATTATTAATTAATAATATAATTGAAATTCTTATAAAATTTGCTTACATTCTTTTATAATTACAATTATTTTTATAATTAAATAATTTATAATTATTTATTACTAACCATCTATAAATATTCCTTTTTGATGACATTTGACTAATCTTTCATGTAAATTAAAATAATCATTAGATAAAATTTGTTTACATCCTTCTTGTACTGAAACTTGAAGATTATAATCACACATCATTTTAACTAAAGCTTTTTTCAGGCCTGGAATTTCTAGAGATGGTTTTATTCTTTCTACCATAAGTCTAGGATCGACATATGTACCTATTTTTTGCAAGAGAAATGTAATAGCTTCTGAAAGAAATATTTTAATATTATAATTATATTTATTATTATATATATTTATTATATATAATTATATTTATAAAAATATTTTAATATTATAATATTATAATTTTAATATATATACAGTTGAAGAATTTAATATTATAATATTATAATTTAATAAAATATATTATTTCAATTTCTTACTAGGTTTATCTAGAGAATAAATAATCAAATCATTCCACAATTCTTCATCATCATGTTCCTGACAAAATGTAATTGCACTCTCCATATCATTCAATTCTCTAGTCATAAGTGCTAAAGCTTCAGAAGTATTTCCAATTCTACCAAGTAGATATACCATTTCTGGATAGAATTTTTTCTGACTACAAATATCTAATGCTTGTTGTATTGGATAATTATCAGAACGACGTAAAAGTGGTAATAATTTATCTCTTGAGTAATTAGCATAAAGTTGGACTAGCAATCCATGGTATGTACCTTTTGTATCTTTTTTATCTAATGCATCTAAATACTATTATAAATTATCTTTAAATATTAAAAGAAAGAAATTATAATATGTATTTCATATGTATTTTTGATATCTTACCAAATATAAATATCGATGATTATGCTGTAATTTTTGTACAACAATATCAGATGGCACTCTGTCTTTTTCTAAAAAAAATTGTATCGCACGTTCCGCGTCTAAATCCATTAAACCTTCTATCATATCGTAAACGGTATTATACAATTGATATTTTTGAATAAGTTGAAATACATCCTTATGTCTCAACTTTAAATACATAGCTAACGCTTTGTCGTACTTTTCATCGTGAATGTATAAAATAGCTAAAGCTTCTAACAGTACATTTTGTCGTTGATTATGAATTAAAAGATGTTCTAAAACACCATTTACAACAGCTGCAACTTTATACAATTTTGGAGACCATTCTTTGACTAGTTGGAGAAATCCATCAGGATCCATTTTCAAATATTCATAAAGAACCATTTCATAAATTAATGGATCTAATGTTACATCACCTCTTGGAAGATAAGAAGAAATAGATCGCAACTGATGAACCCTTGCAAATTTATATACCTATAAAAAAATACAAAAAAATAATATAAGTAAAATTATAAATAAAACAAATAACTTAAAAAATAATAATACTAACTTCTTCTTCCCATAATTTTTTGTCTTTTCCTAAAATTTTTAAACAGAGTTTGCCTGCTTCATCATATTTTCCACAAGCTAACAAATGATCTAAGTATACACGACCAACATCAACTAAAGTATATTTTTTACAGTTTTTGCCATTATTCACTGTTACTGCTTCTAATGCTTGTTCAAATTTTCTATGATTTAATAACCATTCTATTCTATCATCTGCATCATATAAACTAGCTATAACAATATCTTTTGGGCTTACAATGAAAAATCTATAAATAGATATAAAAACAATTAGTTTTAAAATAATAAATTTAATAGAAATGAATATTTATTTTTAAATAAAAATACCTATTTTCTTCGTTTAGACAATCTAAATGATAATCATTACAACTATATTCTTTATAACCACGAAGTGTAAGGGAATTTGCACAGACAAGAGAGAAAACCTGATATTTTGGTTCAATAACATGTAATGTTGGTCTCTGACTTTTTCCATTTTCATCTAATTCTTTCAAACAACCCAATAATACTAATTGATTTTCTAAAGGTGCAATACCAGAAATATAAAAATCCACTCGGAAAGTTGAAACTAAAATTAATACTTTATTATTCATTATATTTCTATAATTTATAAGCCATAAAATATATACCTGGATCTACTACATATTCTGGTAAGTCTCTGTTAACCATTTCTTGTGTTGATCTTTTCCTAATTTGACAAATTCGTACTATATCAACCCAACCAATTAGTAATGTTCTTTCATCTGACCATCGAAGATTACATCTATAATGTTCTGGTAATGCACTATATCAGAGAAAAATTATTTTAATCTTCATATCATATAGAATTTTTGTAATATCACAGTAAAAACTTACTCAGCAGATTTACTCCATTTAATAAGACCTAATGAACATCTGGCATTTAAATCATAAATTCTAACACCAGTATCAGATGCCCAAGCCACAAAGTGACTAATCCACGCAATTGATCTTACTCCTCCTTCTGCATCACATAGTACAGTTAGTTTCATACGAGATAAAAAAGTTTTTTCATACAAAACCAATTTATCATCTCCTAAAAATAATTTTTATTTCAAAAAAACTAAAGTTTAACTTATCTTAAAAAATTAAATACATAAAATAAAATAACCTGTAATAAATCTTCTTCCACTACCACTTTTGTAATAATTTGGATCTATAGCTATACTTTTAACTAATCTACCCATACTCATATTATGATTATTCTCTGTACTATAAAGACCATATATAAAAACTTTTCCATCATCACTACATGATGCAATGAAATCTCCATTATGATCTATAGATATCTGATTGACAGCAACTGTATGTGCTTGTAAACTTTTAGATTGTATATTATTTCCTTGATGATCTAAAAGATGTATCATACCCCAATGTGATCCCAGACATAGGAACTAAACAAAAATTAATTTATTATAATATATAAATATAATAAATTATATAGCTATTATAATTTAAAGAATTTATATATTAAGATATTTCATTTACATTATACAAAAGATTATGACTAAAAATCAGAATTTATGAAATTTATATATATAAATTTTATTATGGTTAACCTTTTCATAACTTGAAATTATTATTAACTTTAACATATTTATAAATATTAGTGATTATATTTCACACCTTAGGATGTACTGCAATGCAACTAGCTGCATCATTTTGCAATATATGTTCCAAATCATTTCGTACCCTGACATATTTGAGCCTAGGTTCTACTTCGTCTACTTCAGAGTCTGAATCATCTTGATTATTTTGATCTTCCTATAAAATAATTTGATATAATTGATATTTTATTATAATTTATAATTGATATCTTTTATTTTTGAAAAACTTATTTAAATAATACCTTATTTAAGGTATTTTCCATGCCCGTTTCTTTAATTTTTTGGTTAAAGAGAAACTTGTCAATATTCGTAACCACGAAATGTCAAAACCTTTGAAACCTTTTACTTATATATCACAAATTTTTCTTTTTCTAATTTTGTTTCGTTATTTGCACTTTACATTGATTAACATTACAAAACAATCATTACAGAATGAATATATTAAAAATTTTTAAAAATACATTTTCAGTAAATATATTTCAAAAAGACAATCATATCAATACAGTAATTCAATTCTAATATACTATACTAATAAATATTAATATAGTTTATTTTACTGTGATGAAAGGTTAATGTAAGTTAGTGCTAGGTATACTGATTATGATGATAAAGAAAGCAATTTTTCTATTATATCTATTGCATAAAAACAATGAAAATATTGCTTGTTTAATATCATATAAATATTTGTAGATAAATTATTTTTAATTTAATTAAATTTCTTCAATAAAATAATTCAAAATGTCAACAAACAATTCTATGTTCGATGAAAATGCAACAATCTCACGAACTCCACAAAAACGCAAAGAAATTCTAAGGAAAATAATAACTAGGGCTCAATCTTTACGTAAGATTTTGAATATATATTATAAAAGAAAAATAAATATTATATTTAATATAAATTTTTCAGAAGAAACAATTAATGATGAAACTATAAAAACTCTGGAATTATGCATGGAAGAAACAGATAATATAAATTCTGAAACAAGTATAGAAGAAAAGGGTATATAACTTCTGAATGTTTTCATATTTCATTTAATTCAATTTTTTGTTAAATATTTTTATTATTTAATTATATAATTATTTTCATTATTTTTTTAGTGCATAATCAAGAAGAAGTGTTAATGGATTCAGAAATGATGCACATATCTTCTAATGTTCTAAAACATTGTACAAGATCCTTAACAAAAGTTGTATGCTCATATAATCATATAGAATTTGCTAAAAAAATAGTATGTATCATAATAAATTTTTTGTTTTTAATAATTGTTCAAAAATAAATTTCATCTATTTAATTTAGGTACAATATGTAAAACAACTTCCAGATGTTGAACCAGAAACACCAGATTGGTCACTTCTGGAATCGCAAGTTATAAAATGCTTTAAAAGAACACCTCGATATACTACATTACTAGGTTTTATTCAATTTTACTATAAAATTTGTATAACTAATATTTATTTTTTATTACATTATATATTTATTTCATGTATACTTTTAGGTACTTTAACACCATTAGAAAAAAAGGAAATTAATAAAAAAAAGCCTGTAAAAATAAAAGAAACTCAAGCACAAATTAAAAGACCAGATAATGTTGTAACAATTGAAAAGGAAGAAGAAGGACCAGAAGAAACTGTAAAAATGAAAGAGTTTATCTCTAAATATTATAAAATTTATCGCAAACCGCTCGATTTTTTTAAATTAATTTTACATCCTAATGATTTTGGAAAAACAATTCAAAATATTTTACAAATATCTTTTCTTGTTAGAGATGGAAAGATAAAAATAACTAAAGGTACAATGTTAGTTTTTGCAATTATTAAAATCTATGTATACTTTTATTTATTAAATATTATTTTCTTGATAGATGCATCTGGAATACTAGTTGTTCAACCTTGTACTAAAGATATGACAGCTCAAATGAAAACAGGAAATATCGAAAATATTCAAAATGTAATGTATTTAAACATGGAACAGTGGAAGGTAATGCTGCTATTTTAAATTTTTTCAAGTTATTTTTTTTAATATTCATTTTATATTTTAGATCCTGAAAAATATTTATCGATTGGAAAATCCATTAATTGAATCTGAAATAAAATAATTTTCTTTAATTTCTATTTTCTTTTTATCATAAACGAAAAATATTTTGTAAAAACAAAAAATATTTGGTCTTTTTCTCTATATTTTTGTAAAATTTTTATTAATTTCTAACATATACTATAATATTAAAGTATATGTTATAAATAATAACAATATCAAATTAATATGAAAACATCTGGAACAAAATTACACAATTTATATATATATATATATAAAATTTATGGTTAATTATGTTCATGATGTTTTCGAAAAATTCATATACTTTTTGTGAAATTTCGAACGGAAAACAATCTTCTAATCCACGTATATTGTTGTTTAAAAATCCCTATACTTTTGGATAAAAACTAATACTTATAGAAAAAAAGAAACAGGCCTGTATTATTAGAAGATCGTTTTAATTACTTTTTAATGACATGATTAATGACTGTGAATTAATTTATTGTTTTGCCAACGATTCTGCTTTTGCTACTACTTCTTCAATTGGCCCGACCATGTAGAATGCAACTTCCGGCAAATGATCATAATCTCCAGCAAGAATTTTCTTAAATCCTTTAATAGTTTCTTCTAATGGTACTAATTTACCAGCGTGACCAGTAAATACCTCAGCAACCTATATAAAGAAGATTAATTAACAAAAATAATATTATGAAATATCGTCAATATCGTAAAATATATATTCATATGTATACCTGGAATGGTTGAGACAGGAACCTCTGAATTTTACGTGCACGTGCAACAGTGAGTTTATCTTCTTCTGATAATTCATCCATACCTAAGATAGCAATAATATCTTGAAGTGATTTGTAGTCCTGTAAGATTTTCTGTACGCCACGAGCAACATTATAATGTTCAGCACCAATTATATTAGGGTCCATGATACGAGAAGTGGAATCAAGGGGATCGACAGCAGGATAGATACCTAATATAATATCCAAAAAAAAGAGAAAATCATAAATTTTCACATTATTGAACTTTAATACAAAAATTATAAAAATAAGTATTTATATTTACCTAATTCAGCAATAGCTCGAGACAATACAGTTGTAGCGTCTAAATGAGCAAAGGTAGTAGCAGGCGCAGGATCTGTCAAATCATCAGCAGGTACATAAATAGCCTGCACAGAAGTAATAGATCCTTTTTTTGTTGTTGTAATTCGTTCCTGCATACTACCCATATCAGTTGCTAATGTTGGCTGATAACCTACAGCAGATGGAATACGACCTAGCAAAGCTGATACCTTTAAAAAAAAAAATAATTTTTAATAAAAAAATATAATATTTAAATTATAACATGATAAAAAAATAATATATACTTCAGAACCAGCTTGAGTAAACCTAAAGATATTATCAATGAATAATAATACATCCTGTCCTTCTTGATCACGGAAATATTCGGCAACGGTTAAGCCAGTTAAAGCGACACGAGCACGAGCGCCTGGAGGTTCGTTCATTTGACCATATACCAGGGCTACCTTGGAAGTTTTATCTTTCAATGAAATGACTCCAGATTCAATCATTTCATGATATAAATCATTTCCTTCACGAGTACGTTCACCCACACCAGCAAATACAGAGTAACCACCATGGGCTTTTGCTACATTATTGATTAATTCCATAATTAATACAGTTTTTCCAACACCAGCACCTCCAAATAGACCTATTTAAATATAAATATCTATTTAATTAAATTGATATGAATAAATTGCATATTAAGCGTATAAAATATAAATTTTACCTATTTTTCCTCCTTTAGCATAAGGAGCAAGAAGATCAACAACTTTTATTCCAGTTACTAAAATTTCCTGTTCAACAGACATATCTACGAATTCTGGAGCATCAGCATGAATAGGAGCAAGTTTATCAGTAGGAATAGGTCCACGCTCATCAATTGGTTCACCAATAACATTAATAATGCGTCCCAATGTCTCAGCACCAACAGGAATACGAATAGGATATCCAGAATCCAGTACATTTTGTCCACGAACAAGACCTTCAGTACCTATTTAATTATTTCAATATAAGTAAAAAATTTTTATAAAATATCTATATTTTTTATATTTTATTTAATTTTATTTATTATATTTTATATTTAATATACACAATTATAACATGAAATTACCATCCATAGCAATAGTGCGTACTGTGTTTTCTCCCAAATGCTGTGCTACTTCAAGGACTAGCCTGGGGGTGCGATTTTGTACTTCCAAAGCATTAAGAATTGGAGGAAGAGCATCATCAAATTGTACATCAACAACTGCACCAATGACAGCAACAATTTTTCCTTGAGCTCCACCTTTGGAGCTTGCAGCTTTTGCATAATCTCTACCTAATTGTAAATAATTATGTCTTAATATTTACTTTTGCATATAATTAATTATTATTTTTGAAATTATATATATATATATACAAATAATCTCTACCTAATTGTAAATAATTATGTCTTAATATTTACTTTTGCATATAATTAATTATTATTTTTGAAATTATATATATATATATACATTTAATATATATTGTATTTCATAATTCACATGATAATATAAAAAAATTATAAATAAAATAATTGTTAATAAAATAATTTTTAATAAATATTTATTAAATATAAGTATTATAGTATTATAATTATATTTAATAAATATACATATATATTAGATAATACTTATGAAAGATAAGTTACATAATATGTGGATTTCATTAAAAAATTAAGAATTTCATATTTTTTATTAAATCAATATATAAAATCTAAATTACATAATAATATTGTTAAAAGTAATATAAATCTATAAAAGACTTAAAAGATGAAGATATTCCTATAAAATATGACTTACGATAAAAAAAAAATAATAAATTTTTTATAATATAAAATATAAAATAGAAATTAAATAAAATTTCAATTATAATTGAAACAGGTAAATAATTAATAATAATGTTGACAAATTATTTCGATGCATTCAAAAATGAATCGATGACCTTAATGCCGCCATATTGGTACAGTAGAATTACTACTGTGGTTTGATCAAATAATATGGATTATATAATCAATTGAATATCTTTTTCTTAATATTTAGATGTCAATTAAATAAACAAAAACTACATTTTATAGAAATATAAAAAAGAATAATAAACTATATTAAGTAATAACATAACTAAATATTGAATATTGTCTATATAGAATATAATCTCACAGTGTTACGAAAAACAATGAAACTCAAAAAATATTTTCTATACTTACTATTTACTGATAATGCTCCCGAAATTTTGGTAATTTCATTTTGAAGGATAGAAGGTTTGACGGCCCTTAAGGCGCCAGCGGCAGCTTTCGATACAACATTCAACATCTTAACCGGCCAAGTGAAGAAGAGTGACCGGAATGGTCTTTAATTCGTATGGATAGTACTGTACTAGCAGCGTATGCGCATACACAAAATTCTATCATTGCGCATATATCTAGCGCAGCTTTATTATCAAATCGTTGCCCTTCTTTATGCCGCATTCTTAAAGAGAAACACTTTTTCTCTTTTTTAAAATACAATATGATTGGAGAAAAATATTCGTTTAATGAATACTTGATTTGTTATTATATAATTGCATATATACACGATTAGCAATTTGACTTGTTTTCTATGTAACTGTATTGTGCACGAGTTGTATCGTATAGCATGAATACTGTATATATATTGGATTTATGAGAAACCGGGTACATTAAATTTAGTATATTTTAATATAAATAAGTTATTAGAAAAATAAATACAAAATGGTTGAAGAACAACAAAAACGAGTCGATGAATATACTAGAAGAATAGTAGAAGAGATTGATAAATCAATGAGAAAAATGAAGGTGCTTTGAACTTGTAATATTTTCAGGTTATACTGTGAAACATGCGTATTTTCATAATTAAAAATCTCATTTTTTAATAAAATAATGGAATTAATAAATTATAAAAAACTATAAATTATATTTAATTTTAGGGTGATGCATATAGATGTGCTGCAAGTTGTTGTGATAATGAGACTTATAGTATAAAAAAAATTGAAAATTGTGTAAGAAATTGCAATAATTCTTTGGATCAAGCTCAAGAATATGCTAGAGAAGAACTAGAAAGAGTTCAAGTATGTTTTTTTTTTTTTCTTAATTAATAATCTCAAAATTAATAAAATTTAATAAATATCATTTTTTAGAATCGATTACAAAGGTGTGTTATGGATTGTAATGATAGAATAAAAGATGCAGCAGGACCTAATCCATCACAGCGTGATTTGGAGAAATACAGTGAACAATTTGACAAGTGTGTAACAAAATGTGTAGATCATTATTGTGAAATATTACCTAATTTAGAAAAAACAATGAAAAACGTTTTGTCTGAAAAAAAATATCAATAGTAATATAATAATAAATAATAAATATAAATAAAATTAATGAATTGCAATCTAGAGACAGTAAAATTATTCAATACTAAACTGCCAATATTTTATATATATTAAATATACATAAAATCATTTTATATAGTTTTTTACTATGTGTAACATATTTTACATATTTTCTATTATTAAGAGATTTATAATAAAATATTAACTTTTTGTGTTATTTTATTATAAATCCTTTAAAATACAGATAATATTGTACAAAAACAATTTTAACATGTACATTTTTATTGCATTTAAATGTTTGTATAAATAATATTTTGTATACAAAAAGAATGTATACAAGAACAAAAAGACCAATAATTTTATGATTATTGTATTTATTAATTAATACACTTGATTGCAATGGTACATTTTTATTTCTCTTTTTATTTTTCTTTCTCTCATTCTCTTTCATTCTCTCTCCCTCTCCCTCCCATCCTTTCTATTTTGTTTAACATAATAACAAATTCACTGTTGCAATTAATATCATTTCTTTATTGTTACAATAGACATTACGCTTATTGCACACTTTTTCATGATATAAAACCTTTCCACCACTCTCGCTTGATACAAAATAATCGTTCAAAATATGTTGCATAAATTTTGATCTAAACTGTAGAAATTTGCGAATAAATCGTTTAAATAATAATAATTTAAATATAAATATTAACACAACATATAATTCACTTGTTTCTTTACGTATACAAGTTTCTATAAAACTAGCCCTATTAGGCTTAGTATCTTTTTCTTTCGTTTTCTCTTTCTGAAAGGATCATTGTAACGTTCAATTCTTGTCATAACTGCATAAGATTGAGGTGGCTCGGTGCACTTATTGCGCAATGTAAGTATGAGCGAAGTGCCCTTTGCAGTGAACAGCCTTTTGCTGATATGCAAATTCGAAAAAATTCGACGAGAGTGATTACATTTCAAGTGACGAAATAACTTCTCGCGTTTTATTTTTTTCTTTTTTTCTTTTTTNTTTCTTTTTTTTTTTTTTCTTTTTTTTTCAATACGCGTCTCAAATTCCTAAATGCGACTCATATATGTGTTGATTATGACTCAATATCGTCAAATGGAATGGCATGAGTTTTTGGAAAAATGTCAATTTCTCAGATATTTCTGAGGTATAAGTGAATGCTGTGGTATTATTTTGCACCTGGCGTCGCACGGATTGAGAAAAAAAGTCTATGTAACATTTTGTATCCCAATCAGTCAGACTCTTCGGACTAGATTTTTTTTTCTTTTAATAAGATTGAGATTACGCGCTTTTTTATCAAACGCTGTCACATGTGAATAACTGTAGGTACATCTGGTAGAAAAAGAATTGAAGGTACAAGGTGAATGTAAGTTATGGCGCTGTGGCAACAAATTTGGCCAGTGCGTTTCGCCTTATAAAAATTTAAATTCCAATTATCGCGCATTATCATCTTTTCTTCTTTTTTTTTTTTTTTTTTTTTTCGTAGAAACTGAATTAAATTCGAGGATGGTACAAAACAAGACAAATACCTACATATTCTGTTTTAGATTTTGAGGTAATCAGATATCACAAAATACAAAGAACAATAGTAATTTTATAGGAAGTTCCTGCGTTTTAACTACAAAATTTAATATTGGATAACATTTTCAAGTAAAATTTACAACTTTCACGCAATAAACTTGATTTATATAAATAATAATTCAAAGAGCAAAATAGAAATCATGACTTGATTTATCGTCAATTAATTTTAACTTCTGATTAGGAGCAAAAATTACTTTTTAACAATATGAATATTTTTAAACATCTATCTTGATAAAGCCCAATGCGAAACATATAAGGGTACTGGTCAAGTTTGCCGGAACACCCATTCGAAAATTTCTAAATAGAACTGCGATTCTTGGTCCTATCCTAAGCTATCACCGATTGTAAATTAGTTTCTTCGATCTTCATTGCTTAATTAATATCGTGTTTAATTGTGCACCTGCAGAACGGAACATTCCAAGTATCCTATCAGCAGGTTCACTGTACTATATGCCTATGATCGCGGAGCAAAACAGTCGCTTTCGTAGCTGTGCAACTAATTTTTATGATCTTCAAAATTTTTTGTATGTCTCTTTATTTTTTGAAATAGATCTTACGTTTTCAGAAAAGTATAGTTGTTAATAATTTTGCACTGAATATTAATTATAGGCATTACGAATTCGCTGCGTTGCTTACCGTTATCATCATCGCAACTCGCCTAATATGGCTGACATAAAGCTTGACCCCGTCGTTGCGAATTTTCCCTCTACTTACATGGATATTCAATTTGTACTTTGAAATTGAGTCAACTATTTGTTTCCTTCATGAGCTTTGATTGAATCTAGTTTCCACATAATTACTGGAATTTGAACCAAAATTTGAATATTATTGTAATTAGAGATGTATTCTTACTCACGTATTCTTTTAAATGTCACACTGATCATTTTGAATATTATAGATATTTTTATTTAAGAGACAGAAAAAGATATTTATTAATAAATTTCACTATATGGCAACTATTTCAATTAAAGCACAGTTTAACCCGCTTAAATTGAAATTCGAACGCCGTGGACAAGCCTTTTTTCAATTAAATAATAACTTTGTTAGCCGATCTAGCTAATCTGTGTTTAAAAAAGAAACATCAAACAACTAGGAAGAAAGACTATTGATTTTAAAGAAGAGAGTGCGTACTTTTAGATAGAATAGGTAAGTATCTTCGAAGTCGTTGAATACGTGAGAATCTTCGATATATTTTATAATTTTAATTTTGTCGTTTGGCACTCGAGCCTCAAATATTATCGCTTATACTTTTAATCGCAAAACACGTCAAAATTATGTTGATTCTAACGATGTTAAAACCTTTTCAAGGTTTTTACCAACTCACTACCTTTACTAAAATTTTTATCAAAAAAGAATAATAAAAGTTTTCTACTACTAGTTGTTTACTAAATTCGAAGTACAAAGCGCAACAATTAGCCTCATAACTATGAATGACTCTCACGCATTCCTCGGGCTCCTATCACGTACATATTTTTTTTTTCCTTTTTCTTTTTCTAAACGTTAGGGCTACTCAAGATGATTTTTTAAATGTTGGAGTATTAAAGACTCCAAAGGAAAAAAATATCGAAAAAAATATATAGTCATGTAGAAAGTAACAAAAATAATACGAGTAGCCCTTTTGTTCTTCGGTCTGTCTTGCAGAAAACCAAGTCGCGCTTAAAAAAGGCTTAGAACACACTTTGAATATCGATCCCTGTAGGCGAATGAGACAACTCGCATCCACTGGTGCACGTATTCACTCGTTAATTCTAAAAAGAAGAACAACACCGTGTTCCCTACTCTCGCTCGCGTCCAATATTCCTTTTATTTAAAAAAAAAAAAAAAAAAAAAAAAAAAAAAAAAAAAAAAAAAAAAAAAAAAAAAAAATGGAATATCTCGTGCGTTTTGAAAAGTCGTTGATTGCAGAAAAATCGATCAAAATATATACTTGAAAAAGTCGATATTTTTTTATATTGTATAAACAAAATTAATCGTTTTTGGAAAAAAATTGTATAGCATTCATAATATTCAAATATATTGCGAGATGTTATGAAATTACTTTGAACTTAATTTGTGTGATTATGAAAAATTATATATATTAAATGTATTATTTTTTAAATAATTATCTTAAATTTTACTTCAAATACGCCAAGAGATTGATTTATCACTTGATCGTTACCATCATGAAACAACGACATATCATCAAAGACCTACAACTTTACTGTCACGCATTTTCATCAATTTACAAAATGTGATTCTGATTTTTTTTTGAATTAATTGAATATAGTCGAATATAATTAATATAAGCATCGCACGAGTCTTCCTTTCTTAATATTTTTCTTAAATCTCATAATATATTCGATGCGTTGACCGATTGCTAATATCTGAAAATTGCATTGTGCACTAATAACTATGTCACATATTTAATTTGTGACAAACTAATGAAATAACAAAAAATATACTAAGCATTTTGAAATTTTGCGAATCAATAAGTGCTACTTTTGCAATCGATCCGCGCATAAGATATACTAATTTAATAGCTGCTTCCAATGTGAAAATAGTAGAACTCTAACATAAATCAGATTTGCCTACATGGATCATCTCGACAACAATGCCTTTGTTAGACTTAGTGTTTCACAAAAGGTTTAATGGTTTACCAAAAGGTGTAACCGCCTTCTGTTCCTCCTCCTAGAAAGTTCTTCTTTTGCGATATAGCCACGCTATGACTTGCCATTGCAGCTAATTGGGCGGCATTTGGAACTGTTGGGGGTGGTGGCAAGACAGGTTGTGAAATACTATCGAATCGATTAGTAGCATCGAACCCATTCTTTAGAACAATGCAACAAATTAGTATTCTCGTTAAATATCATAACAAAAGTATATATTTAATAATAACTTACAGGCATTACGAGTGTAGGAGGCCTAACTGGAGGTTGCATTGCCGCTGCGGGATAATATGCAGCAGCTGCAGCTAATGGTGGATAATATTGCAATGGACCATATGCAGGATAACCCGCTAAGTATCCTGGATATCCTTGACCATACATTGGCTGATACATCTACATACAGATTAATTAGAGATTTTGAAGAAAATTTCTAACGAATGGTACGTGTCTTTCATAAATTATAATCAATCATTACAACAAAATATTTACCATTGGATGGGTAAGAGTTTGATCATATGTTGGCGGTGGTGGGCCTTGCGCGGCATATAGTTGTGGTTGATTAGGAAATACTCCATACGGTGCGGCACCTGCAACTATTACAAAATTCGTATATAATCGATTCATTGGAATTTGAAGGAATTTGAAGCAATACAATAAACAGATGATTCTCTCTTACGTGTACTACCGTAAGTAGCAGGCTGTGCCGGCGCAGGGACAAAACCTGTTGGTGGATGAGGTGTCACCGGGTATGCTGTAACACATGCAATGGAAAATGCAAGTCCGTTCAGTTTGTTGGCCGTAGGTTTGATCTAAGCCAACGGTACGTGGTACCACTGCTAGAAAGGATAAGAGACAACATGAATTATCGAACAACAGGCAATATTGGAACTATTCATTCGCTCTCAATTTTACATATTATGCATTTTATAAGGTTCCTTTTCCATTTCCTGCTGATCGTGTTAATTCACATCCTCATCATCGAGACATTTTTGACGCTGATCATATATATATATTATATATCATTAATAGATGAATATCTTGTTCTTTTTTTCAATTTAATTAAATTTAATTTATACGAATGCGCGTCGAATATGTCTTGATTCCAAAAGTGGTACTCCCACACCCAAGTATATCTTACACATGACATACACCGTTTTTATCAAGGTACTATTCAAAGCTCAAACAATGTTAGTCACTAAATAATGGTGAAAAGAAATAACCGAAAAAACGGTATCGTTGCCTTCTTGTTACCTTTAGAGTTTACAGCAGTTCAAAATCTTATATATTCATACAAGTGGAAAGAAAAGTTGCAATCAATACGTGTTAAGAGAAAAGAAAGAACTAATAATGCATATCTGCGTAAACTTCAGTGGTACAAGACAGGCTTCGTAGTAAAAACATTTACGACTCTTTCGAAAATCCATATCCCATCGACATTTTTATATTATATCTCGAACAATTGCTGACATTTAACAGGCTTGTATAATTTCAGAATTTTATTTTCGAGGATTCTCAAAAGAAACGTAGTTGAAAGCGAGACACTTGAGAATAGCTTAGCGAACTATACTTCTGGTACCTTAATTGTGAATAAATAAACAACAGCACGTATATATATGTATATACATATATGTATATATATATATGTATATGTTTGGAATCTGACATGGAGCAATCTGTGGTACATCTTGTCACTAGTATAAAGTAAAATTAAAAAGTCTCGAGTAATGTTTTTTTTCTGTTTATTTTTTTTTTTTTTTTTAACAGACAAAGAATCGCGTTGAAAAAAAAAATAATAAAAAAAAATATGCAGAAGAGCTTCCTCGAATTCTTTTCACCTTCTTAGAACATAATACACAGAAAAATTTTACAAACAAATCTAACAATACAGCCACTACGGGTGATACGTAATGTTCGACAGTCAAAAGAATCGTCAGGCAGTCAGTCAAGAATTAAAAAAAACGAAAAAAAAGGATAACAATAAAATGAGAAACTATTCTCAAATGAAAACTCGCGTTAATCGACCTACCTTTACTTCTAAACTAAGATATACGAAACCGATCTCAAAGCAAATAGCGTTACGCAATCAAGGTAAAAGCCAAATACATTCGTCTAAATAGTCGAACCCTTGAATATTCATGAACTGACATTAAATATTAGATGCAATAAATGTCAAAAGAATGCTATCTTTTAGTATTTTGTATTTTAAAAAAAAATAAAAAATAAAAAATAAAAAATAAAAAAAAAAGAAAAAAAAAGTATCATCGAAATTTTATTTCTAGTTTTCTTAATTTTCATTTTGTCGATCAAAGAATGTTACAAAATAATAAAATAAAAATAACAGAATTCAAAGGATATTCAAGCATATATATATATATGTATATGTGTATATGAATACAGCTATGAAACATTCAGGTTCGACTTAATTGAAAAAGAAAATAAATGACAAAAAACAGAGCTAAAATAAAGCCAGGAATAAGAAGGGTAAATGGATTGTTTTAAAAAGTGATGTTAAAAAACAAGCCCAGTAATTAAAATTCGATTAAGTGAGACACAATTCTTTTTGTTCTTTTTAGTAACCGTATAAATAATCCAATTAAATTTAATTTTCATTCAAATTAACTAACAAATCGTCATTGTTTTCGGGCGGTGAATGTGTAATTTATACAATGAGTACAGTGGTACGATGAAAAAAGGTATACATATATATATATATATGTTCATAATATGTATATATATATATATATATATATATATATATATTACATATATATATGTATATATATATATATATGTATATGTATATCAAGTTCCACACATTCAAAAAGTTGTGACAAGATTCAGCAAACCACAAATTTCTGCAAATATCCATAAATAAAGATCAAACATGATTAAAAATTCTTTATAATTGCGTAATATATATTATTAATTGGGCGCTATTCGCGTAAATTTTGCCACGAGCAGTCTTTCGTCATCGGCCACGTTCAACTCTCATTCTCGTAAGCAAACACGAGAACGCCCAATTTCATATTTTTTTTCTTTTTTTAAGTAAAGACTAAATTATGCCCTGTTCTATTGCCATTTAAAATACGCAAAACATATGTAAAGATACATTTTATTCTTTTTCTTTTATATAATAAAATAAATAAAAATGGCATCTGTTTCATTTCACATAGTAATTGTATTTTTATCATTCGAATCAACCTCTTGTTAATTCTTGTAAATCCTCACATCAATGTAGATCTATTACGCGTATGATAAATAGCTCAAGTCCAGTGACAGTGGATGGACATGTTGTACTCTAACATAGACGTCAGCCCACACCAAATTGTCCATGATAATTGAACACTGGTCCAACGCATGGAAACGAGCACTCCGCTCAAATTATGTTATATTACACTTTATCTCGATTTACGTGTAGGACGATAACGTTTTATTCATATTCCGTCTAAGTAGAAGCAAACCATCTTCTTATATAAATTTTTTAAATTATAAAGAAGGAGGCTTGTATATCCATTAATCAGATCAGCTTTCAATCGAATAATAAATTTATGTGTCAGTGCCACGGTGCAAACAATCATCGAATCCAATAACAATTGATTATAATATTAATATGCTAGTACGAGTTTACTGGGTAATTTGAACAGTGTGTTTTATTTTTCTTTACGTTCGCCTAATTCCTTTCTTTCACTTTTCCCTCTTTCTATCTCTCCCACTATTCATCCCCTTTCTTTCTGCTCTTTATTCGACCCGCCTTTCTCTCGTACACGCACGCATTCCCTCTCATCTTGCTCTGTGTTATTACTTTCGAAACCTAATTTATCCCAATAAGCATATTCAACCTAATTGCTATCAGAATCAAATGGTTTTTGTGTTTTATCCGTTTGCACGAGAAATCGGACTAAATTTGCCCGTTCCTTTTTTTTTATTGTTACAATCTATCTATTTTTTTTTCTTTTTTTAAAAAAGACGATTTTATTCATCGAAATGCTTCGGTGAAATAGTTTTTATATCTCGGAATAAACCCAGCGACCGATTGAAGATTTCATTAAATGAAATTTTGAATTTCATTAAATGAATTATCGAAGAAATTTTATTCATATGATACTTAGAAAAAGCACTTAGAAAAAAACCTAAAAAAAAAAAAAAATTATTTATTAAGATAATCTTGTAATTAATTAGCAATTTTTAGAAAAAATTTATATACTAAATTATATTATTTTTAATACTAATTTAATAGAACAAGATTTAATTTTCGATATGATTTCATTAATATACAATATCAGAATAATATATCTAAGTTTAAAAACACATTTCTATATTTAGTAATAATTTAATATTTAATATTTTATTTTATTTATTGTAATAACAATGTTATTATTACAGAAATAATGTTACGTTACAAATATTTGTACATTTGTTAATGTTTTTTTGGTTTTTAATCTCAATATAAATTCAATCGACTTTTTATCGAACTTGTTCTAGGTCGCTGGGTTTGAGAAGGTAGAGGCACTTTTATATTCACGACAACTCTCGATGAATATCGTTAAATACTATCTCATATTTAAGCTCACTATTAACAGTATACATGATATATTCTGCCAAACATGCACATGCAATTCAATTGCTTGAGAGATTCCTATAACCTTGTAGCAACAATTCAACTGGAACAATTTCTTAATAATTTCCCAAAATTTCCATAGAAGGAAGAAAAATAATTCAGAAATGTTAATGAATTCGATGGTTCGTTCACGACAGGAATAGGAACATCTCTTTATCGTGCCTAAAAAACCGTTTACGAAATTTTTTAATTATACGACAATTAAAAAATTGACAAAAACAATTTGTTCAATTCCTTCTTAACGATTTTAAATTTTCTTATAAAAAATTTATTTTTGAAAGAAAATTATATCTAAAAAAAGAAACACATCGATATAAAGTTAAGAAGACATCGAACGAATAAACATAAAAGATAGAATTATGAAAAAATTTACTACATGTTATATGAACATGCATTATAATAAGACGAGCGAGCAACTTCTATAGCAAAATTTAAATAACAAAATTTATATTTCTTTTCTTCATTTGATGATCAGAAATAATAAATAATCAATCAAGTTATCAATCAATAAAGCAGCTCGCACGTCACGCATCTTTCTAGCAATACATTCCAAGCATGCAAACTAAAATACAAATATATGAAAAATGATCAAAGCTATGTATATATGTATATTTGCACACAAAGTAGATAAGGATGCAACAAATATAATTTCGCTTAAAATTTCTTTCTTTATATATATACATCCAAAAGATATTTGCATAACACACTTCATTGTTTTGCTTTTTACTTTTAATCAATGAAGCATGTTTATATTTTTGTCATTTTTTCTTCAATTTTTTTATTATGTTGTAATTTGATCAATTTTATTATTTTTTTTCTTTTTACTTTTAAAATCGCTATATAAAAATAATATTTATGTATAAGTTATGTATAAATATATAAGAATTTATATACGCTATATATATTTTTTTATCTTATTCCAATTTAACGAAATAAACAATGCGCTAATGTTGAAGAAATTATAGTTTTTCTTATATATTAACTACAAATACATGCAACTGACCACAAGTTTTAGTTTTATCATCAATTTATGTTTGATTTATTTTATATTATTATTAAAATAAAAAAAGAGTATTTATATAATAATTTAATAAATACATACTTATCTCTGTTATTTATTTCTTTTTAACGAAAAACTTGTAGCCCGAATCAAAGCAACATGCACTATTGTTAAAAGTGAGCTACCAAGTTTCTATTGAGTAAGAATATTATAAATACGCTGAGCTTAAATACAGCATTCGTGTACACCCCGTTAGCTCACTATGCCATCTTGTGACAATTATTTCTAAGAGAATTTTTTTAATCTATTCAAAAAAAAACAAAAAAATTAAATAAATTTGATTCATATTGCGACAAATTTGAATACTCTCTCTTATAAATAAGTCACATGAGATATAGTGAGTATATTGAAACAAAGAAAATAAAGAAAAAAAAGAAGAAAAAAAAGAAAAAAATGGAAAAAGAGAAAAATAAGCAATCAGCCAATACCACGATTTCATTACGAAATATTTGTACACCCATATCAATATCTTACGTTCATATTGATTTGGATATATAGCAGCCGACGTCTCCAATTCAAAAAGTATAACTTTCTGATCACGTTTAATCTCATTCACAAAGGACTTACAAATACCATTGATGATCCTAAGCGATCTCTGTTTACGAGTATGTTCGTTTTTAATATCGCGAGATGACAGCTTCGCTCGAAAAGCCTGTGATTAAACTTTTACGCGGTCGAAAATACATATCGTTGTTCAACTGTATACAAGCGTGCATACTCGTATATTATACTTCTGTTTTCTTTAGATCGGCAGATTTTCAACAAGCAATCTCTTAACACATGGAACGGATTTTCTCGATCCTTTAATACCTGCTGATCGTGGATTAATAACCAACGTAGGCCTGGAAAAATGAGGAAACTGACATTAGTCTAATGAGAATTAATTTAATTAATGTGGCATTCCCTCAATTTTCTTACGATATGTACCCTTTTTATAATTTCACTTTTTTTATTGAACCAGGCATTCCACGATCTCTTGGTATTACAGTCTATTAATAAGATTAATGATAAAAGGAATTGGAATAGGTTGGACTAATTTTGATCGCTTGAAACATCGAAGGTGGGAAGATAGGAGCAATTCGATGTTAGATTTTTCGTTTTCTTCACTTTTTGAATCAGGAGGCGCACGGTGCATCTATATCTTCATATATATATTTGGTGGAATATATATATATATATGTGTGTATATGTGTGTGTATACGTAATATATGTTGGTATATAAACACGTAGTGAGTTAGGTAATATATAGAGAGTAAGGTGAGGTTAGATACGTGGCTTAGGCTGCGCGAACGCCGGTCTCCGAAGCTCCACCTACTGACTGGGATCAAATCGTCTTTGTAATGGTCCGCTGCAAACATATTGACAGCCACAACTGTAGGCGCTATCCTTCGGTTTTTTAGCGACTATACCGTCACGATAATATGCTCGCAGATTTGCAGCAGTAATCCTCAATTTCTCGTTATTTTTCGTAATAATCATTAACAATGTATACTGATCTACTTACAGACTAAACTTTTACACATCCCTTAAACGCTATGCTCTGTAATCATATGCCTTAGGAACAGAGCGGACTGAATTAGGAATAATCACTTAAGTGTCTGAGCTGTTAATTAAGTACAATAATAGATTACTATAAAATCATGTAGTCATGGTCCAAGCTGTATATCAATTAAATGTTTCCATCAGCACGTAAAAAACTTGAAAGTCAGTAGTAACATTAAATTACATACCTCACTCGTACGAGTTATTAAACAGCTTTTTTATAATATATTCTATATAATTTATATATTAATGCATTTTTTAAATTATAAAAAAAATAATTTAAACATTCAGAATTTATTTTATCTTATACAAATTAAAAATAAAATATTTTAGGTGTAAAAAAAATATAATTTGAAATTAATATTTGATAATTTTTAAATAAAATATCTTTTAAGATATAATAAATTTTAATCATTTTCATTTTCTCTTTCATTTAATTTTAACTATAAATTAGAAAAATAATATAATTATATTTGAAGGAAATTCATTATTATAAAATCTTAATATTTATAAGCAATATGAAATAAAAAAAATATAATGGCTTCCAGAACTTTGTTATCCAATATTATTATATATAATACTTTTAGCTTTACTTGTTTTTATTTTTTTTTCTTATGATATGAATTGAAATTATGAATTCAATTATAAATTAGAAAGTTTAATTATAATTTATTAATATTAAGATAGTTCTATAAACACAAAATAAAAATTAAAATTTTTAAAATAAAAATTAACTTCTTTTTATCACAATAATATTACTAATACTTTGAAAATTTTAATATTAAAACATATATTTCTGATAGAAAATTTGACATTTTCTGTCAAATATAAAAAATAATTTTATTTTGATATTCAACATATAATAGAATTTTAAATTTTTTCTTTCAACCAGAAATAATAATGCATAATAAAACGCAATAATAACAAATTATTATAACTAGATAAATTTTTCTTAAACACATAAAGTATATCATTATTCATATATATATGTATATATAAAATATTTTTTTAAATATATATAATACTTGGTTATAAATATAAAAATAAAATAAAGTTATATATAATATGAGATTAGTAATAATTGTATAAAAATATGATATTTTGAATAGCATATAACTTTTAATAAAGAGTCACCGTGAAAATTATTCAAGACGAACTCTGGAAGCCATTTTGTATTTCCCACACACAATACGGTATTGATTTATCTGTCACTGAACAGAAATTCACATTTTTCTCATCGCATTAAGATTAGACTTTGTTTATGTAATAATGATACGAATTTTGATAGAATTTAAACGTGCACCATTCTTCACAGGTGTTGGATAGCATTGCTAACATAAAAAAATTCGCCGTCGTACGAGTGACAAGTGGTATTCTCGACTTGAAAACACGAGATATTCTTAACGTGTATAACACATATTGCTAGTTGTATTACGCGATTACGATGTATAGTTACCTTTCTTGTCGGTCATTATTGCTTAATGTTTCACAAATTCTAGAAAAAAATACGTTATTCCTAATTAAATCACCGATTTAAGTTACAATACTGAGGAGACAGGCAACGGCTGTGACACTTGACGGACACTAGCGCCCTTTATTGAGCCTCCCCGTAGCTCATTCGATGCTTCGATTCTATTGGTTCAAATTTTACATGCTACCCTCCAATGATTACAAGGCATTTTATTTGTGATTGAGCGGTAAAAATTCAATAAATTTTATTGTAGAATAAATTTTTCATAATTTTATATAAAAATAAAAATTATTTGAAAGTAAATCTTTAATTTATATTAAAATTATTAAAAATTTGTTGAAAAAAATTATTGAAAATATCATAAATAAATTTTATAATTTTATTAATATTATTATCATATTATTATAGAGTATAGATTTTTTTTAATAATTTCTAATATAAAATATATACACTCTATAAATAATTATTATCACAGAAAGAATTTTTGGAAATTTAAAAGATAAATATTTTATTTATATTTACTTTTTTGAATGTTTTATAATTTTAAATAATTTAAGATAGATTATATGATTATAATAATCAATAAAATAAATTAATAAAATAATCATTTTATTATTTTATATTTATTATATCGACAATAATTTATATTAGATTAAATTAGAATTTAAAAAAATTATTATCTTATTAAATGACTAAACTAAAATTATCGCTTGCATTGAAAAGATAACCATAATCATGTCTTAATTCTGTATTGTAAACTATTGCTAAGAGTGATTTAGTGTCAATTTTTTGATTTATTAAAAGAAGTTATTAAATCCTATTCAGTAAGAAGAAATTGTTACATTTATTTGTATTTTGTAATTTTTTAAAACAATTTGAATAATTCTATTCGGCTTGATTATATTATGTATTTTATACATAACTATTGACAACGTTTAATCAAAATATTATGCATATATTACATATTAATATTTATAAGAAATATTATGTAGAAAATAATTATTAATATAATAATACATAATATTTATTTTGTTATTTATAAATATATACATATATTATATATATATATAACAAATATTTTAAAATTTATGATTCTATAACCTCTTATATTAATTATAAACAATTGAATAAATTAATTTACAGAAAATTCAATGGCTCATGATAAAAAAAATATAAAACGTAGTCGATCGCGTGAACGAGATCGTGAACGTGATCGGGAACGTGAAAGAGATCGAGAGCGACGAGATAGAAGACGTTCAAGAAGTAGATCAAAAGATCGAAAAAAAGATAGAAAACGTTCAAGATCACGTGAAAGATCACGGGAAAGAGATAGATCACGCGAAAAAGATAGAGATAGATCAAGGGAAAGACGAGAATTTAAAGACAAATCAAAAGATGAAAAAAAACGTAAACCGAGTCCTATATTTGTTTTAGAAGATGAAAATAAAAAAGAAACTAAAACTGAAGCAAAAAAAGAAGAGGAAGAAATTGAGGAAAAGCCAAAGCCTCCTCCAAAAAAGGAACCGCTAAGTTTAGAAGAATTATTAGCTAAGAAAAAAGCAGAGGAAGAAGCACGTGCTAAACCAAAATTTTTAACTAAAGAAGAACGTGCTGCTTTAGCATTACAGAAACGTCAAGAGGAAGTTGAAGCTATAAAAAAACAACAAGAGGATATACGTAAATCTTTTCATAGTGAAAATGCTGGGAAAGATAGAGAATGGGATGATAGGGATAGGTATATAATATTTATCTATATAAATTGAGTTCATTAAATAATTCATTAAAATTTATTTTAAGATATTTTGTAATACAGACGTAGAGATGGTCAACGTACACGAGAGGAAGAAATTAAAGATAAGGATAAAGAAAAAGAAGTAGAAGCTATTAAAGAACGTTATTTAGGATTAGTGAAGAAAAAACGACGTGTTAGAAGATTAAATGATAGAAAATTTGTATTCGATTGGGATACATCAGAAGACACATCTGTTGATTACAATAGTATTTATAAGGAAAGACATCAGGTTCAATTTTTTGGTAGAGGAAATCTTGCTGGAATAGATATTAAAGCACAAAAACGAGACCAAAGTAAATTTTATGGAGAACTATTAGAAAAAAGAAGAACAGAAGCTGAAAAAGAACAGGAGAAGTATGTATCTTTTTTTGAAATTTGAACTTATTCTTCATAATATATACTTTTACATCTTATTTATATTTATTTATTAGAATGCGATTAAAAAAAGTAAAAAGAAAAGAAGAAAAACAAAAATGGGATGATAGACATTGGTCTGAAAAAGCTCTTCATGAAATGACAGAAAGAGATTGGCGTATATTTAGAGAAGATTATAATATTACAATAAAAGGAGGACGTATTCCTGATCCAATTAGATCATGGAAAGAGTCAGGATTTCCAAAAGAAATTCTTGATATCATTGATAAAGTGGGATATAAAGATTTAACACCTATTCAAAGACAAGCTATTCCTATTGGACTTCAAAATCGTGATATTATTGGAGTTGCTGAAACTGGATCTGGAAAAACTTTAGCATTTTTAATTCCATTATTATTATGGATCACTAGTTTACCAAAAATTGAAAGATTAGAAGAAGCAGATCAAGGTCCTTATAGTATAATTTTAGCACCAACTCGGTATGTTTTATCTATATTATTATCTATATTTTTAATCTTTGTTTTATTTTTCTATAAAAAAGGTTTTTATAAAAAAGATAATATATTTTTTATAAAAAAGGTTTTTATAAAAAAGATAATATATTTTTTAGTGAGTTGGCTCAACAAATTGAAGAAGAGACTAATAAATTTGGACAACCATTAGGTATAAGAACAGTTGTTGTTGTAGGTGGTCTCTCGAGAGAAGAACAAGGATTTAGATTGAGAATGGGTTGCGAGGTATAAATTTTATATAATCATTTACTGATAAAAAAGGACTTGCAATTTGATGCATTTTAAAATAATTCTATTTCTTGTAGATAGTTATAGCCACACCAGGACGATTAATTGATGTATTGGAAAATCGATATTTGGTTTTAAATCAATGTACTTATATTGTATTAGATGAAGCTGATAGAATGATAGATATGGGTTTTGAACCGGGTATATTTTTAATAATTTATATATATATATATATATATAATTTATATATAATTAATTTGTATATATAAATAATATTAATTATTATACAAATTTTCAGATGTTCAAAAAATTTTGGAATATATGCCAGTTACAAATTTAAAACCAGATAATGAAGATGCTGAAAATGAAGAAAAACTTTTAGCTAATTACAATACAAAGAAAAAATATAGACAAGTAAAAAATAATTGATACTACATTTTATCTAAATTTAAATACATATAATAAATAATATTTATTGTAATTTTTTAGACTGTGATGTTTACAGCAACTATGCCACCTGCAGTTGAAAGATTAGCCAGAACTTATTTAAGGCGACCTGCTGTTGTATATATCGGTAGTGTAGGAAAACCAACAGAAAGAACAGAACAAATAGTACATATAATGGGTGAAGCTGATAAACGTAAGAAGTTGATGGAAATACTTAGCAGAGGAGTTGAACCACCAGTCATCATATTCGTTAATCAGAAGAAAGGAGCTGATGTTCTTGCAAGAGGTTTAGAGAAATTGGGTGTAAGTTTGAATTTTGAATTTTAATTATTTTACATTATACTTTTTTTCCTCTTTTCTCTAAATCAAATAAAATCATATTTTATATTTAATGTAAACTCAAACTTTGATATAATATTTAATTCTTTTATTAGTATAATGCTTGTACTCTTCATGGTGGAAAAGGTCAAGAGCAGAGAGAATATGCACTTGCTTCGCTGAAAAGTGGTAGTAAAGATATTTTGGTTGCTACTGATGTAGCAGGTCGTGGTATTGATATTAAAGATGTATCTATGGTCATTAATTATGATATGGCTAAAACTATAGAAGGTAAATATATATTACTAAAAGAAACGAAATTGTTAGAACAGGAATATATAATTATATCAAGGAATATATTATTATTTTTCTGTTTCTAGATTACACACATCGTATTGGTAGAACTGGTCGCGCAGGAAAAGCTGGTCTTGCTATTTCATTTTGTACAAAAGATGATAGCCATCTATTCTATGATCTGAAACAAACTATTCTTGCAAGTCCTATATCTACCTGTCCACCTGAATTATTAAATCATCCGGATGCTCAACATAAACCTGGTACAGTAGTTACAAAAAAACGTCGAGAAGAAAAAATATTTGCCTAAGAAAAAAAAAATCTAATTATAAGCGATTGCTTCGACATGCTATTAACATATGCATATGTTTCTTATATATTTTTTTATAGCAAGTAGAATATAAACAAAGTATGGATATAATAAAAAAGTAAATAAAGATGTAAATAAATACATTTTATGAAAAATTTTTAATTAACATTAGAAATTAGTTTAAATTAAAAAACTATAAATATATTTTAGATTTAAAATACAAAAATTATCATTTTAATAATTTTTCTAGAAAAAATATTCATTTTCAATTCATCTTTTTAAATGAAGTTATTTATTGTAATATTTCTTTTACTATATTTCTCATGATCATTTTGCATTTTTGCTAAATAATCATAATTAAGGAAGTGGTGCCGGTGGCGGTTTATATTCTCCATTAACTTTACATTCTTCGTTCCAATTATCTGGGATCATTGGATTTAAAATCTGTATAAATTTTTCAAGAGGACATATTGTTGTACATCCAGGAATTGTCAGAGGATATGGTTCATATTCAGTAGTATTTCTTAAAAATATCTAAAAAAAAAAATAGAATATAAAAATAATAGAAATAATTTTTATATTATATCTTATCAAGTTTTTTTATATTACTTTATATTCCTGCTTTACCTGAACATTCCATTCATCATTATTTTCATGCAATTCAATCATTATCATGATATTATAATTTGGCATTTGATTATTCCATACATGCATGACATCCATTAAAGTTACAATAGTACTATCATGACCAATATACATGAACATTTTCCTTATTTCGGGTTTTAAAGTATTATTTTTTTTCGCTAACATATCGGTAATAATTTTTTTAAGAAATGGTCCTCCTTTAAGTCTTTTAAGAACATCATTATATACATTTAATTGAAAATCATATAATGTAAGTGGTATCAGTTTATCAGGATAATAATTTTTAGTCCACTTGGGAAGAATTAAATTCATATGTTTCTAAAGTAATCAATTTACAATGTTAATAAAATTTCTTTAAGTACGTTACATATAAAATAACATATTAATTTTTTCTGCAAACCTCTGCTGTTAATGTTCCATAAAGTGAGTTGACATCATTTGGAGTTGAAATCACCATACCTGTTAAATTCGTTAATTCTTTGTAAAATTGTTTATTCTCGTCTTGAATTTGTTGAATTTCTGGTAAATTCATAATTGCGTGTCGTAATTTGGCATATTTTGGACATGTATCCCATATCAGCATTAACTATAATATATATAATTCATAAATAATTTAAATATTAATTTAATAACAATAAACATAAGATTAATATTATGCATAGAGTAAAATAAAATATGTACTGTATCTTCCGAACGGGGTTGATAAAATAAGGTAACTGGTTGCCAAGCTAAATCACGTTTAAAAGACTGTTTTTCAGTTGGTTTCCACAAAGCTGCTGCTTCTAACATAGCAGACATTTTTGTACGATCAACTGCTGTAGATTGCAAATAAAATATATCAGGACTATATATTGGACCCAAAAAATTATTATATTTTTTTCGTAGAAAAAGACCTTGATTGTATTGATTTCTTCTTCCTTCCTACATAGGATTACTTATGTTGATAATAAAAATATCGTTGATATAGTAATAGAAATTGTAAAAATATTACATTTGTTAATTGTCCCCAACCATAAGGTTCCATAGAATTATTGAGATAAGGATCATTTGGATAAGTATCCTGAGGTGCTCTCTCTCCATGTCTCATTATCTAAAAATTTATTATCATGATTAGAAATTCATATCTTTTTCATTAATCATATAATAACATTAATTCAACAGCAAATACATTTGATTCAAATAAGCATATATAAATTTATAACATGTATAAATTTTATATTCCAAAGAGAAAAAATATTTACAATATAAAAAATTTATTTTCTAAATGTTCTTAAACTTTTTTAATTTAAGTTTTTTTTTATATTTACCACTGTCACTAGTCGGAGGCTATCATTTTCAATTTCTTTATTATGTTTACTTGTCTTAACATTTTCAATTAGCATAAGCAATTCTAAAAGATAAGAACAAGATACTTTAAATTATAATTTCAAGTATTCTGAAACTATATATATAACTATATATATAATAATAAATACTTGAGTATTAAAGATAGTTACAGAAATAGAATATATGTAGATAAATGTTGTAATCTATATCTATATCTATATTTATCTATATTCAATATACCTATTTATTTTCTATATTTATATCTGTATCTATATCTCATATTTTTTGTCATTTTAAGAAACAAATATATTTGTTTAAAATTTAATATATGATATTTAAGAACTTATTAACTAAATATATATATATAATTCGTACAATTATAAAATAATAACAATAGCAACAGCAATAATAATAATTACCTAAAGTTGAGTAGATAAAATTCATAAAAAATATAAGTTTAAAAACAATCATTATTAATTAAAAATATTAAATAAATTTTTTTCGAAGTTTCTAAATTCAATTGAACTTCTGCGAGTTATTATACGCGAACAGAACAAACACATACTGGGGCTTTAAGGAGTGTCAGCAGATAATTCCTATGTCCCCACCATATAAAGAACTGTATTATACAAAAATATTGTTTGTAAGAAATCTATTGTATACTCAAAATTTCTATTTTGTATATTCAAAAATTGTTTCATATATTAATTATATTACACATATAATATAGCAGAAATATAATTCATATGTATTTTTCGTATTTTATGTATTTTGTACTTCATATAGGACCTAAAAAATAAAATATAAATTAGTAATATATTAAAAAAAATCTTTAAAAATATAATAAAGTTTAATTATTTAATTTTTAATCTTGTTTAAATTTTTATTCTTTAGGAAAAAATATAAAGAAAGCAATGATTAAGTTGTTATGCAATGAGCATAACATTGACTTGCATAATTTCTATTGTCGTATTAATATATCAAATTTATTATCAAATATTTATTACTTTATATTTTTCATTGGAATTCCATTTTTAAAAATAAATATTACAAAATTAAAATAAATTTACAATAGAAAATAGAAAAATTTATAATAGAATGTTACAAATCTATTGTAAAATTACATCGATTTGTGAAAATAAAAAGTATAATTTTTAAAACCTTTGAATTTGTTCTAACTAGATAATATGTTAAAATGTTAATATATATAAAAGAACAAGTTGAATATTCTAAGCCGATATTGATTTGTTTTTAATGAAATGTGAATGTAATAGCGGCATTATGATAACATTTAAACTATTGCATATAATAGAAAAAAATATTTTACATCATGTAATGTGAAAAACAACTATAACAACATAAAAGAGATATTACTAGAAAATACAAAAAAAAAATACGAGTAATGATATTAATATGCAATGATAATGTATAAAAATGTATTCGCTTATATAATTCTTAACTATTATCACCTTCATCTTGATTCTAACTATTTCCTATCATTAGAGTTTTATCAAGTAATATAATTTATAAAATAATTTTTCAAACTATTAAGTCTATAAAAAAAAAAAGAAAAAACGAAAAATATAAAATATTATAAACATTAATCAAATTAGTTCTTTAAAGAATAAAAGAAAGAAAAATTTGTGTTAAATGAATTATTCATTTCAAAATAAGTGCCGATCGAAAAATTTTAATTCTATAATTTTTTTATTACAATGTACTATTATATTGACATATATGTAAAACAAAAAATACATTAATACAAAGATATGATAAATGTTAAATAAATCATTCCATTCGAACTTCAAAAAACTTGCCTATACTTATTTTATCGAAATTTTTCTACTATGAATCTCTTGTCATTTTTTATTGTCAAGGCAACGATATAATCAACCAAAATATTCATTTGTTTTACCAAAATATCTTTCAACCGTGTTATCCTTTGAACAAGTTTTTATAGGTATCTACAAGGATTGATTTCCCTCATCGCGATCCGAAATTTCTTAATCGCTGTATAAGAACATCTAAGATTAAAGTTACATATGTAAGCATCTTAGTGAAGTCAAAAAATATCAGAAACGTCGAAGACGTGATTTCACAAAAAGGACCTGGACCTGCAGATACGAAAACCGCTTCAGCCGTGGATCGCATAAACGAGGGTAGTCAAACGGCGGTGTCGAAACCCCGGAAATCGCGTCGCAAGAAGACAAAAAACGCTACAGCCAATTCCAAGGTTTTTTTTAGATTCTAAGATCATTTTTTAATTTTTGATTTTAATTATTTTTTTCATTAAGTTTCATTTCTCTTTCTAAAAAATATTAAAAAATTTATTTTTAAAATTAAAAATCATTTTATCAAAATTAATGAAATTGAAGAATCTCTATTTTTTTTTTTATTATTAATTAATTAATAAATTTTTTTTAATAATTTTTATCATATAATATTAATTAAAGGCAAAAGCAATGACAACTCCTTGCGGCGAATATCGGAAGGAGATCCAAAAATGTAACGTTCAAACAGGAACACAAGCGGTAAATCAACAACCATGTTCCATACCAGCAATTCAAAGTCAAAATACCTCAACAGCACCGATGCGACCGAGATCTCTTTATACAGCGCACAGTTATCACGCACAAACAGATGAAACTAATTTCCAGGTACTTTACCTAATTAGTACAATTACCACTTGTCATAGTTGAAAGTAATTCATTCTTTCCTTTAGCGATACAGTGAATTTCCCAAATACTTTGAAGCACCGCCATCGGAACAATGGGGTGGATTAGCCGGTGCAACAGCATTTTCTAATTCAACAGCATTGTGGCGACAACCACGAAATTCTAAAACTATTGCACCATACTATGAAGAAACATGCATCTACGCAGAAAACTGGAGAGAACATGATACTGATGCCGCTATTGTAACTACACCACATGGTACAATTTCATTGAGACTTCACAACAGAATTCGGGTTGATATGACGATCGATCGAGCAGTTAGAGTAATTAATTTTAAGGTATCTTCTTTTTTTTCTATTTTATAACAAGATTCCTGTCTCAAATAAATTTTAATACCATGATTAAAATGTCTTTGCTTTTTAAAAACAGCATAATACATAAATTCATAATAATACAACAATACAAATGGTAAATAATTTCTAATACTTACATGATTATTATCTGAATTGCATTTATCGTCAGCGTAGAATAACATTGTACTATCGTTGAGCGGTTCTGGAGCAGCTGCAGCATTACTCCATCCAAACGGAAGAATATATCAATATGGATCACGAGTTGAAATCCTGGCCCATGATGCCCACGGCAATAACAAGTCAGTGGTATCTGTATCATCATTAAAGTATCATTAACAAGTAATATTATCCTTCATCAGATACGCAAAGATGTGGTATAAAGGAGTGAGCTTTACTTCAGAACAATGTGCTCTAGTTTATTTAGTTGATACGGCGGGAACAAGAACAACTACGGATTCATTTTCAGATATGAGTCAGGTATGAAAAATAGAAATTTTTTGTAAATTAAAAATAATTATACTAAAATATTGTTTTGCTCTTTAACTTTTAGGACTTTTCTCTTAGTGTTTTTTACTCTCGTTCCCGGCACGGTCCAGCATGTTTGCAAGAAGCTACGGCAGCTTTAGGTGCCGCTCAATACTGGTTAACTAATGAAGGTGTAGAAAATTGGATCATTAATAATGTTAGAGTTTCGCAAACACCTGATGGTCTTGTCAGGTAATTTTATTCATAAGAATAAATAATATAAAATATAAAAAATAATATAAATAATATAAAATAATATAAAAAATATTTAATTATATTAATCAATAAGAATATGAATTATTTTTTTATTAGGATTGCTCGAAATAGTAACAAATATCAATTACGAACATCACCTAGTAATGGTACAGCTTCGTTAACGACTCCATTTTTACATTGTACTGCATCTCTTGGTCAAACATCTCATCTTTTTGTGCGACGCGGTGAACGACGCATGCATTATGACGGAACTAGTTTTATTGTACGAAACGCGGGTCATAGTGCTGGATTCGACGACAACAATCAATTGAAAGTTTATTAAGAAAATTTAACATGAACTTATTACCGTAAGCTTTATAAATGTTTATTGGCGGCAATAATAAGACTTATTCAGTATATAGATTTAATTTTAATGCCGTAAATATACATAAAGCTACATAAAAATGAAAAGTTACATTTTTGAAAATTAGTCTCTGATAAAGTAACTTATTCACGAAATCTATAATACATTTTACTCAGTTTTTAAGTTTAGAAATTTAATTCCATTTTAAAGATGTTTAGTCATTTAATTGAATTGTCTTCACTTAAAGCATGTGAAAAACATAGCTACAATAAGATAGAGTACAATGTATTCTACGAAAGTTTTCTTTAAATTTAAAATGATTAATATTTCCACTCACTTGTTCCTTATACTTATTTTGTACAATTTCCAATAAAAGACAATTTAAGAAATATTATTTACTTATTATAGATATACATATAATTTATCTTTATAAAATTTGTTGTTATAATACACTTACAGATAATATGTATATTTTTGTTTTTGTTATTAATCAAAATCTTCAGATGAATTAGAATCATAATCATCAAGTTCAAATACTTCATCTTCATCAGATTCATTTGATTCTATTTGAAAATCATAATCAATTAATGGCCGCATTTTACGTTTGGAAGTTCCTTTTCTAAAATATTAAAGCATAATACAATTTAAAAATAACAATATATAATATATATATTGTTATATATATTAATAACAATATATAATATAATATAATCTAAAAAAACAACAATATAAAAAATAAATATCATAAATATATTAATTATAATTACATACAATTGGGTTTTTTTATGTGTTCCTTTTGAAGTAGAAGAAGTACATGCTTTTTCAGAATCAAACATACTTTTTATTTGTTGATTTCTCTTCTGTTCTTCAAACTTTTGAATATCATTAATAATTTCTTCAGCTATATTTGAATTGAATAAATTTAAACTAGTACCTGAATCATTTTTTAATTTTAATAATTGTTTATTTTCTTCATAAACTTTACTAATTTCATTTATTTTTGATAACATTTGATGCTTGTCAGTTAAATCTTTTAATATTGGTAATACAGAATACGGATTAAAACATTGTGCATTCTTTACACGATATTGCTTTTCCAATCCAAACTGGAATAAATTATATATAATATTTTCATTTATATATAATGTAATACATATTATTTATTAAAATTAAGAGATTTTCATTATATATACCTCTGAATCAAAAATACAAAAATGAAATGCATTATCTACAATTAGTTTACATAATATATAATTAGCATCTAAGTGTTCTGCTTCTTTTATTTCTGCATGAAGTTCCATAATATTTTGCCAATCATCTAATTTAACTCTAATCTTAAACTGATCTACTGGCATTTTGTAATATATTCCATATAAAAGATATAATCCTCCAATACGTTCTTTAAATCGAGGAGGTAAAAGAAGAAATTGTTTACATATATTCAGTGTTTCTTCACAAAATTCTAATAATTCTAAAAAAGTTGGACGACCTCTGAAAATGTAAAAAAAATAAAAATTACATTTTAAATTCATCATTTATTTGAATAATTATAGTTTTTCAAATTTTATAAATATCTATTATAGTAAAAAAAACTATAATTAAATTTAATAAAACTTTATTTTAACTTACGTAAAAACCAGTGAAAATCTCATCGTTTTCCAAATTTCACAAAAAGTTTGAAATCTAATGTCATCTGCCTTCTCAAAACGAGCAATTAATTGTTCACAATCTTCTTTGAAGCCGCTTAAAATCAATGATTTACTTGTTGTCATTTTTAGATCTTGATATCTCTTAATATATTAATCACAGCACTAATGAATTTTTTAAAAATATAAATTATTATTTTAGTCTTCTTTAACATAAAATTATTGAAATTAAAAATTTTTTTATTAAGTTTATATTTATAAGCACTTCGTTGACATAATTCACATTCTATATGACGTGTTACGACATCTATGAATGAAATCTATGAATAAAATTTATATTGAAAGGCGGTTTACTTAAAATGAAGTAAAGTGAAAATAATTTCTAATATAAAATTTAATAATATAACAAAATTATAAAATTAATTAAATGTCATTAATAATTAATTCAAAATAATTCATATTCTAACAATTTATAAAAATTTAGAATCTCATTATTATTTTAATGGAATTATTTTAATATCAAAAAACGTTAAATATTAAAATATTGCATGTACTTTCAAATATATCAACATTAATTAGTACAATTAATTTATTATTTTAAGATCGTTTATTTTTATATATTATATTCTTTATTATTATATATATATATATATGTATTTATGAATATATAAATAATTAGAAACATTCAAAATATTCATTTATTAATTTTTCTCAGTAATAAAGTAATTAAAAATTTAATAAATATATTATCACTGCACATATTATTTGAAGTTGAAATTCTATGGCGTAATGCGTTTAGGATCCCGAGGAAACATTGAAACTTTTCTTATATTGTCTAAACCAAGATATAACATAACAACACGTTCCATTCCAATTCCACCACCAGCATGAGGAGGACAACCATACTTGAATGCATCAATATACGATTTTATCTTTTCTAAATCTATAATTTAAAAAAATATTTATATACTTTATTATAAATTATAAATATAAAAATCTGAAATATAATTACCAATTCCGTGATATTTTGCACGTTCTGTAAGAAGTTCAGGATCATGAATACGTTGTGCACCAGAAATAATTTCTTCGCCACGCATAAACATATCATAAGAATTTGATAATTTCTGCAATAAAGCATATAATGTACATATATTATGTACGTATATTTAACATAATATTGCGACAAGTTGAATAAACTTACAGGATTATTTGGATCTGGCATTGTATAAAACGGCCTTACTGACAATGGATACTTATCCAAGATGTAAAAATCTGTATCATACTAAATAAAAAAAATAAAAGAGTAAAAAATAAATTTAAATTTGTAAATATCTTCAAAAAAAGAACCTACTTTTGCTTTAACAAGTTTTCCTAATAATTTTTCATCTGGTGTAGAAAGATCATCTTCTTCACCCAAAGTTATGCCAGCTTCTGCTAATAATTCAATAGCATCACTATATTCTAATTTTAAAGGTGGATCTAAAAATTTAAATGGTTCCACATTATATTGTTGACGTACAGCCTCGATTTCAGCAGCATAACTGAAGTTAAATTTTATAAAATTAATATTATATATATTAGAAAAAATATCTTTTATATTTATTAATAATTTTTACCAACTTGTTACGAAGACCTTTAAACATTTCTACAAATAACTGTCCAATAGTCTCAACTACTTCATGATAATGATATTTAAATGCCATTTCTAAATCAAGACCGACGAATTCTGTTAAATGTCTATGTGTATTAGAATCTTCAGCTCTAAAAACTATATAATTATATGTAATAAAATGTTTTTAAAAAATTAAATTTAAATTACATTTCTGAAATTGAAAATCACCTGCTCCTACAGTAAAAACTTTATCAAAATCAGCTGCTATTGCCATTTGTTTATAAAGTTGTGGAGATTGTGCTAAATAAGCATTTCCTTTAAAATATGATACTGTAAATACATTTGCACCACCTTCACTTGCTGCAGATATTATTTTCGGTGTATGAATTTCAACAAATCCCTATAAATAAAATTTATAAATAAATTTCTGCATTACAATTATAATTTTATTAATAACTTACTTTACTTGTAAGTATATCTCTAAATAATTTACAAATTGCTGCTTCCACCCGATATATAGCTTGATTTGCAGGAGTTCTAAGATCTAGAACTCTATTATCCAATCTTGTATCTTGATTCACTTTTATATTCAAAATATTGTCATCAGCTTCTTCTTTTATTGGTCTTGAGGCATCTTCAATTTGTAAAGGTAATTGTGGTTTCGCAATACTTATTACAAAAGCTTTTTCAATATGAATTTCTACATCTTTTTGAGTACATGACTCAATTTGAGAAGAAACACATTTTACAACTGCTTCAATATCCACAATAGATTCTTTAGTAATACTAAAAAACAATATTGTGAAATTGTGAAATACAAAAAATATAAGTTTACTAATAGATTGTGTCACTTACTTAGATATAAACTTAATCATTTGTTTGCTAACTTTATTATTAACTGCTGCTAAACCTTGTATTGTATAAGATTGCTGTCTTAAAACAATAAAACATTGTTTACCTATTAAAAACATATAAATATAGAAATAAATATATAAAGAAAATGTAAAATATAAAAATATATAATAATATATATAATAATATATATAATATATAATAATTATATAAAAAAAATGTATAATATAAAAAATATATAATAATAAATATCACATATATATATATGCAATTTTATTTTTAAATAATATACCTTTAGCACGACTTGTATGTAAACGTCCTCTTAACCAAACATTCTGGTTTTCTAAATTAGGATTCAAATCTTTAATATCAATAAATTTTCTTTCTGCATATTTTTCTTTACTTTGTATTAATCCTGTTTCTCCATATTTTCCAATTGATATATCCTCTTCTTGAATAATATTTGATTGAGCTTGCTACATATATATATATATAAAATTCAAAAAATTTTTTATTAAAAATTAATTTTAATATTTTATATAGAAAATTATTTTTTAATTAAAATATATATAAAAATTTGACTTACAATTTGAGTTTTACGTTCAGCTTTTTTTATTGCTTTTTCTCTTTCTTTTTGTTGTTTTTTAAGAGCTTTTTTAGAAAGTTCATCACTTAAAAATAATATAATAAAATATAAATATAATTTTATAATGATATATAATTTAAAAAATTAATTCATTTACCTTCCTGTAGTTGAATTAATAGATTTTTCTTCCTTCATCTACAAAAATGATGCAATATTACTTTAATAAAATCTAAATTTATTATAAATTATTAGATAAAGAAAAAAATACATAAATATAAAAAAATGATTATTTAATAAATATAAAAATATAAAAATAAAGATTAACTTAAAAAAATTTTGAAAATACACACCTTTTGATTTATTCAAACTTGAAAATTGTATCTATGTAATTGCTGACAAGCTCTTCTTATCGTATATGAATAGAGGTTATCTATATTATAATGTATCTAAAAATTTGCCGGAAGTACAATTCGCAATTTTCAAGTATATTCTGAAATAATCTATTCCTGTTATTAATCTTTCTGAAATTAATCTATTTATTTTTTTAATAACTTCTCTATTGATTAATCTACTCTTTTTATTAATTAAAAAAAAAAGAGGATATATTACACGATAAAATATAGTTCATTTACACAAATTTTTATATTATAAAAATTTTATTATAAATAATCTTATGAATATCATAAATTTGAATTTTATTTAAAGATAAAAGAAGAATAAAATAAGGATAAAGGAATAAACTGTAAATTAAACTTTATTTCGATAATTATATCGATAATTTGTAATAATGTATTATTAAAAAATTATTAAGATATCTTCACGAATTCCCTTAATATAACATAAAAAAAATTTTATCTATTGATGACAGTAATAAGATTTAAGGGTAAGGAATATATTAGATATAGATAGGAGATGAGCTCGCATCGCAAAATCTCTTCCGAAATATAAAATTAAATTTAAATTTGAGTTCAAGAAACAATCATCTTTGCTCCATCATCTGCAGAATCCAATAGAATAGATATTTGTTCTTCTGAAGAGGGTACAGAAGATTTAATTAAGGGTTTTTCATTGATTTTCACTGTTGTTTGTTGCTCAGACGTTAAATGTTTCACCGCGCTTTGCATTGTATCATTCCAGTTTTCCCAGCTCATCATCCTTTTATCACCTGAAAAAACAGGAGCTCGAGATTTGCGAGCGAGCATCATCTTACCAGAGGACATAAAAACAATAACAAGACTAGCTGCAATATTTTTATATCTACAATCATCTAATGATTCTTATTAACAATCTTTTTTGGTATCTACATATATAATATTTTGAAAATTACTTTACACCATATAATTAATATGAAAAATTTTATGCTGTTTTTATTTCTTACTTTTTAGTTTATCTGAGGAATCATCAAATGATGGATCTTGAATATTTAACATCAAACCATTCCCGCTAAGATATAAACGGTTTGGAGAGTTTGCAATCTAAAAAAAAAAAAAAAAAAAAAAAACTCATTGTATAATTCTATGATAATTTATTATAAGAAATAAAATTTTTTTTGCAATTACCGTACGAGAAATATTTTGTGCTGCACGAATTTTTCGTAATTTTAAGTAACCTGGATTTTGACTAAGAGCTAAGCCAAGGTACACAGAAGTTAAGGATATTTTAAAAAATAATAAAAAAATTATAGATATGTATATATTATATATATATATATATATATATATATATATATATTCCCAAAAATATTGAATCTGAAATATTTGTATGCCAGTCAATGGCAAGCCTATCAAAGCTACTATCATGGTTCTATTAATCTATGTACTCTATGATTAGTTAATGTTTTTTGTTAATAACTTATTAGCCTTAATGAAAGTTTTTATAAAAGAAAATATTGCTTCAAATTACCTTAAGAATCGAATGTTCCAACATTTTTGGGATACCTTATATATTTATTATATATTTTTTATATATTTATTATATATTATATATTATATTATTTTTATTATATTATTTTATTTTTTTAAAGGATATCATTTTAGCAGCTTCTGCTTCACCCTCTGCTTGAACAATTTTTTGTTGTTTTTCTTGTTTTGCTTTTTCTACAAAGAATGCTGCTCTTTGTGCCTCTTGTTGAGCAACTTGTTTGGATTCTACAGCAGCAGTATATTCTTTACCAAAACTTAATTCAGTTATTGATACATCATCTAAAACAATGTTGAAATCTCTAGCACGTTCAGTTAATTCTTTTCTTACTAAATTTGACACCTGCTGCCTTTGTGTAATTAGTTGAGATGCATTAAACTTTGCAACAACTGATTTTAATACTTCATTACAAATACTTGGTAAAACCTAAAAAATAACCATATTTTTACAGCAATAGTAAATTTTTAAATTGAAATTTTAATATTAAAAATATAATAAAATTTTATTTAACCTTTTCATCATAATCAAGACCTAACTGACGATACATTGTAGGTAAACTTTGTGCATCAGGACGAGAAAGCACACGAAGAGAAATATTGACCATTTGTAAATCTTTGGATCCTGTAGGTGAAGATAATTTTCTAGGCCTACTTCTAATATCATAAATAATTGGCCAATGAAACCATGGAATACGAAAATGAAGACCTTCAGTTAAAATATCTTGTTGAATTCCTCCTAAACGTGAGAATATAATTGCTCTATGACCAGCTTCCACTAAAACAATTATAAAATTAATGAAAAAAAATTTCTGTTCTAAATTATTAATTTGTATTAATCCATTTAAACTTATAATAATGTATATATTTATTTGTAATAAATATCAATTTAATAGAAATATGTAGATCAAACCTGTGTACATAGATTTCCAAACGCCATAACCCGTTACGCCGACCGCTGCAAGGCATGTAGCAGCAACAGATACTCCATTAGGAGCTTTAGGCAATTTAAATTCATTCATTTCAGTTTGTAATATTTTTTACTATAATTATATTTATATATCTTTTTCTGATTTAATAATTTTTAATAAATATTATTTTTCAAATCAAAAATGTAATAAGAAGCTTCGTAAAACGGAAGGCATGAACCGGTAAAGAATTAAATAGTCACAACGAAGAACGTTACTACGGAAGTATAAGAGGAAGTATAAGAAACTATAAGATGGCTATGCTATATATAATTTATTTTAATTAAAGACTTATTTTCAAATAACGATGATTTGAAAAATGTTTTTATTTATTATAATAAAAATTAAAAAAAAATAAATTCGCTTCTTATTCTTTTAATCTCTTTTCTTATTAGAAACATTTAACAATAAAAAATAAAAGTAATAGAAATGTAAAAATCATATATAAGTTATATATTTTTAATTCGAAATAATCTTAATTTTCATTTGATCGAATTATTCCATAATTTCGTCAAAATAAAGTAATAAAAAAAAATATTATAAAAAGATATTTTAAGATATCTATAACATGTTTATTTAAAATTACAATATAGTCACAAAAACATGGCGCTGTGTTATATGAGGTAATAAAAATATTACTTAATGTTTTTTATCATATTTTATTTTAACTGATAATATTAATATTAAAAATTGACTTTATTTAGATTGCTTTCTCGAAGAAGCATTGATCCTTGTACTTTTCGGAATTTTTACACTTGCAGGTAATTTATTATATAATGCGTAACCTTCATTTTATTTGAATGTTATTTATCCCGACTTATTATAAATTAAATTAAAATAATTTCTTAGTTCACGAAATATCGCTGTCTCGAAACCTTTATTTAAAGAAACTACAATTTGTGAAACTCATGATGAAAAGAATTTGCGCCTCAAGAGACCTTTGTCACCACATTTGACTATTTACCAAATTCAATTAACAGCATTTCTTTCAATTACACATCGTACAACAGGCATGATATTATCAAGTTATGCTATGTTATTTGGTATAGGTAAGATTATTATTTATCTTTACATAAAATAAAGAAAAAATAAATTTAATAATTTTTATTGTCATTATAGGAACATTACTCATCCCAGGAGGTATTCCTTGTCTCATAGAAATAATCACAGAATTAGGTTTATCTGCTCCTGTTCTTTTCGTAGGAAAAACTTTACTTGCTTTACCTGCTACATATCATATATTTAATGGATTGCGTCATTTGGTAATTTTTATAGAAATTATTACTATATTTATTAGAAAAAAATATATATTTAACTAAAGTTTCTTTTTATTGTTAAAATTTGTAGGCTTGGGATTTGGGAATGTTCCTCACAATTAAGGAAGTGTATAGTACTGGTTATGCAGTGATTGCACTATCAGCAATTTCTGCTATTGCTCTTGCTGCTATATAAATTTAGATAATTATATTATGTTGATATAACTTCTATCAAAAATTAATTGTATTATTAGATCAATAATAATTTATCTTGTACTTTGCGCAAATTATATTAAATTTATAACAAAAACAGAACTAGATGCTATTAGTAATTAATAGATATTATTAATAATTAATTTTTAATAGTAATGTAAACAAATTTAAAAATTTATTTAACAATTATATTTATATTTTAATATATGCATATTTAAATATATGCGAATATGTTAATAAATATATCATACAAAACCTTCAAGAGATGAATCAATAAATTTTTTATAAATTGCCATAAATCGCGCAACAAATGCTTCTAAATGAAAAATTGGTTTTGACCCTTTGTGCATTCTATGTTCATATTCGGCTGCAACTGTTGCAATTTCAATTTTTAGCTGAAGATCACAATTTTTTATACATTCTTGTAAAAGACCTTTAAATATCAAATCACATGGAATTGCATGAGTTAATAATTCATAAAGTCTATCCCTTATTGCAAGAAGTTTCTTTGGACTTTGTTCACTGACCATCATATTTGCTGTATTACGAATATACACTTGCCAGTCTGGTTCTGTAATATTTTGATCTGCAGTAAATGGATATCTAAAAATGAAAAATTAATATTTAAATTATTGTAATTAGATTTATGTAAGAATATCAATCTTTTAATATTCTTACTGTTCAACTTTACAAGCTTCAAGCATTAATATAGCTCGTCTAAGATTTCTACCACTAGTTTCTGCCAATCTTGTAGCTAGTTCATCTGGTAATGTTAAACCTTCGCGTTTACAAATTGTATGCAAAATATCTTTTATATTTTTTATTGATGGCGCTGGAACTCTAATTCCTAAACATCGTGATCTAATGGCTGGCAATACACGAGATGTTGAATTTGCACAAAGTATTAATCTACATGTAGCAACATATTTCTCCATAGTTCTTCGAAGAGCATGTTGTGCATCTTTTGTCAACTGATCCACATTTGTGAGTAATACCACTAATAAATTATATCATAATATTATAATAAGTTATTAGGAAATATATAAAATTAAATAATTAATAATTACTAAAATTTATAATTAAAATATTATAACTAAAATATATAATTAAAAAATTTACCTTTAAATTCTTTTTGGCCATTTGGATCTATCTGATGTGTTTGAGCTGTTGTTTTTACTAAATCCATCACTACAACTCTATCATATATGCCAACATCACTTGGATTTACTTCAATATGATAGTTGCTACTTATTGTTGAAATTTCTAATTTTTTTTTAGAAGGCGTCTGAAATCAATAATAAATTTATTTTTTTATGGAAATTAAACTAAATATATAAAAATATGTTTTATACTTCAAATGTCATTGTTTCCATTCTTAATCTCTCAGTTCCACTTCCATATAATTCTTTTATAATACACATTATACGAGTCTTTTTTCCTGCCCCTGATGGTCCATAAACTAATAAATGTGGAAAATCTCCTTTTTGTATCTAAAATTATAAAATAATTTATGAATAGAAATAAATTTCATTTATATTTAATAAGGAATGAAAAAAATAATTATATTTAATAAGGAATGAAAAAAATAATCATATAATTTTGGCATAACCTATCTTTTAAATTATATATATTCTAAGTCATGATTACCATGTTTTTTAAATAACTTGCTTGTTCTTTATGATAATCCAACTTTCCGAGTGTTGTTGGACGATATTTATCCACCCAAAGACTCATATTTGCTTGAAAAATGTATAAAATAAATGTTATTTAAATCTCTATTAAATTTATAATTTAATAAATTATTTAAATATCACGTTATAATAAATTATAATAATAAAATAATCATACTTCGAATATTGAACTTATTTAGTAATGTTTTCTTTTATTTATCTATGTATTTACAGTTATTTATAAATTAAGAGTACCTTATTTATTGTTTTCTAAGGTACGGAATTCAAAAACGCGCGAAATTATAATCTCATCAATCATAGATAAAGTATTTAATAGATCTCATAATCATTTTATAAAATTTGATTTCGATCTTATTTGGAAGGACCATATATTATTCATAATATAAAAAATATTTTTTTTTTATTATATTTATATTGTATTTTTTAAAATTTTACAAATATGTATTTATATTTATATTTGTAAAATATATATAATATATCAATTAAATAAATAAATATATTTCATATTTTAATTTTAATTTATTTTAATTTTAATTTTTATTTTTATATTTTATTGTACAATATATGTTTATTCTTAATAAAAAATTAACACACTTTGGTAAACATTATAAAAAAAAACAAATCAATATTATCGACAATAAAATTACAAGATTATAAGTTTTTAAAAATGAAATTACATATGAAATATAATGTACTATATACTTATTCATTACATTTAAAAGATAATTACTAATAATGGCAGTGTGAAAATGTTATTTTAATGAATATGCATTAACAATAATCATAAAATAAAAAAAATTATTATGATATAAATCAAAGCAAACTTAAACAAACTTAAATAAATGTAATAAAATAAATGCAAGTTAAACAAATTTTATATAAAGTTAAATTTGTTAAATGAAATGCAATGAATTTGATTTTGGACTGAAATTTAAAAAAAAAAAAATAATTTTTTAAATATTTAGAAATATAGTTAATGTAAATTAACAGAATATAGAATAGAATTTTTCAGACTTCATTATCACATATTTTCAACGATATGTACAAGATACACAATACATATATATTATGTTAATATTTTAAATAGTGCATCATATAAATGCACTTAATTCACAGAATTATTTTGATAATATAGAAAATATATAATCTTATCTCAAGTAATAATTTCATGAAATTTGTAACAATTTCTAAATACATTTTCTTAAATTACAAATACATTTTCTTAAAAACATGCAAATAATATGTGCATGATTTATAATAGTAATACTTTGGATAAATGTATTGTCCAATTCTTTTTTGTGCTAAATATATACAAATAATATTTAAATTATTAATTAAACTTATAATTAAGTTTGTCGAAAATTATATGGCCAGTGAATAAAACAATTAATGTATACATGTAATACAAAAGTAAAAGATCTTATTGACTTACGTTGTAAATTTCTACTTGATGTGCAAATTGCACATATAATTCTACATGAAATGTTTAATTGCTTACTATATTAAAAATAAAAAGTATTATAGTCGATATCGCAAAGTATATCGAATAACACATGTTTATACCCAAACACCATGTGGATTCTTGCTTGTAGGTACTGCAGTCTCCAATTGCCTTGGTGAACCTATCATTTTACGTGTACTACCGGGTTTGTGGGCACCTATGGAATAAATATATAATATTTAATATATAATTATATAAAATTATATAAATTTATATTTATAAAATTATATAAATATAATTATATAAATTTTTAATTATATTTTAATTTAAATTTTGAATACCTTCAAATAATGATTTTACTTGTTCATCTTGACAAGCAACAGCAAGACTTTGTAAATTAGCTTCTTTCATATCCGCTACTAATCGTTCTACTTGTAATTTTTTTTCAACAATTGCAGATTCTAAACTTACTACTTCAAGCTTTAATGTTTCTGCACATTGTGAAGCTAACTCAGCGGAACGTTTAGCTTGTTCTACTTCATTTTGAAGATGTTCAACTTCAGTAATAATTTTACGTTCCATTATTTGTCTTTCATCTGTTTCACGACTTATATTATGTTGTTCTATAGCAAGTTCTTCCATAACTAATCTATAATGCAAAAAAAAAAAAAAATAATTTCAATATTGTATTGCATTAAAATATTTAAATTTAATAAATTTTTACCTAATTTTGTTTTTACATTGAAGTAATTCTGTTTCACAATTCGCCAGTTTTGATCTTAGTAATGTAATTTCTGATTTTAATGTTTTTTCTTGTTGTCTAACTATTTCACTTTCTTCCTCAACATGTGCTAATTCTTTTAACTATAAAAACAATAAATGTAATTACAATTTTATTAATTAATAATAATAATAAATGTATAAAATATATACCTGTTCTTCAATAAGACGTCCCGTAGTTTCCATACGATTTACTTCTTGAGAAATGAAATCTATCTGATGCATTTGTTCTCTATTTTTAGTTTCCCAATATAATATTTCAGCATCAAACTAAAAGATAAATATTGGAATGTATTTAAAATTTTTTTTTATAAATTTATAAGTGTATATGAATTTATAACTTCATACTTTAGTTAGATCTGCTTGTTGGGCATTAATAGTATCACGTTGTTTATTGACTAGTCTTATAAGTTCAACATAGCGTTGAGTGTAAGCAACAGTAACCATATTTTGAGTTTGACCAGATAATTGATTTACAGATTGAGTTTGTCCTTTTGTTTCTTGAAATTCCTAAACATATATTAATAACATTGAAAACGATAATTATATTGTAATATATTTTTATATTTATTTATATTTTATTATATAATTTATTTAATTTTCTCTCTCTTTCCACTTTTTCTTTATCAAAATAATATAAGAAATAATATGAAAAATATAAGAAATATTTTATGTATATGTGTATATGTGTGCGCGCACGTGTATGTGTACGTATTTTATATTTAAAAAATATATTTATCTATAGAACCTGAATAAGATTTCTCTTTAGTTTGACAGAATTACTGGAAGATGGTTGATCTTCTTTATGAACATGAGGACTTCCAATATTTGTACTAGATTGAAAATGTGATCTTCCAGGACTATTTAAATTAGGTGGTGGAGGATCTCTGTATGGGGGTAAAGTTCTTAAAGGTGGTGAAGCTGGACCTGGAGGATCTCTATATGGGGGAACTTCACGCACTTTCTTTTGTGATAAATGTGTGTTACTTTCACTGCTAGTAGCATGGGTAGGCGACTGAGCTGGTTTTTGTATATTCTTTTTTATATTTAATTCCTTATTTTTTAAATGCAATGTAGGTTGAACTATGGCAACATTTTCCATTTGAATCTGAAATATATATGTAAAATATGACAAGACATTGTATAAAAATGATGTTAAAAATATATAATAATTTAAACATAATTTAAACATTATTTACTTCTGTATTATTTTCCATAACATGTCCATGCAGTCCTCCAAATGTTAATGATTTTCTGATATCACGATTTCTGTCAAGACATCCTTGTAAGTCATCAAATTCAGAATTTGGAATTACAGTATTCTTGATATCATCTTGTCCATTATTAGTTGTAATATGTTCTGTAGTAGGACTCATTATACCATTTGAACGTGTACCATGGTTTAAACGAGTTCCTAATGAGCTAGAAGTTTTATTATTTTCCGGAGTAGAACGTCTTAATATTAATTGAACCTCTGAAGAATATTCTCCCCATTTCACTAAAATCTTAATAAAAAAACAATAAATTATTCTGTATTCTTAATAATGAATCTTTAATTATTTATTTTATATTAATACCTTTAAAGGATTTTCATATGGAGCTAAGAGACGTTCATTAGTTCTCCATCTTTCTACTAAAGTGAATCTACCTGTTTGTCCTGTTGCATGGGCTAGAGCATATACTACATCCTAAAAATTAAATTTTACTATATAAATTATATTATATTAAATCATTAAATTCATAAATTATAAATTAAAAATTCAATATTTAAAATTATGAGAATATTATCATAATATTATATTAAATATATAATATATATTAATATATTAATTATATATATATTAATATTAAATTTAAATATTTAAATAGACATTACCAACCTGACATGTAGTAGTTTCTGTAACACCACATACAATACGTTGTATTCCTTCTACCCATACTTTCAACTCCATAACGTCACCAATTTAGAATTTCAAGATTAAACTTTTGCATTGCAAAATTTTATCCCTAAAAAAATTATAAAATTACTTAAACTAATTTAAATTACAACATTAATTGAATATTTCTTATAATAAGAAAATTAATTATATATTTACTGATATACGTTTATATAAATTTAAATTTCATCAAACAATCATGCTTGATAAAGTTTAAATAATATTACAATAATTAGACAATTCGTTGTCTATAACCTTAATCATATAATTATCAAAATGACAGATTTACATCCATGTTAATATAGAAGATAGATAAACTTTCCTCTAATTTTCCCTATAGCAGTTTTGCCACTTATTAAAAAATTATCTTTTGTAACTAGTAATTAAATATGCTTTAGTAAATAAATATTATTTATTATATATTTTAATTTTTTACACATTTTTTATAATATTTAATATTAAATAATAAGAAAATATAAATATGAAACATTTAATAATCTAAAATACACAAAATCCAATTTTGCTTTGTTACTAAAAGAAGAAGCTGAATAAATTAATTATAATACAGACAAGATACAGAATAGATTTAACATTTAATATATTTTTTATCCTATACTTTGAGAGCACTGGAATTCCTTTGTCATCTTAATGTCATTTTCAATATTACCAATTGAAATCAATAACATTAGTAATGGTTAAAATTGGAATTAAATTTCAATTATTAAATAAATAAGAAATTATTAAATAAATAAAAAATAAAACAAATATTCTGTTCTACTATAACTGAATAAAATTGGAAAATTGAATAGAATTTGTTCAAATTTCTAATTAATAGATTAGATAAAAAGACGTAAAATTAATCAATAATATCGTCTTTTAAATTCATAAAATTTATAGAGTAAAAAGAATAAATAATACAAAAAAAAAGATATAATAAAAATTAATCATCAGCCATTTCTTAAAAGCTTTTTACGTCTTTTTAAAAATCTTTTTCAATTTCTTGCTCAAAAGATAACACTAAATTTTAATTATTTTATTTTATGCTATTTTTGAATTTGTTTCGCACTCAAAGCATGGCGCTTATGATTAATTCTTATTCTATCTTTATCCTTCTCCTTACTTATATTTTGTTTCATTTGTGGCATTTTAGAGATGGCGCTGATTTTTTATTCTATCTCCATCTTTATTTTATTATTTATTCTTTTAAAGTAAATATAAATATTTTATCTTGTACTTCGTTTTTGATTACATCTATTAAAATAAAATAGTCCTTTTGAATATTATATAAATAAAATGCCGAAAATACGTTCACAGAAAACAACTCGTGTTCATAAAGAAGTTGTAAAACAAGGTATGAAATATTTATTATATATTTTTTTATAGCACAACAAATTAATTTGCCAAAAATTTATAGGAATTTTATTTAATACGGATATTGGACAACACATTTTAAAGAATCCACTTGTTATTCAAAGTATGGTTGAAAAAGCAGCAGTTAGACCAACAGATGTTGTATTAGAAATAGGTCCAGGTACTGGTAATATGACAATAAAATTATTAGATAAAGCTAAAAAAGTAATCGCATGTGAATTGGATACTCGAATGGTAGCTGAATTACAGAAACGTGTACAAGGCACAGTCTATCAATCAAAATTGCAAATTATGATAGGTGATATCCTAAAAACAGACTTACCATTTTTTGATTTATGTGTTGCTAATATACCATACCAAATATCATCACCTTTAGTATTTAAATTACTTTTACATAGACCAATGTTTAGGTAAGTTTATTTTATTTAAAAATTATTTATACATTATATGTTATAGTTTATTCATACAAATATAATTAAAATATTCAAAAGGTATAAAATAATTATATAGAAAAAATAAGAAGAAACAGACTTGATTATCATTATTTTCTACAGATGTGCCATACTTATGTTTCAAAGAGAATTTGCTGAACGTTTAGTAGCAAAACCAGGTGATAAATTATATTGTCGTTTAAGTATAAATACTCAATTGTTAGCACGTGTGGATTTGCTTATGAAAGTAGGAAAAAATAATTTTAGACCACCACCAAAAGTAGAATCAAATGTAGTTAGAATAGAACCACGTAATCCACCACCTCCAATTAATTATCAAGAATGGGATGGTTTGACACGAATTGCATTTGTCAGAAAAAATAAAACACTTTCTGCTGCATTCAAACAAACTACAGTTTTAACAATGTTAGAAAAAAATTACAAACTTCATTGTAGTTTGAATAATAAGGTTAAGTATGGATGTAACAAATATTTAAAAAAAAAACCTGTCTTAATATTAACAAAAATTATTTTTTGTGATATTTAGATAATTACAGAAGGATTTAACATCAAAGACATGATAACTGATATTTTACAAAAAGCAGATGCTGAAAATAAACGTGCAAGAACTATGGATATAGATGATTTTATCAGGTACACAAATTTTATGAATTCTTTTGATAATTATGATTTACTTTAAGATTAATCTTATATTAAAACTTTCAGCCTTTTACATGCATTTAATTCAAAAGGAGTGCATTTCACATAATTCAAAAGTGCAAATAATGCAAAAAATTTATATTAAGAAAAATAAAAAAAATAAATTAAGAAAAATATACGATAGAAAAAAATTTTTTTTTTAATTAATTTTAAATGTATTATATTCATATTTTATAATATTATATGTCAAAATGTACAATAACTTAAGAAAAAAAATGAAAACTAAAATAATTCCTTATAAACTAATTATTTTATGATTTATACATAACATATATAATTTTACACATAGCAATTATTCTAAGTCTACATATTTTTACAAAAAATGATATTTGTGTAAAATTTTAATTAAATTATTAATTTATAACATACAAATATATTTACAAATATTCTTTGGGAATCAAAATCGTAGGGAAATATAATGAATTTTGTTGTACCTTAATGAAGGTAATAATGATACGTGCATATATATATATATACATGTATTCATGTATACATGTATTTATAGAATTTTTGTTTTCTTTCTTATATTATCCAGAATTTAAAATAAGCATTATGATTGAATTTGGTTATCTTTTTTACGTGATTAATTTATACAATAGATAAAATTATAAATAAAATCTATGACACTTTAATATTTTATACATAATTTCCATATATTTTACAACACATGTGGAAGCCATTTTTATTTAAAAAATAAAGAAATGAAATAATTATTAATATTTTATATAATGTTAATATGTTTCTAAATATTATATTCATTTTCTTATAATTAGAAAGAAATATTGATAATAAATCATTAAAATTAACATGACTTCACCATGCTTTATCGTTGTATTTTATGCACACATGATTGTTTAAAAAAAATTATAATAATAACAATAAATTTCTAATCACATGATAAATTTCATCAAATAATTTCAATTAGAATTGTAATATCTTTCTAAATTCAAGCTAATTAATGAACAAATGCATTATTATTTTCATTGATTTTGATTTGGTGTTACCCTGAGATCTTATGTAACCCCTTGCAAATTTTCTAGGAGTTGCACACATTTATTAATTTAAATCAAATAATTTTTTAAATCGGAATGTTTCAATGTTGCATATTTCAATTTTAAGCAGGATGCCGTCGAGTTAATCGTGATCGATTAGATGAATTACGTGATCTACTGCTAGATCGTTTCCTTTTTTTATTTTTATGCTTATCCTTATGCTTTGATTTCTTTTTATATGTATACGACTTAGCTGAATAATTACTGCATTGACTATGCGATCTATAATCTTCGTCGAAATCTGAACTACTTAATGTTACGTCTCTCGTTTTAGATTTTAATTCACGACTTTTTCTTGAAACATCTCTAGTTATCCAATTTTTATCATCATCACTCAAATCTCGTTGGGATTCTCGTCGCCTAGAATTATCTCTCATTACTTTTTGAGATGCATAAGAAGATGCACTGCTACTTCTAGATAAAGATTGTCGATCATTTTTGTATCTTAATTCTTTTCGATGAGACTCTTTTCTATCTGGTATTTGCCTTGTTTTACCCCTTGTTTTAATTATTCTCTCACTTCTGCCATCAAAATCACTCGAACTAGTAGTATATTTCCTTTTCGACTTTCGTAATGTATGAGATTTTACATTTTTAACATCATCTGATTCAGTACTACTATTGCTACTGAATGATTCATCATCCGAGTATCGGGTTTCTTTTTTAATTAAATCCTTACGAACACGCACAGTAACTTTTGCGGAATGCTGTGGTGTATAATAAACAAATTTTTTTTCATCCATTGGTTTTGATTGTGTTTCATGAGAACTACTGTCACTACTAGTACTTAATCTTCTTTTTGTTGTTCGTTGAGTGTTTCTTTTGGTTCCTTTTTTTCTAGATTCACTTTCTCCGGAACTAGATAAATTTCTACTTGTTCGATTACGAACTCTCGATTCTATTGATCGATTGCGCCTTTTATTGGTTATACTTCTTTTCGTATGTTTTCTAGTACGATTTTGATACTTTCTACTTCTTCGAAAAGTATCAATGTAATCACTATCTGAATCGGAATTACTTTCATTAGATGAGGATGTTAATTCTCTTTTATTAATATTATGAGATGTACTAGGTTGAGCAATATCTTCATACGAAGTAGGTGCTGTAGCTCTAATGACATAATTATATAAATAATGTTATATATATGTAAATTAATATAAATTATATATTTGATTTAAATCTAGAGTTTCAAAATAAAATTTTTACTTACTCTGCATTATCATTTGGTATATAAGAAATATTTATTTCTTCAGGATCAGATGAAAGTAATTCTATGATTTCTGGTGTTCTTTCATGACGTGGTTTCACATAACCGATTACTTCACAATCATTATCCGATGAAGAAGAATCAGAAGAAATAGTTAATACGTTTGGTACATTGTATGGAATTTCTAATTGAAAAGTCTGCCCTACAGTACTTGGACCTAAATAAAACATATTTTCTAATTCTAACTCTACATAAAATAATATATAATATAATTAACAAGAAAAATTAAGTAAAAGATTTACCAGGCATATTGATTGTATGTGGTCCTACATTAGGCATTTCTGTATTCATTCTAAGATCAATTGCTTCATCTAAAACTCGAACATCTGAATCGTCAGAACTAGTGCTAGCACTACTAGGTGCAGGTGACAAAACACTTGATACATATTCATTTGATAAGCCTATAATAAATATTACCAATTAATAAATATTAAAGTATTAAATTTTTAATATAAGAATAATAAAATTAAATACCTTGTGGCAAATAAGTCACAGATTGATCATAACCAACTAAATCAAAATTAGTTCGTGCATAATTAAGCAATTCATGAACAAAATGATCTGTAAATGTGCTAAAATGAGGCCGTACTAAATCTCGAAATTCTGGACTTCTAATATCATACTGACTAAGAGCATCCAATATGACTCTTAATACATATGCAACATGAGAAGCATTGTTATTAAGTAATACTTGCAACTCTCTATTTAACCATGGTATAAGTCGATTTAATTCTCTTGGTTCTCTCCTATATATAAAGAAAAGAATATTTTTCACATAAGAAACATATAAATGATTCCTATTTTTTACATAAAAATTATATAAATAATATTTTACCGATAATAATCGGCACTACATTCACGAAAACGACCAAATACATCCGGTAATGCAGTAGCCCAAATTCCAAGCCTATAAATATTACGACGATAATCGGCTGGATTTACACGTCTGCGTAAACGCTCTAACATTGAGACTTGTGGTACTATACTTGGTAATTGCTCTCTTCTTGCAACCTGGTCTGGATTAAGTACTACTTCATGTGGACGTCTATGATGTCCTGTCATAGTTGTCCTATAATAATGATTAAAATTACTTATATATAAAATTATTAGATATATAATATAATGTATTAAATTAATTTAAGTTATATAATACCTATAATGAAAACGATGAGTGCCAGTATCCATAGTATGACCCAATTCAAAATTAAGATCCAAAGTAGCCAATTCTCTGGGTACATGATATTGATCATAATCTTCTTCTGATCTAACATTGTGTATAATTGACTTAAATGTCTGTTTACACAATGGACATTCTGTTTTTATTTTAGACCATTGAAGCAAACAAGTAAAGCAAAATTGATGAAGACAACTATCAGTAAATGATGTATTCACTAATTTGCCTAAACAAATGCTACAATTTGGCGGAGGTGAAACTGCACCATCACTACGATCACTATTATCTGGATTTTGTACAGGTGCTTCTGATTTAATAGGTTCTTCTGCACCTGCAGCAGAATCCTTTATTTCCAATGGACCTTCCATTATACACTAATATGTTTGTCCATTTATCAAAAGGAACTATCCTGAAATATATAATAATATATTTATATCTTATATGTTTTATATATATAAATTATGTTCAACATTAATAAATTTATTTAAAATATTAATTCTATTTGTAATATTTAATGAGTTATATGAGTTTAATGTATAAATTAAAATTATTCAATTGTTATTATTCAAATTAAATTATCATACAATATTAGTAATTATATTTATTAATTTATAAAATTTTACATAACAATATTTATAAAAAATATTAAAATTTATCATTATTAATTAATATTATTCATAAATACTTACTTAATATAATAAGTCTTTTAAGATGTTATATAAATAATTTTATTATAGAATATAAATTAATAGCTAGTAAAACAATTAAATTGAATATAAATTCTATTACGCAGGTTTTCGTCAATGTTCATTCATATGTTCAAAAAACAATATTACAATAAAAGCCTTTCGATTTTTAAATTTATTAAAAATCAATACGATTAACTTTTAAAAACTTGATTTTATTTAAAGAAAAAAAATACTATATGAAAAAGAAAAAGGCGTCATAAAGCTGTTTTATAATCGGTATGTTTCCATTTTATTCAACTTGTTATTGATTATCGATGTTACTATTTTTTTTTATAAATCATATAGTTATTTTGATGCCATTTCTTACCTGTAAAGAACAAAAAGGAATATCAGCGTTAATACAAAAAATAATTAATATCTTGACGAAACTATCTTCTTTCAGAAACAGTACTCTTACAGCAATCCATGATCGCAAAACGGAAACTGGTATAGCATAATGCTATGAATGAGACAGATATTAACCGAAGGTAAGAATTATTATTATCATCAGTGATACCTTCTTAAAGAAAATTCCTAGTGCAATGGAGATAATATATAAATATATATTACAATTAAAATCAATTTATTTGTTCGAATTTTACTTTTAATATTTTAATTTATTAATATTAATTGTTGATACTATTCATCTATCTTATTTAATAATATGAAAAGAACTAAAAAATATATTTGAAGATAGTTAATTTGCTTCAATTATATCACTTATCTTAACAGTAGTACCAATATTGCAATATTTTTAGATAATTTAGTGTTAATTTATTGTACGAGAAAAATAGAATGCTTTATATTTTATTTAAGTTTATTCATAATTATATAAAATTATAAATAAATATTATTTTTACTGATTTTTTATCATATTTTTATTTTTGAATATTTTTGATTTTATATATATATATATATATATATATATATATATTTCTTATAAATTGTTGTATTCTTATTTTTATTATACGTTTATAATTTATAATATAATTTATACTTTAAATGTAATAGTGCGACTTATCAAAGATTATATTTAGAATTCTTTTATAGAAAACATTTCTTACTATATTTATTATATTCTTATATATTGAATTAATTTTTAATAATAAAATAATAAAAACAAAATGTACAAACAAAAAAAAATAATATATATCTTATGTATACACTTATATTATTTTATATATCATATTATAAAATAAAATTCATATATATGTATGTATATATACATATCTATATTATAAACTCCATTTTGTTAGTTAAAAAAAGAAAAAACAAAAGAAAAGATACGTCATAAAACTTTACGATTATATCATAAACCATTGAATAAATATCTTATTAAAATATCTGTTATTTAAAAAATATAATTATATTATTTTTAATGATATGATATTTAACGAATTATTGATAAAACGATAAAGATAAATTTTTATAAATATTTCTATAAAATTAATTGATACTTTAATTCATATTATAATACTTATATGGTTAATTAGTTAATTAGAATTTTAATTTATTATCCAAATAGATTTTGTGATTTAAGTGATTTTATTTAATTAATAATGACATTATTTTTGAATAAATTATCAAGTTTGAAATCTTAATATATGATATTAGATATCCGTTGTATTAGATATTTTATTTGAACTCGATAGGAAAAAGAAAAATGTTTATTCGATTTTTTACAATTACAATTTTATTTCTTTTACTAACTAATTAAATTTAGGTGAAGCTGTAGTCTACTAAAAGTATTCGAAGGTATTAATAATTTTTATAAAAAAAAAGTTAAAGGATTATGTATAAACAGTTACTCAGAATAAGAATAACTTTATCAGATATAATTAAACAAAAATGTTTATTTATTTAATATTATTATAAAGATATTTTGTATATTAATTTTATATAAAGATTTATAATTTTATGTAAAACATTATATTAAAAAAAAATAAAATGGAAAAAGTATTAGATGCATTAAATGCAAAAATAATTGCTGCAAATAAACATCAAGATTTGTTTCTTAAGTACAAAACATTATGTACAGATGAAGACCGTATAATGTTTACCCTCAATGTTATGTTAGAATATAATATAGTTCCTCAAGTATGCGATAATAAAAAAGATGCAAAAGAATCTGAAAAATTAAGAGAACAGGGTAATAAGATATTTATTTCAACTCCATTGAAAAATTATACTTGTGTAGAAGCATTGAAGCTATATACTAAAAGCATAGCTTATGCTCCTTATCCATCTGAACAACTTGCTTTAGCATATGCTAATAGATCAGCTGTTTTAATAAAATTACGTAAATATGAATTATGTATTCAAGATATAGATAGAACATTAGCATTAGCATATCCAAATAATCTACGTGCTAAGCTTTATATAAGAAAAGTTGAATGTTTAAATGCACTTAAAAATCCTAATATAGAAGACACTATAAAAGAAGCACAATATTGGTTGGAAAAAATGTCTTTAGATAACAAAAAAAAATTAAATGAAAAATTAAAATCTATAAAAAATATGTTACCATCTCAAAAATTTAAAAAAGAAAAGTTTATGAAACAGGCACCGCTTCCTAAGATAAAGACTCATAATATTGAAGTTCCTTGTGCTTCTGATGCAATAACAATAAAATATAATGATAAATATGGTAGGCATATTGTAGCTACCCGTAAAATAAGTCCTGGTGAAGTAATTGCAATAGAAAAACCTTATTCATTAATTTTAACTCCTGATAATATACATACTCATTGCTCAAATTGTTTAGAAGTATCTTGGGCTAATATACCTTGTGAACATTGTACATATGCTATGTATTGTTCAGAAGAATGTAAAGCTATGGAATGGAAAAAATATCATGATATTGAATGTGCAATATTTCCTTCCATGTTAAAAATGAATTTTGTTAAATTAGATTTGTTTAGTTTGAGACTTGCTATTCAAGCTGTAAGAGAAGCTACAAGTATACAAGAATTAAGAAAAGAATTAGAAGAAGTTGATAGTTGTGAAGGTAAATAATAATATATTTTCATATCAAAATTAGTATTAGTGTAGTAATAACATAAATATTTAATATAATATTTACAGATCCTCGTACAAAAGGTTTTTCTAAAAATGGAATGTTTCTTAGTGATAAATATAGAAGTTTGTTAGGTCTTATAACTAACACTGAAAAACGTTCAGTACAAGATCTCTTTAGAAGATCCTTAGATGCAAGCTTTATTTTATATTTTCTAGCAACTTGTAGTAATATGTTTGGAAGTCCATTAAAGAAAGATTTATCCATATTAATAAAAAATGATAATGTTATATTTGTTGGTGGTCTTATATTAAGACATCAACAATTGATTCCTAGTAATATTCACAGTGTATGTAATTGTTAGGAATGTAATATTATGTAATTTGACAATTATTTTTATAAATGACAATTATTTTTTCTTATTTAATTTTTTTTTTTTTAATTCATGCTTTAATCATTTTTTTAGTAATAATTATTTTTAGTTCTCCGAAGAATGTGGATTAGATGCAGTTGAACGTGGTATTGCAGCTATGCCATTTTTTAGTTTAATTAATCATAGCTGTAATCCAAATATTTTAAGACATTCAAGATCTAATTATATGATCATTTATGTTATATTTCCTATTCAAAAAGGTGAACAGGTATATATATATATAGAAATTTTAACATATAAATATAATATAAATAATGATTGAATAATTTAAATAATGTGATAAAAGATATATTATTTTTTTTAAGTTATATGATAATTATGGTCAACATTATGCAATTACTCCAAAAGAAGAGAGACAAAAAGAACTTTTGAAACAATATTATTTTAAATGTAATTGTCTAGCATGTCAAGAAAATTGGCCATTATATTACAACTTAAAATCCTTTAAAGTAAATTAATTAATAATTAAAATATTTTAAGAAATTTTATATTGCTATTATTTATTTTTGTAATCTATTTCTTTTATAGAGTTTAATTAAGAAGAAAGAAGATGAAAACAAAATTAATCACGTATTAAGAAAATTCAATAATTATGTCGATATTGCGACAGAAGGAAATATATCGGATAAACATATTGTTGATGACTTGTTAAAAATGATTGAAGTATTATATGATTTAGTGCCAATGCCTTGCGAGGAAATGAATAATGTGGTAGAAACTTTGAAACGTGTTTATGATTTGAATGGAAATCGATTCGAAATTCCTGATTTTTAAATAATAAACAATAAAAATTATACAAAGAAAAAAAAATTAATAATATATTTTATATATATATATATATATATATATATATATAGATATATAATATAANTATTTACTATATTTTTTTTATTTACTATATTAACATTTGAATCTGTATTCAATGTTTATAATAATATATATGATATATGTATTCTATTATTTTTATTAAATATTTTATTTTATTTTTATTAAATATTTGACAAAAAATCCAAAATATAAAATATTAATTAAAATATTTTCATTATATACCGAATAATTAAGTATTTATGATATTTTTACTAATAACATCAAAATAGTTTGTAATATACATATCATATTTGAGGTAGTGAGAAAGGTAAAACGTACATAAAATGTGGGTATAAATTATGAAGTTTTAAAATACTGAATGTCGGTTTCTCAGTGTGTATTATATATAGAAGATAGAATCTATCTTGCTAGTAACAAACTAATTATTGGTAGTAAAATTGCTAATTTGATAAACTGATATATGCTGTTAGAACTATTATTATATATATGCATAATTTGATCATTTAAGTAAGTAATTCTCCATTCAATAGCAGGATGCACAGGACTATGTTTTTTCAAATATTCGATTAATATATCTGCTGTAGTAATACCTAAAAAAAAAATATATATATATTTTGTTATTATTATATTTGTTATGAAATCGCAAATAATAAATATTAAAAAATTTTATTTGGCAAAACTTATATATAAATATACCAAGAGGTTGAGTTTGGAGATTCTTTAACATAGAATATCCATCGCCACCACTCTGCATAAAATCAGTCAGAAGTACATTATAACTTTGATTTTTTTCTAATTTGCTATATGTTGGAATATTGCAAAATGCACACAACACTTTTACTGAAACTATCCTTGAATTTTTTGGTTGAGATAAGTCATAGATCACCTAGATATTTTAAATGTTTTTTATTATTAATATAAATATTATATTATGTTCTCCGATTTTTTAATAATTTTTTATGAATATGAACACATGTATTTTATTAAATTTATTTTTATATTTAATATTTTATTTTTATATTTTTTATATTTAATTAAATACCTGAAGTCCAGAGATTTGTAGAAATGCCCCAACAAGATTAATACTATTATTCTTTTCTAGATTATAAACACTCCATTCTAATACAGATAATAACATTTCTCCAGTTAACGAAGCTTTTACAATGTTATTTTGGAAAGGTAGCACACTAAGAATGTCTCCCATTGTAACTTTATCGTCATTAGCTCTTGTGATAGAAGTTCTAATACTACCACTATTATGAAGAGCTATTGCAGCATCTGTCCAACTATTTTGATCTGCATATTCACCAGCATTATAATCAATCATGGCATCTGTAATCAAATTACCTAGATTGCATTCTTTTTGTCTACAAATTTTACTATCTCCTTCGAGAAGAACTCGAGTTTTTCCAACTATTGTTTCGCTAATATTATCAATATTTCTTCTCATATGTTCTAATTCGTGTAAAATATCCTCCGCCTATGAAGAAACAAAAATAAGAAACTATTTATTAATACAATTATAAAAAAATATAAAGAGCAAGAAAATATTATATGAAATTTATAACTAAAATTTATACAGAATATTTTTTCTTGTTGAATAAATTTATTAAGAGAAAGCTTTTTCTATTATAATATTGTGGAACTAATTTAAATTATTATATTATAATTTAAATTAAATTATCGTACATCTTATCTATGATGTCATGTTTGGAATTTGATTCTTCCCTATATTTCTAATACTTCTTTTTTTGATTCAAATTCAGATAAATAAATAATTAATATACATTGATCTAGAAATCTTCTTTGTTATTATCCATGTCCAATTTATTGTAGCATATATGTATATTAGATCAAAAGTTTATTATCAAAATTTATTGATATTATTAAAAAAAGAAAAAGATAGATAAGAAATATAGAAACATAAGTATATATGATAGAACATGGAGAAATATAATTCGAGAATTATCAATTAATTTATAAAATGTTAAAATTTCTATTTAATGCGCGATTCAACAAAAACAATTAAATCTAAATTAATCTATTTATATAATATATAATATATATTATATAAATTAATCTAAACAATTGAATCTATTGCAACAATTTTTCTCATAATTTGTATAAATAATAATCTTACTTATTTAGGATATATTTTTCAATATCGATCAATAGTCCTCGTTATCTAATTTATCGTCAAATAAATTTGTTCGCGCCCGCAATAATATTATAATGGTAGGTTTGTTAAGCGTATATATATATGTATCAAATACTCTTTGTATATTTATATATGTGTATATTTATATATGTGTAGAAACTAATGCTTGTCACCGTTGATGTATTTTCTTTTAAGTAGTATTACAAATGTAATGGAAATACGAGAACTGGATCTTTCACAGAGCATGATTGTATTCACAACGAAGTGTCAATTAGATGTTCTTCACAATGCCACAATAGGTAATCATGTCCAACAGAAGGATCGGACGATTTTTCACGATGGGGCACGACAAATAACCAATGATATCGCGACATCCTCAAGTTAGAAGAAAATTTCTCAAATCGAACTGATCAGTGATCAGTGTACAAAGATATCAAGATAATTAGAGATCAGCATATATCTATTATTCAAAATTTCCTCGAACTAGAATGATGTTAATTGCCATTGAGTCAATCGTCTCGTCTGAAGTATGTCGCTCTTGGAATCAAAAATATAGAATTATACAAGTATCGATTATTAAACTCTTCTCAAAAACAGCAATCTTCTCAGACTTAATATCATCCTTTATTTAGGCTTAACGATCGAGATTGACGATCGATATATAATAGAAAAAGAAAGTTTTCATAAAACTTTTTTCTTCTCGGGAATAAACTTGTCATAAATCTTTCGAGGAATAAATGGAAACAAAATTGACGAGTTAAAATTAAACACTCACCTGTTCGATACTACTGTCCACGAGAATAGGATTGCCACTAATATTGGTTACTTCTCCCTTATCATTGAAAGTTACCGTAAAATTGCCAAGATATTTAGTGTAAGCGAAAGCTTGAACCACATAAACTTTTCTCCCGCTTTTCTGTGTTATTTCAGTTGGATAAAGCCCTTCCGGTATTTCTCTATCCGGTTGTTTCCCATTGTAAAGAAAAGTGTTCGTGTGTCCGCCGATCACTATATCGATATCTTCCACTTCTCGAGCGATTCTTTTATCCGTTTTGAATCCAGAATGTCCAACGGCGATTAATATATTCACACCCTTATGTTTCAATTCCTTTGCCTCTCTTCGTATGCTCTGCACTTCGTCCAGGAAAATGACGTTGTCCGTTCTAGAGATTATCCTTGTGTCAGGCGTCAGATAACCGATTATACCGATCTTTACTCCGTTCACGGTCAGTATCGTGCTATTTAGCAACTTTGTGGCGGCCAAGTTTGGTTGTTTGCTTAAATTCAGATTGGAAGTTACAATTGGAAACGTGGCGTTCTGGATGAACGGTATCAGACCGTCTACGCCATCGTCGAACTCGTGATTCCCTAAGCTCTGTAATTAATAATCAACAAAAAAGGAAACGGGATATCGTTATTGTTAAGACAGATAATAATTTTCGTAAGTATGATTATTCTAAAAAAAATAATTCGATTATTCAATTAAACTGTCTTAATTTTATTATTCCAACAGTATTCGCATCAACTGCTCCTTCGAATTTTAATCATTATTGGATTAAGAAACGAATCCGGAGGATGCGATAGAATGAATAAAAAAATATATAATTTCGATCTAAGAATCAAAGGAGGAAATTGATCTTAACACGTACCGTGGCGTTTGGAGCCAAAAGATTCATGAACTTAGCCACTATCTTCCATTTGTACACATTGTACCAGATAGATCCTTGATACGTATCCCCAGCGTTTAAGAAGAGGCAGGGGACAGCCGATCTTCGCGCTTGCCGGATCAATGTCGCCAACCTGGCAAATCCTCCGTAGCATTTCTTCTCTTTCGCCTCTTTCGCTGAGCAAACGCCTGACAATTTCGACGTTTGTTCGAATCTGTGAATATCCACGCGATTGTTTCATCAATTGTTTATTTGCGCATCAACGGATCGGATCGGATGAATGGATGGAAGGAATCTCGATAATAGTCTTTTATAATTGTATTGTCTTGTATTGTAAAAGAGTGGATTCGCGATCTCCATCTTTCTTCATCCTTCGCCTTTTGCGAACAAAAATAATCGCTTTTATTAAATTCTCGTATTATGCGTTTTTTCTTCGTAAGTAAGAAACTTAAGAAACAAATTAAAAGATCATGTTGTACTTGACATTTTTATTATCGTACGTAAGTCGGTGAATCGATAAACAAATTAGCTTGGCATTGGACGTAACGCGTTGTTAAGAGACACGTTCTTTAAAAGAGAAGGGGGAAAAAAAAAAATACACGTACGTACGTATCTAGCGTGGACGAAATCGTGGAGCTATTATTGCGTGTACTGTATAAAAAAAAAAAAAAAAAAAAAAGAAAAAAAAAAGAAGGAAAGAAGCGAGAAAAAGAAAGAAAATTGAAAAGCGAACAACAATGCCTTGGATTCACGACATAGAGTATTCGATCAACGATTGAAAATTAACGATTAAAATCGGTCGACAGTTAATGTTAATTATCATTAGACTGTTTGCAATTAGTGTAGAATGTGATCGCGTGTCATTGATATTTCAACTGATTAAATATTTAACTGAAACAATACACGTGTTGAAGATAAACAGCGGGACAATGTACGAATTAAACGTACACGATGCATTTTCTCCATTTGATTAAATATTTTCTTAATAAATAAAGCAAAACGAATATGTTACACTACAGATTAGGAGTGGATTTTTTTTTTTTTAATTGCACGTTCGTTAAGAATTTTTAATAGGATTTGTATAATAGAAATTTGATAGAAATCAAAAATAATAGGAAGATAAAGGTGGAACAATGGAGAGGTAGAGCAATAGAAATAGG